TGTCAGATTTTATCTATCTTTCGAGGTATTGAAGATAATAGACAAAACCAGCATTTTACCCCTGTGTCCTATTTTTTAGCCATGTCGGCCATGTTGGTTGACAGGCAAGTTCAGCAGACTAATTTTATAAACTAGATACCCTATTACCTAATGATAATGTGTCCAAGTTTGGTTAAATTTGGCCTCATAGTTTCTATGGAGAAGATTTTTGTAAAAGTATTCAGACGACAACGACCACAGACACCAAGTAATGAGAAAAGAAAGGGCCAAATGAGCTAAAAACAATAGACATACACAAAGCACTGATATAACAGTTCTCATAGTTACTGAAAGCTTAACTTCAAAGCCAATTATAATAAATAAATAAATCATGGGACTGCATAAAAATGTAGAAATACATAAAATATTTTAAAACATTAATTTTACAAGAATGCATGCATTGTTGTGCTTTAAACATGCACTAACTTGTAATTCAAAGCAGGGATCACCACAGGCTATTTTAATTTAAGGTGGTGCTCCTCCATCCTTGGATATCCAGCTCACTCTTGATTTTCTTATAATATCAAAACCTTATTTTTCAAATTATAGTACTGTATTTTGAGATAAGTTTCGAAAATAATTCTAAGCTATAGAGTATAGACAAATGAAACCCCCAACCCTTGTTACTGAAGTTTCCATTTTTTAGACTTCTGCTCTTAAATTTTAACAGAACCGCAGTAAACTTGTATTAATTACAACAAAATGAACTTCTATTAAAGAGAAGGAATAAAGATGAAGCAGTTAGCCTAGGGATATAATCATGGGGATATTGTACAGGAAAAAACTTTAGGTTGGCTGGAAAATCAAACCTAAAACATCAGGTTTATTTCATTGAATATTAGATACTGTCTTCAGAGTTCCAGCTGAAATCTCAGGACAGAAGGATGCTAGCTGACCATGCTGACCCAAAGGGCACTTTGATGCAATCATTGTTAGTTTTGTTAAGTTATTTAAGTTGCCTGTTCATTTTTGTAGACTGGTACTGTACATACATAAGTACCAAAACATTGAAAATTTTGATGTTTTATTTTTTCGCCATCATTATTACATGTATATATCTTGCTTGATTGTATAATAGTGTGATAAAATATGAAACATCAAGAAAAAAATAACTGTCTCAATATGCTTAAAATATGGCCTAAAGTACATGTATATATCCTAGAAATAGGTAATTTTCAGTGGATGTGCTAACAGCTTAATAATGTTACATTTATCAATAAAATGCTCTGCAGAGTACAGCTTGATACCACCGCAGAGGTCGAAACCTGAACAGTTGGGGCAAGTATGGACACAACATTCAAGCCTGATAAAGCTCTGAATTTGGATTATTAAATATTTGACACAGCATAGGTTTCTGACACAGAATGAATGTTGTCTAAGTACTTAAAAATTAGAAATTGGACATTTACAAATGTACCTGTTGTGGTCCATTATCCAAAATCTAAATACATTGTAAGATTCAGCATATCAAAAACCCCAAAATTTTTTGATGAAATCAAACAAACTTTAATTTTGGACCCTTGGACCAATTGATAATGGGTCCCAAAATCTAAAATCTAAATACATTGTTAGATTCAGCATATCAAACATGTCAAAGAACCCCATATATTAATTTTTGTTGAAATCAAACGAAGTTTAATTTTGGACCAACTTGGAAACTGGACCCAAATCAATAAAGAGCTGCGCCATGAGCGCATGATACGCCTGTCACTTTTTCAAAGAATAAAGTTTCATAACTCCTCAATGTCATATCAGAAAGTTATAAAAAAACTAACGGAAGGTTATTTTAATAGATATAAAACAGTCACCAAAGTTTAATGAAAACTGTTCAAAGCACTTTTGAGTTATTGTCCGCAAACTAGAAAATCACCGCTTTTAATGAATAAAATCCCATAACTCGGAAACGTACAACCTAAAACTTATAAAAATTGAAAGGGAGCTTACGTCAATAGATATAAACAATTCACCAAAGTTTCACGAAAACTACTCAAAGCATTTTTGAGTTATTGTCTGAAAACTAGAAAATCCCTGTTTTTTAATGAATGAAACCCCATGGCCACAACTCGGAAACGTAAAATAAAATATTTATGAAAATTAAAAGGGAGATCACGTCAATAGATATAAACAATTCACCAAAGTTTCATGCAAATTGGTTAAAGCGTTTTTGAGTTAGTGTATGACATGTTGACGATGGACGGACAGAGGTGTACCATAATACTTCCCGTAAATGGGCCTATAAAAATCTAAATACATGTCTAGATGCAGCATAGAATTAAATTTTTGTAAAAAAATCAAACTAAGTTTACTTTTGGCCCCTTTGGACCTTAATAAAGACCAATTTGAAACCAGGCCCAAGATCAAAAATCTAAACACACGGTTAGATTCAATACATGTACATATATATCAAAGAACCCAAAGAATCCAATTTTTGTTTCAATCAAACAAAGTTTAATTTTGGATCCTTTGGACCTCAAGGTAGACCAATCTAAATACAGGGCCGGGGGCCCAAAATCTAAATACATGGTTAACGTTAGATTCAGTGTATTAAAGAACCCTAAGAGCTCCATACTTTGAATTAAACCCCATTGAAATTGGTCAAGAAATAAGCAATTTATACAAAGTATTAGAAAAAAAAGTATTGTCTTTTGGCCCAAAATTTCTAAACAGTTTTGCCCATCACTGTAAACTAGAAGCTCCAAGGAGTCTGTGTCGCTCACCTGATATTTTTGTTTACAATTGATGCATGAAATAATGCAACTGATATACTTTTGCTTTAGTTTCAGAGATATAAGCCAAAAACTGCATTTTACCCGTAATGTTATGTTCTATTTTTAGCCATTGCGGCCATCTTGGTTGGCAGGCAGGGTCATCGGACACATTTTTTAAACAAGATACCCTAACATGTCTAATGATGATTGTGGGTAAGTTTGGTTAAATTTGTCTCATCAGTTACAGAGGAGAAGATTTTTGTAAAAGATCACAAAAATTTACGAAAAATTGTTAAAAATTGACTTTAAAGGGCAACAACTCCTTAAGGGGTCAATTGACAATTTTGGTCATGTTGACTTATTTCCAGATCTTACTTTTCTGAACATCATTGCTGTTTACAGTTTATCTCTATCTATAATAATATTCAAGATAATAACCAAAAACTGAAATTTTCTTAAAATTACCAATTCAGGGGCAGCAACCCAACAATGGGTTGTCTGAAAATTTCAGGGCAGATAGATCTTGACCTGATGAACAATTTTACCCCTGTCAGATTTGCTCTAAATGCTTTGGTTTCAGAGATGTAAGCTAAAATCTACATTTTACCCCCATGTTCTATTTTTAGCCATGGCAGCCATCTTGGTTGTTGGGCCGGGTCATCGGACACATTTTTTAAACTAGATACCCCAGTGATGATTGTGGCCAAGTTTGGTTAACTTTGGCTCAGTAGTTTCAGAGAAAATTTTTGTAAAAGTTAACGTCGGACGCCAAGTGATGAGAAAAGCTCACTTGGCCCTTTGGGCCAGGTGAGCTAAAAATCAATCCAAACCTTCCTTTTTTGGAATGGGACCTTGTGGTACAATTTCATAGAGATCCATAGACTTATACTCAAGTAAATCAGAAAATCCTTGTTTTTTTGCCCCTAATTCTTAAACACTTCAGGGCACAACCCCAAAAAACCAATCCCAACCTTCCTTTTGAGGTATTGAACATTGTGGTACCATTTCATAGAGATCAATTCTCTTACATGTACAATGTATACACAAGTTATTGTCCTGAAACAAGTAAAATGCTTGTTTTGGTCCCTAATTCCTAAACAGTTAGGACAACAATCCACAAAATCAATCCCAACCTTCCTTTTGTGGTATGGAACCTTATGTTACAATTTCATAGAGATTTATACACTTATACTCAAAGTTATTGTATGGAAACAAAATGTCTTTCGATGATGACAATGTCATACCATTATAGGAATGCAAAAATTTTGTGGTCGTATAAAAATTCTTTATAATGACAACTTTCATTGGCACATTTTCCATAGTAAAGGATAAATAAGAATTGATATTTTTGTATTCAATCTTGTTGATATATAGAAAAATTTGCTACATTTTTTTCTGTAAACTATAGACATATAGAAATTTTCATTCAATTTTTTCTGGTAAAATGCTACACTTTGCAATCTTAATCATTGTGAACAGGTCTCACTTATCAGCAAAAAGAAATAAAATTTAGCAAAGACAACATTCATGACATTAGAGAAAAGAAAGTTTATAATTTATAAAAAAAAAATCATTTTTTTAAAGTTGATTATTTGTTGTTTTACAGGGTTTAAAATTTTGTAGCTGTTAAAACATTGCACTGATTTTCAGTTAATAATACAGTTTTTATAGTATTGGATTTAAATAATACAGTTAGTAATTATAAAGTCAAAAATAAATAAACGATATTTATACATAGTTGATTGAAGATTAAAAGTAATTAACATGATTAATGACAATGTTGAGTTTTCAATAGGTGTTCACTATTTACAATGATTGTACAATGTATATTCTGGCCAGGTAATTGTAAAGTAATATATTTGATGAAAACAGTAAACACATTATCGGTAACATATTTTTAATAATAAATAAAAACTAAACAATCCCTATTTTTTTTTAACAAATGTTGAATTTCTTCATCTATCACTATAATGAAATAAAAGAAAATCACTTTAATAAACATAAATTAAAAAAAACAAACCATTTTAATGCGTTTTTTTCATTCATTTATTTTAAATAAGTAATTGTTAGATTTCTTGACGCTAAAATAGTTTTCTTAATCGCTTAATTAGTCTTCTTGTCGCAAAATGATTAGTAAGACTTATTGTGAACATGTCTAAATATTATCACAAAAGGATTATAGAGCTTCTGCATGTACAAATGTACATGTACAAAAAATGTATATCAAGCATGTTGCATTTGATAAAAACTCACAGTGCTCTGGTCCATCATGTTTTAAGCTGCTTGATTCAATAAATCCTGCAATCCAGTGATTTTTGGCAAACCTTTTACAGAAGGGTGTCTCCATAATTAAAACATAGCAGAAACACACTTTAAATGGCACAACTTAAATGCAGGTACCAGCTTATCTCCTTTATTCCAAAATAGGACCTAAGATTATGTCACATTAGGTTTTAAGTAAATCCCTAAAACATGTAACATCACAAAATTTAACAAATCCTTAAGCAGAGTTTGTAACTTATTTGATTTGGATAAAGGTTCTGACAGTTACGATACTTCTTAACTCCAATATCCAGGTAATTTAATACAAACTAACCAAGTTCAATCAGTGGTTTACTTTACGACTTTGGTAAATGACAAACAATGGAATACATGCATACTTTTCGTTTGGTTTGGAAAACAGGCAATGTTATTCGTCGAATTGTTTTCATGGGCCAATGATCAGTTATTGTTTTGTCTTATCAATCATTGATTTTAATAAATTGGTTCAATCTTTTGGGACATTGTTTACAATGGAAACGAGGTGTTTCGTTAAAAATTCCATAAATTTAGTGGATAAATGTGAATCCACGGGTTTACTATACAACTCACATGTCTATGTCTTTATTTTCTTCCCGTTTGCATCATTTTTTATGTCATTTTTATCTTAGAAAATGCCATACCGCTGAAGTAATGACAGGTTCAGACATAAACAAGAAAGTTTGAACTTGCTGCTTCCGGTTGCGTACGTTTTCATGACCCAGATCCGAAGTTGACAAATGCACTTCCGCTCTGTTTGTAGCAGACAGCTTGCTGACGTGACATACAAAATATCTGCATTTAGTTATTTATTATCTAATAGAAAGGTAAAACATTGTGCATATAGATTATGATAAGAAAGAACGGCTATATTTAAAGATTTTAGTTGTTCTGAAAGGGAAAAATCTATCTGTTTGGCGTTAATTGTATTTATGCACCTGCAACTGTGCAAACCATGATGTCTGATAGGTACTTGGGGACAGGACTTTTTTTTAGCCCTCCCCCTTTTTATCAAAATCCGTTTTTTTTTTGTTTTTTTTTTTTTATTTCAATTTTTTCGCGTTTTTCTATATTACATGGACATAAATAAACTAGAAAAAACTTGTATTTGTTATTCATGTTCATGTAAATTGTAATACAGAAAAACGAAAAAATATTGTATTTGTTATTTATGTTCATGTAATACAGAAATACTGGAAAATAATTGAAAACAAAGAAAACCAAAAAATAACGGATTTTGGAAAAAAGGGGGAGGGCTAAAAAAAATTGTCCTGTCCCCAAGTACCTATTGTAATGACCGTTGAGGAGGAAAAGGATTCAGGTAAGCTATACTATAGTTGGATTTAAAAAAGGACCAGGCTTTTTCCCATGACAACTTCTTATCCGCATTTCATTCAGGTGATCAAAAACTTAGTGACTATTGGCAATACACCTTATCGCTATTTGTCCGCCATTACTGGACATCACACAAGTTCCCGTAAAATTTTGACGTCATAATAGAAAATATCTGACGCCACAATGGAAAAGTGATTGTTGTATGACGTCAAAAGTTCGAGCGGGACTGATTCTCGGGTCAAGCGGGATTAGCGATAAGGTGTATAGTATTGGTAATGTGAGGCATGTGCTACCTCAGTTGAGCTCTTTAAGGTGTTTTTCAAGTTAACAATTGGATTTTTCATGTTTGTTTTACTTCTATTCTTATTTTTAGGTAATCAGATATACAGTTTTCGTTTTTTGCAGGGAAATCATATGCTTCTTTATGATGTACCTAAAACCCCTAAAAGAACGAAAACCTGATAAAGCTGTATTATGTATAGCTGCAATAATGGAAGTTTTCAATAAAAGGCCATAGTATATAATTGAAAATTCCATAGTTTATCCTCCCTTTGCTAAAAAATAGATGTCCAACAGATTTACAATATCTACAATTTATGCTTGTCAAGCTGGATCTTGGTCTTTAATAGCTCAATCAGGCTATAAAAATATTTCTATGCCAGGTTGATTTTTGTATCTGTGAAGTGCAGTCTAAACTTGACAGGCATAATACACCTTATTGCTATTTGTTTGCCATTACTGGACATCACAAAGGTTCCCATAAAATTTTGACGTCACAAAAGAAAATGTCTGACACCACAAATGAAAAGTGACTGTTGTATGAGGTATATAGTTTAATTGTCGCAATTCTGAGGTCAAGTGTATGTATGTCTGTGTACACAATTTCAATTTTTATTATGATTTTTGCAAATTTTTCAGAGGGATTATTAGTTTTAATTCATTATATTCAGATATACTTATTTAACTATATATATGTCTGCAAAGTTTAGATTGCAATTCCAAATAATAAGTGAAACACCGAAATTTCTGAGCTTCATATATGGCCCATTCAGCTATAGTTATACTTATAGCTTCAAGTGCAGATTTACAGAACATGTTCATGTGAACTCCCCCCATAGCCTTCTCGCCATTTCAACTCCTTTTCTATATTCATTCCCTTTAGCTCCTTTTCTACAAAAATTTTTTTAATTATAAAATTACAAAGGGGTAATTTTAAACTAAATTAGGTTAAGGTTAAACCTATGGTTCAAAAAATGCATGTATCAACCAGAAACCCATTTTGTCTAAATTTTTAGCTAGCAGTTCCTGTTGCAACCTTGACCTCAGAATCAAAAAGATGTGTTTCATCCAACAGTGCATTATCAAATCAATTTTTATGAATATCTATAAATTTACTGCTGATTAGATATTGTTCTCAATTTTCCAAAATACAATCGATTTACACGTATATATATAGGCACTTTGAGTTGAAGTTGACCTACTAACCTTAAAATCAATAGGGGTCTTCTTGAAACCAACATTAAGTAGTTGATGTGAACTTGACCATTGACCTCAAAATAGTAATAGGTCAAATATTTTGTCTAGAAACCATTTAGTGTTGACATCAGAACAGTATGGATGTCCAGACTGCATTCATCATATTATCAGCCAATGTCATCTTTGCTTAAAACCAACTAAAATCTTTTGTTTATAGTGACTTTATACATGTACACCTCCATTCATACAGATAAAAAAAAAATAAAATGCAGAAATTGAAAGCAAGCAAATTATATACGTTTGGTTTTTTTTTCAGATTTAAGAGATCCTCAGGATGAGGCAGCTAAAAGGAAAAGTGAAGGAAACAAGAAAAGAAAAGAGAGAAAGAAAATCAGATAATTTAAAAAATAAGGAAAAAATATGGACAGTTGTCATACCAGTGATGCTAACTATATCTGTTATTATTATAGCCTATGTTCTGTTAAGCACAAAAGCTCTCTGAGTTTAACTTTAGTTTTATGGTCAAGGGGAGATAATCTCTGTTAATATCTTTATATACTCAAGATATCATAATTTATCATGTTATCATATTTGGGCAAGTCATTATCATTGTCATAACAGTGGAGTTAATTTTTGTATTGTTACTTTATTCTTATTCAGAAATATTTATGCTTCCATTTACATGTTGATTTTCAACGTATTTTAAGCATAGGTGATCAAAGTTAATATTGATTGTTGATATTTATCTGGTGGTTTTATACATGTTCCAGTATTTTAAAAATGTGGCAGATTTTATTTGTATTTTAGTTTTAAATGTTAGATATAAAATTTGTCTATTGATATTGTTTTCTTATTCTTTTTATTGACATCACAGTGATTTTTTTAGTCACTTTACTAAAAAATTATTTTCCATTTTTGTGATGGTATGCCTTTTTAAATAATGATTCCCGTCCAACAACTTTGTTCAAAATGAAAGTATTGTTGCAGTTCTAAAAAAAAATACCTTGAAAGTAACCCTTGACTTGAATAGATCATTGACAAGAGATTGTTTTCAATGCATTTAACTAAATTATATACCCCTAAACAATGTATTAGAATTGCTAGTACATGTATATAATGTTATTCAGACCATTGTTTAGATACAATGTTTCGAAAAGCAAGTGATTCATAAACCCAAATTTTTATTTGCCTGAAGAAAAAAATTGTATTATGGTATACCCATCTCCATCTATCCATCCATTTCAGTATGTTTACTATAACTGGAGTTAGTCAGATACATATTGGGAAATTTTTACACTATGTTAGCCCATGAAGCGAAGTTCCCTTTTGACTTTTACAATTTTTCTTGTGTAGTTGGAACTCAGTGCATAAGAAAACAGATTTTTTCCTCACTTTTCTGACAATTGTATTAATCAATATCTTGAATAGATTTAATTTTCAACATTTAAAATGGTGAAATATAATTTCTTTTTTGTGCATCTACATGTATGGATGGCAACATTCTGCATTTATTAACCATAAAATTGTTGCAAAAAGGGACGTGAAAATGTCGCATGTTCCCCCAAAATTTCGCTCAAAGTAGAATTTCTGAAACTATAGACATTAATTTAAACAAGAGTGCACACGCTGAAATGTCTCGCCTTCTTTACTAATCATTGATATTATGTTGATAGTCCTAAATATAAAGCTTTATTACAACTGTCACATAAACTTAACATTAACCAAGTAAACTAAACATTGACCAATGAACCATGAAAATGAGGTCAAGGTCAGATGAACCATGCTAGGCAGGCATGTACAGCTAACAATTTTTCCATACAACAAATATAGTTGACCTATTGCTTATAGTTTAAGAAAAACAGACGAAAACACAAAAACTTAACACTGAGCAATGAACCTTGAAAATGAGGTCAAGGTCAAATAAAACCTGCGTGACTGACATATAGATCATAAAATATTTCCATACACCAAATATAGTTGAACTATTGCATATAGTATTAGAAAAAAAGACCAAAACTCAAAAACTTAACTTTGACCACTGAACCATGAAAATGAGGTCAAGGTAAGATGACACCTGCCAGCTAGACATGTACACCTTACAATCATTCCATACACCAAATATAGCTGACCTATTGCATGCAGTATTAGAAAAAAAGACCAAAACTCAAAAACTTAACTTTGACCACTGAACCATGAAAATGAGGTCAAGGTCAGATGACACCTGCCAGCTAGACATGTACACCTTACAATCATTCCATACACCAAATATAGTAGACCTATTGCATACAGTATAAGAAAAACAGACCAAAACACAAAAACTTAACTATAACCACTGAACCATGAAAATGAGGTCAAGGTCAGATGACACCTGCCAGTTGGACATGTACACCTTACAGTCCTTCCATACACCGAATATACTAGACCTATTGCTTATAGTATCTGAGATATGGACTTGACCACGAAAACTTAACCTTGTTCACTGATCCATGAAATGGGGTCGAAGTCAAGTGAAAACTGTCTGACGGGCATGAGGACCTTGCAAGGTACGCACATACCAAATATAGTTATCCTATTACTTATAATAAGAGAGAATTTAACATTACAAAAAATCTGAACTTTTTTTTCAAGTAGTCACTGAACCATGAAAATGAGGTCAAGGACATTGGACATGTGACTGACTGAAACTTCGTAACATGAGGCATCCATATACAAAGTATGAAGCATCCAGGTCTTCCATCTTCTAAAATATAAAGCTTTTAAGAAGTTAGCTAACGCCGCCGCCGCCGCCGCCGGATCGCTATCCCTATGTCGAGCTTTCTGCGACAAAAGTCGCAGGCTCGACAAAAATGATAAAAAATAAATTGGGTGCCTTTTGACTCATTTTTTTGTAAAATTGAATCAAAGTTTGCAACAAAAAAGGTTGAAAAAACACTACAATAATTTCTGGACCAATGTCTGGTTTGGATATAAAAATACAGACACAAAACAGCCCATAATATATACATTACACAATCACGATGTTTATATAAACCCAAATTGAAGGCTATATTAATTTTCAGCTATCCAAAAATGATTTTATTACACACTAACTTTCATATTTGAAAAACCCACCAGTACCAAAATACGAAACCACACACCTAACTATGGAGTGCTACCTTAGGTTCCATAAAGACAAGCTCCATTTCAATTTTTTTTTTTTTAGTCTTTATGAGGTCTCAAGTTTAGAATGCACACAATGGCTAAATATGGGTGAATAAGTTGTGGGTGTTTTTTATATACCTTTTACTTGGTTGCTCATAAACATTACTGACTTAAATCTCTGATGATAAAAGGTTGGGTATGTGTCAATGAGACAACTCTAAATTGTCTAATAAAGTTGTGAATAAGTTACAAAGAAACTATCAAATCCACAGGTTTGTTGAAACTAAATATTAACAGATTGTTCCAGTTTGGTCCTAATTTATAATTATATCCAATATATATTTTTTCAAGTTCTCTCCAGTAAAACTGCCACCAACTTTGCTAGTAGCAATTTATTTCAGCATTTCCGAATATAAAATTGACAATATTCATATAAAGAGCAAGGCAAAATTCTAAGTTACAACATATGAGTAGAGAACACCACATCACATCAATCATGACATTTCTAATATACAAGACTCAGGAAATCTGTTCACCAAATTCTTGTCATAAAACAGATCTTAATGAGATCAATGTGTTTTATATATTCAGGAGAAATGTAACCACAAGGTAATGAATGGTATTGCAACATTTATATTCCCATCCATTTAAGAAATATTTGTTCTTTTTATGCTAAATTGTATGCCCAAAATAGCCCAGAGTCTAAAATAAAATTGTGAATCAATTTATCAGAGACAAAGATTTTTAAGATCTACCATCATACAAGCTGACCTATTTGCAGATCTTGTCTTGCTGATCATTTTTGCTATCTAAAATTTCTATCTATTAAAAGTTCAAGATAAAAGGAGAAAACGCAAAAATAATTGGTAACAAGAGGCTGTCAGAGTGACAGCAAACCGGATTTTCCTGCAGAGGTAAAACCCTGATCAGTTGAGCAAGTATGGACACAACATTTAAGCTTAAAACAGCTCTGAATTTGAATTGTGATTGAATATTTGACTTGGCATAGGTTTGTGACACGAATGAATGTGGTCAAAGAACTGAAAAATTTGAAATCGGACATTTACCTATTAAGGTCAAATATCCAAAATCTAAGTAATTCGTTAGAATGAGCATATCAAAGAACCCCAATAATTCAATTTTTGCTGAAATCAAACCAAAGTTTAATTTAGGACCCTTTGGACCTCAATGTGGTATTATCTAATTAATAATGCAAATATAAATACAGGTTGATTCAGCATTTCAAAGAACCCTATATATATTCAATTTATGTTGAAATTAAACACAGTTTAATTTTGGACCCTGATTTGGACCAACTTGAAAACTGGGCCCAAAATCAGAAATCTAAATATATGTTTATTAATACACAATATAAGCTTAGTTTTTAAAGGAGTTTGCTTAATCAAAAAAAAAAAAAATATTAATTGCGTTCAGAAAATTAGTTTATACAGAATAACAAACAAACCTACCACAAAATTCTTCAAACAATTTACCAAAGAAAAGAAAAAAAAAATCCCCAAATGTCATTTATCATTATTACTATGTCTTTTAAAAATCTATAAATCTTATCTATAATTATCTTCAAAATGTCTAATAATGAACAGTAAATTTCAAACTATATTTATACTGTCCTACAGAGCTTATCATCATCAACACTTCGGAAACAGAAAATTTTCAAATAAATCTGTTACTCCAATTATAATTGTGTGACTGATATTTCCTTCGAAAATCCAGTTAAAAATTGTGATTAAAGGGAAATAACTCCAACAAGGAGTTGATGGACAATTTTGGTCATGTTGTTTTTGTTGATGGTGCCATTTAAACATTCTATTTATTTATTATAGTTTTCAAGATAATAGGCAATATCACAAAAAAATGGTAATTATTGCAATAAAGGGCAATAACTTCAATAAGGAGTTGACTGTCTATTATAGTTTTAAAGATAATAGGCAAAAATCTTCCAGCCAGGTGACCTGAAAAGACATGAAAAGAGACTTTAATAAAACATTGTATTGAATTGAACAATGAAAAGGCCTGACTTGGGACGGATACAAACATATTTCTAGATTAAACAAATATTTTTTCAGATATCAACCTTCCTGAAATGTCTACTGGTACTCTATTCATACATGTCATACTCTATACAATAATATTGCTGCCCATGATCCAAGGTCACCGGAGGATAAAGTATTGACATTGTGTTAATGCCATTTCAATCTCAGTAATGACGTAATGGGTAGAAGGTGTTTTTATACTAGTTCATGTCTCAAGTACATCAACACTATAAGCACAAAATAAAGAAACAACATAAAATTTAATGAAAACCTGTTTTTTAATATAAAAATGAAAATAAATAACAATCTAAAACATTAAACTTTAATTTTGTATCAGTTATCAATATAAATTTGCTTTTTGTTATGAAAAGTGCTTACTGAATATCTGAGATAAAACAGAATCCCTATATTGCACATTATATTTGTGGTTAATGTTTTCTCTACTGTAAGGAAAATTATTTTTTGCCTAAGTAATCCATCATTTTATGTTTCTTAGAATTCTTCTGCAGTAAGATGATTTAATTTCTTGTAAAGCTTCATCTAAAACTTTTGTCATATGCACTAGATTTACAGGATCTGTTTGTAAAACAGTCGTTTCTCTTAGTCCTGACTCTTCTGTGTGAAGTTTAAATAATACTCTTGGTGTTGTCTGTCTTCTTAAAGATCTACTGCCGAGCTGAAATGAAAAGATCTAACAATAACATTTTGATAAGGATTTATAATCATTATTATACCTTGCCTCACAGAGTGGTTGGTATAGTGCAATCAGCTAAACAAATATTGAAGTGTGTGGTATAGTTCAATCAGCTTAACAAATATTGGAGTGCGTGGTATCAAGTGCAAACAGCTAAACAAATATTGGAGTGTGTGGTATAGTGCAATCAGCTGAAAATGTATAGAATGGGCGGTTAAGAGAACTCAGCTAAAATATATTGTAGTGTGTGTTATAGTGCAATCAGCTAAAAAAATATTGACATTTTTTTTTTTCAATTAAAGATTGAGGGATACTTCCTCTACACCCCTACCTGAATGTCTGTTTATCCATTAATTCCTTTGTCTGTTAATTTTGTTACATATTTCTTAGCATCTATGTTAAGGAATGATTTTATATTTGATATGGAACTTTATAAAGTTTAATTGTACTGTGTAAAAGATTTTCAAAACTACTGGGGATTAATTCCTGTTTGACAAAATTCATTAGAAGCTCTGATCACAGAATTTAAGTTGGATATACTAAATTCAGGACATCATATTCAACATTTTATGTATTTTAATGTAAACTGCAAAAAGATACCAGTCCATTTATCAGCAAAATATGTGGAAATGATATAAAAACATCAATTTTGATCATAAAGAAGCATCTGTCTAAGTTCATAAATTACATGAAGTTTTGTCAGTTACTGATGTTTAAAAAAACTAAAATCACAGACTACCTAATTAAAGGTGATGACAGAATGTAGGATCACTATGTCTCGCTTCCGCTAAAAAATGGTGCAGCCTCCACTATCAGTGTATCCCTCACTTGTAATCAAAGTGCTTGTGAGCACTGAAGAGTAAGGATTGCATGCATTTTGCAGTGGGAACTAAAAGTTAAATTAAAAGAATTGGAAGGTTCAACTACAGATAGGATAAGATAATTAGGATAAAATAAGATAAATTTTTATTTCCAATAGAGGACCCCATTATGGGCAAAACCAGTACAGTGATTTTTATATTACCTGAAAACAATTGCAATATAGACAATACACAAGAAAAACAACTCAAAACATGAAATATAAATTGAGTTAATAATATATATGGTCATATAAACCATTATGTTTAGTGTTTATTTACCATGCACCAGAAGCAGCATCACATCTGTTACAAAAATAGCTTTTATGTATGAACAAATAGTATTACTACAATTATGGACAAAGAAAGATAACTCCAATTTTGAATATTAATTTAACAATGAAATAATTTATATTTTTAGAACATTAATTTATGTAATTTTCTTGGCAAGTATGGTTATACACATACACATCATTTTATAACTTGGATATCTGAGTATTTAGTTCATTGATTAATTTCTTAAAATGTTCATGGATAGGATGGATAGAATACATTGCTCAAAAGTAGTGATAAAGTGTGGAAACTTGATAACTGTCAAGTAAGCCACATAAGGGTTTTGATTGCATGAATGCGATCTTTACCTCGAAAACACTTTAACATAAGGTAATATCCTGTCCATGTGGTTCTAATTTTGTATATAAAAATCTTATTAAACCAAGATTCATTATTCTGTAGACAAAATATCTTATGTACATATAGCAATTGAGATTCTAAACTAAACACCCAAACTCAAAGTTTATCATTGAACCATAACAATGATATGTACACCTTAACAAAAAATTAAAGAACAAAAATAGATGATCATCTGACATTGATGAAAAAGTCAGGATCTCCAGTCTGTCAACTGTTTTATATATCAAACTAAGTTGACATATTACATGTACTTATAGCAACTTAGGAACTGACCTAAGCCTGAAAACAAAACTATCATCATTGACTCTAGGAAAAAAAAGTTCAGACTTAAAGTAAACAGAAAAAACTCAGCCATCAGGTATATAAGCCTTATATTGGACGCATGGGGTATGTGATTTTGGTCACTATAGGTTCTCTAATTCAAATTGTTTTCAGTATGCTATTGTGTGCATACAGCATTTTTGTACTTGTCAGGCAAAATTGTTTGTATCAACATATTTTACATTGTTTAAAGGTTACAATGAATGTTTATATACTGACCTGAACATCAAACCTCCATTCTAAGTTATGATAATGTGGCAAGTCCATAGACATCTCTGATAATATGGTCCTAATTTCTTTTCTATTTTGTAGATATAATTGTAACAACGTCTGTCTCATCTCTTCTGAAAATCCTAATGTTAAAATAGAATCCTGGAAATCTATCTCATTTAACTGCAAAAAAAAAACATTCCATTGAAATTTTTGGAAAAATAAAATTGTGCATTTAATTAATAGATAGATTCTCTTGTAAGAAAATCCCAGAAGTCTTAACGTTTTTAACAGGGAACAGACTTTATGAAATCCTCTGAATCATCTCAATAGTACTTTAAATCAAAGTGCTTCAGCTTGTGACCACTGAAGGGCAAAGACTGCTTTCATTTTGCAATTTTGTGAATTAATAAATTGCTTCACCAAGTGCAGCTGGATACGACTGCAGTGGTCCAACCCTGAACAGTTGGGGCAAAAATGGACACAATATTCGCACTTGACACAGGTCTGAATTTGGATTGCAATTAAATATTAGACACATAATAGGTTTCTGACACAGAATAACTGTAGTCAAAGTACTTAGAATTGGTAATATGATTTGTATTCAATTTTTTGCTTTTGTGCAATACACTATGCTGTTGCAAATTGACCTCCCCCCCTAAAAAAAATGTACCCCCCTTTTTTTTGCTTTTGTTTGTGCAATACACTATGCTGTTGCAAATTGACCCCCCTCCCCCCCCAAAAAAAATAATTATTTGAAGAAATTTTCTTTTTAATTTCTGAAATCTTAAATGAGAAAAAATTGTCCCCCTTCACAAGTTCATTGTTACCCCCCCCCCCCCCCCCCCCCCCCTTTTTCCAAAAAAATATTCTATCCCTCAATATAAGGTCATAACCTCAATTCAAATTTCCATTGGAGTTTGCAACCATAATTACCCATTTAAATACATCATAAAAGTCTTAAAATAGGAAATGACATACATAATCATGGCTAAAATTAATATTCCTTAATCAGAATTTTTAAATAGTAACTTCAAAAAATTAATTGACAGCTAATCACCTTAAGACAAAACAACATTTCTTTATACATAATTTAAAAGCAGTGTAAGGGAGGTAATCCAAACATAACATTGTACTTTTTTTTAATTGTCCATTAACCAGGAAACCCTTGTTTTTCCCCCTTTTTTGCCCCTAATTCCTAAACGGTTTGAGCCATAACCCAGCAAAGCCAATCCTAACAATCCCTTTGTGGTATGGAAACTTGTGGTATAATTTCAGAGAGATCCATACACAATTCCACAAGTTATTGTCTGGAAACTAGAAAAATGCTTATTTGGGCCCCTTTTTGGCCCCTAATTCCTAAACTTTTAGGACTATAACCCCCAAAATCAATCCCAACCTTCCTTTTGTGGTTATAAACCTTGTCTTTAAATTTCATTGATTTATATTTACATTTACTTAAGTTATTGTCCGGAAACCAAATGTCTTCGGATGACCCTGATGACGACAACATGATACCAATATACGACCGCAAAATTTTTTGCGGTCGTAAAGAAATAAAACACAAAATTGTATTTAATAAGGCAAATTCAAAATTTGAGTTGGTTAAAATTCTTTGTTCAAAAAAGTTTAGTAATTCAAATCTGAAACTACTATTTTGTTTGAACTATCAAAGGTAGTGATACATCTTAAAAGATATAGATATCAAGTAGGTACCATAAAGGTTTTGATTGCAAACACCTTAACACAAAATAGATTCTGAGTTAAATTAATTTCTTAAATTACTTTTACAAATTTCTGTACAACCATATAAGAAAAAAAAAGAAAAATTTCTGTTCAGTTAAAGGGACATTAGCTGTCAAATTCATGTTCACCTATTTGAATCAAATTCTCATATTTGAATAATAACATACTAAAACGTATATCCAAATAATTAAAAGTCTAAAATAAACAATTTACGATGCATGGACTCGATCATATGTGTGTATTTCAGTCTAGACGCCATCTAATTAACCATTGAGGTGACCTCCAAAGACTGCCGACGGTCAATGACCAGATATAAACATAAACATAGATATAAATAGATAGCGAACTTGTGCAATTGGATTTTTCTAGGTCTGTTTGATTTCATTTTATAGCTTTAAAAAATATGTTAATAATTGTTTTTACCTGTATAAGAATGAGTTTTTGTAGATCGAATCAGTCAACCAAATGGTTTACCCTTGTTTCACTTCAAACATTGACATTCTTTTCTTTTTAAAAGCTGAACACGCCTAGTTCATGCGTAACCTATCTCTAGCTAAGGGGTTCAATTGAAGTTCACATGAATACGGATTGAATGAGGTCGAATTATTGACTTGCAAGTGAATAATTCATTAGTGATGTTTCTTTGCTTATTTTGACAAAACTTATATCACCATTTCACTTTCATTAATGATTGAACAAAAAGAAATCATATTTCATTTTTTTCTTTATCTCGTAGCTAATGCCCCTTTAAAAATTCATTTATTTGGAAAGTCTTTTCTGTGAAATAAATTCAAAACAAATGTACATATCAAATTGGATCTGGAACTAAATACTAAAATATATACTATAAGAATTTTAAGATATTTTAACAACAGTCCTACTTTAAAATTTACTTTATAAACACTTAACACCTACATATTACAAAACTCCACTGATACCAGCATAAACAAAAGACAGTTTTTAGCTTATCAAGGGTCGCAACACTCACTTCTGTGAGCTAGCGAAAGGTCAATATCATATAAACTTCTCAGGAAGGTTTTTATTCAATATGTGCCATAAAATACTGTCAATCACCCTTAATTTGTTGCAAATCCATAGGATATGATTCCAATAAAATTCTTGGGCTGCAATGTTATTTTAGCAAAATTTCAACAGTATTCAGGTATTAATTTGTTTCACATGATAATTTGCCATATGTGTGAGGTATCGTCATTCAAACAATGGAAACCTGAATGTTCCATGAATGAATCACTCTGAAAAAAAGTTACATTTATATTTATACTTGCCATTAATTTAGAACTCTCTGTTAACAAATACATCAAACCTTCAACCCCATGCTGAACAGTTTCTGATTCAACTTTTAATTTTTCTGAAAAATATCCAATTAGATATGGTTATATAACAGTACTGAAAGGCAGATAGTGAATGTACAAGTAACATCTAATTCTCAATAGCTTCCAATTTTATTCATTCTATATAACGAATTTCTCAACTACATATATGCAGCATATCAAAATACAAAATGTATTTTTATTACAACACTGTACTAATATTCCATTTATTTCCAATAAATAACAAATTATGTTCTTAGATAGGTTCTCAATCTGAAATCCCAAATTGTTGATGTTTAAAACAATGTACAACTGTGATCTGAATTATCTCCCTTCATCTCAATGAGGCACATCAATAGTTTGCTGTACTGAATTTTACAGACAAGTGTGTTTGTAAAGTGATAATGGAGTGTCAATTAACTTTGCTTTTGGCACGTTTGATGTTGAATCACATGGAGTTATCATTAAATAACCTTTGACATTTAAGAACAGCAGCTCATCAAAATGCACAGAAAGGACCAAAATTACTGTTCGGTCAAATGTGACTCTGACCAAACTTGGGGCAAAAATATGAATCATATTATTCTCTGTAACTTCACATTCAAGTCAGATGCCTAAAAAAATATATGTTTCTTTCAAAGATCTAAAATTATGACAGACTTAGTTCACCCTTGAAAACTTCATTTATTAAATTTTACCATTTTTCAAGCATTTTGTAACTTAAAAGTAAACATAATTAAGTGGCATGTCTTCTTACAATAAAATAATTGGAAAAGTATTAACTTTACTATCATATTAACCACTCTTTTAATTAATATTGATCAGTATCATTATGTCATTTAATGAGGGCTAACTCAAATTTTTGTTAAAGAAAGTTGCAGTTGAGATTTTTACAAAATACTTACGGGCAGCTCCTAGATAAACCTTTGGGTTTGCCCCTTTCCTGATGAAATCCATACTAATTCTACAAAATTCTTTTACCACTATCAAAGAGAGAAGAAAAGAGTTAATTTAGAATAATGCACAATGCCTGTTGAAATTGTTAAAACAGATTGCAGGTACATGCCATAGCTTATGATATAATTGTACAGAGATATTTTTTAGAGAGATAAACAATATTTGAATAGTTGTCATAACTTTTCAGATCTCTCAAATGAGGCCAAATTTGTTTGGTTATTTTATATATAATACTAATGGAAATTTGTCTGTCCTGAAGTATTTAGGGATTTATATCATTAAATGTCTAGAAGTTGTGCGAAACGTAAATTAATTTACTTAATAATGATGATTATTGTAACAATTTTATGGTTCAGGTCTTACCTGGAATAAATTTTATATGATTTGTATAAGAACCACATTTAATATTTCATTTCAATGTAAAATAATTTTTTTTTAACAAAATCAGTGTACTGTTTTGTGTGTATAGGTGTTATGCTGCCCATCAAGGCCCTTAATTGGAGCAGTAAATATTCTTATTCTATAAAAAACCAAATGAACCATTTTTTAATTCGATTAAACTAACTGACATCTGCTTTATAACAGCTTATATGAAAGTTATTATTGCAGCCACACCCATTGGAAAAGAAATGGTGATGTCATGTTTTGTGTGTTGAAGACATGACAAAATTCAAGTTAAACTTCAATCCCATATAATGTCAACAATGCAGTGCTGATACATTCATAGTGAACCTTACATCTACAAATTTTCCATCTACAGTAACACAAAATCTACTTAACACAAAACAAGAAATTATACTAAAGATTTCCAGCAATTTTGGACTACAGAGTTCAGACACTTCATAATATTTGGCCTATATGATGAGTGTGTATTACTTTCAAAATAAAGGGTTTTAGATTCTATTTCCTTATCCAACTGGATATTGTGAAACAACTTGCATGACATTAAAGTCTAATGGTAATTCCTTTCTTGAAATGTGTAAGCTTTTGAGAGCAGATAGCTAAACACTTGTCAAATATGACACATTTGATTCAACTTCCCAATCAAACAATATAATTTTTAATTTCCGTCTTGGTATTCTTTTATTTTTCTAGTGTTAACCATATTAATCTCCTTATCAACTCAATGAAGAAGTGACATTGATAAGAAAATAATCCAATATTAAATGAGTCAAATGACTTAATCCTATCACATTTAGATAAATTTCAAATATTCCAATCATTTCACCTTATCATGCCATTTACCTTCAAATAAACTATTTATTACAACTATTATACAAGAATGCTAGTCAAATTGAATCAACAGGGTAAAGAAGACAAGACTATAAAATGTCTTGCATCAAACTGAAGACTATTTTGAGAAATATTTTTGCAAGAAAAAAACTTCAATAGAAATATTAGAATTTTGGACTACCTGCTTATTAAGTGTTGTCCTTATTGGGATTCAGAGATTAAAGCCCCCAAACCTTGCAATGTAGGGGAGTTAATTTTTAAAAAAACAGCTCTATCTCGGTGTATAGCTTAATCATAAAACAGTTCCTTTCTAGTCCCAATAGGGAAGGGCTTAATCTAAAGATAAGATAAGATATTTATTAGTGTAAAATCCAAAGAATCCTATTGCTATTAAATATATAAAATAACACAAATAAACAATGAAAAATACAAATATGTAACATTCTCCAAAAAATATTTAAAAAAAAAAAAAAAAAAATTTCTTCTCTTTAATATTAATGCTAGACAGCATGCCTCCCCTCAAATAAGAATTAAAATTATTAAATTTAGAAACATAGAAGATCATTTGAATTTATGTATTTATGTTACTATGAGGTAACTATATCAGGATTTCCATAATTTGATTTCAGGATATCATATCCTGAAATCAAATTATGGATGTCCTGAAATAATTGTGGAGGTCCATAAATATTTGTGGATATCCTGATTGGATTGAGGAGGATTAAATAAAAGCAATTCTAAAGGATTATTTGTGGAGGTCCGGAATATTTCAGGATATCATGATATGGAATTATGAAATATTTATGGATATCCTGAAATTGAATTATAAAGGTCCTGGCATATTTCGGGAGGTACATGATTATTTATTAATTTTCATAATTTCTTGAAAAAAAAGTTTAAATCTGACTATCCATCCATGAAACATAATTAATAGAACAATTTTGTGTTATGTAGATGATGATGTTATACCTAAACTAATGCTCTTAGTGTTAGTTATTGTTGAAAACTATGAGTTGGTATGAGTTTGGAGTGGTATGAGACTGCAGTGGTAAGAGTTTACAGTGGTACAAGTTTACAATGTTACAAGTTGATTATAATTACACATGGCATAAAAATTCCCTCATTCAAGCCATTCTGGTTGGATATATTCATTCATCCTGCACTACCAAACAAAACCTTCCCTCAACATGGCTTTTACCTGTGTGGATTAAGGTTTCACTACAAAAAGGGAAAATTCAGGCAACACTGTTCATGGGAACTTGTCCACGTGGATGTCACATATATAGCCTGCTATCGTCATCAAGAATTTCTCAAAAACAGTGTACCCCAACCATCCTACACTGTTGTTGTTGGATAAAAGAGGTACATGAATATTTTAAAGGGCTATATATCCTGAAGACAAGTCCCTGGTCCTCATGAAGATTTTAATGGGCTAATGTCCTGAAGACAAGTCCTTGGGGTACATGAAGATTTTAAAGGGCTATACATCCTGACGACAAGTACTTGGGGGTACATGAAGATTTTAAAGGGCTATATATCCTGAAGACAAGTACCTGGGGTACAGGAAGATTTTAAAGGGCTATATATATATATCCTGAAGACAAGTCCCTATCACCATATTTAGAAACCGAAGTTACCCCTTTATTCAGGGTGATTCCAAGAAACACTAAGCCCTGAAGAATTCCGATCCTGCACCTTAACATTGTAACCAAAGTATACAAAATGAAATTACCCAGAGAAATTACAGTACCAAGTAGAAACAAGAAAGCACATAGAGACCAGTTGTGTCAAACTAAATATTGACCTTAGGATCAGATCAGATCCCTTTACACACAGGACAGGAATTAAGTTGACAATATAATGACTCCTCTTTACATGTTTAAAAATGAGAAATAATGAATTTTCTAAAACTTTAAGTGAGAATCATTATAAATCTTGTGTACATCTAGCTACCATCAAAATCTAAATTGAATGTTATTGCAAAATTTTGGTAGCAATCCTATATTTTTTTATTAGAAACCAATAAGATATATTTATCTTTATCGGTTACCATCAATGTCAGTATTTGTTAGAAAGGATAGGTGCTCCTTGTGATGATCTTCAAACATCAACAACATGGTTAAAAATTTATAGTTGTTTTTTCTTCTTTTCTGTTTATGGACACGCCCACCATTTACTATAGTAGTGTGATGATTTTTGTCTTTAAAAAAATACAAACACTTGTTTAAATTGGTCTATCATTCATTATTCATTAGATTAATCCAAATATCAATCTTCAATCTAAATAATGTTTTAGAATTTGATTATAAAACAATCATTTAACTGTTGGCAATTTAATTTGTTTGGGAGGAAAGACATTAATTTAGCACTTTATAATAAAAACCGGAAGTAGACCCATTTACGATACCAACCGGGTTGTTTACATCGAGAGGGAAAAGTTGACTTTTTTCAAATGCAAAAAAAAAAGTACGACTTGAAATATCCTATACAGTTTACCTGTAGCATTTAAGAAATTTTGCATTGAGAAAAAAAAGGGATGCAAATTCATGAAAATCATTCATCTATATCGGAAAGTTCAGGCAAAAGCATGTCATCAAAATATTTGAAACAGGTAACGACTTGTTTCAAAATAAACAAATAAAACTTACTTTCCCGTAATAAAACTGTCTGATAACTTTAAATTGTATTTGATATGATCTTTCATGTATTTTGAGGAAAATGACACATTATAATAAAGGTTTGTGAATTTAAACATTTTTATTTGGCTTAATACATGTATTTATCATCTACAATATAGATTTGCAATTGAGCTTGCACGGAAAAAAAGATGTTATTACTAAATATTGTTATTTTGGTAATAAAATTCACTATCAAAAGTGAAAGAAAAACAATCATATTTCTTTCTAACATGTCTAATAAAAAACATAGGTTGTACATTGTCTACATGTATTTAAAATAAATATTTAATACAATTTGACATGGAATTCAAATTTATGTTATTGTTAAATTAAGTTAGGTGCTATGTGATGAGCTCATGTAGGCTGGTATTGGGTCTGTTCACCCTAATTTTTATAAAAAAAAATATTAATATTAATGGTATAATTTAAGGTTTTATAATCTTATTCAGATATTTAAATGGTAATTATCAAAGAAAATATCCATTTTTCCAAATTCATGAATAAACATGAAAATTATTAAAAAAAATATTGGTTTTTGTTTTGGAGCATTAATCAGGTTGATTGGCTTCATTGTTACATTTGCTTTCAGAATTACTTTTATTGACTGTTGATTGTAAACATGGTAAATAAACTCATCATAGATACCAGGATTAAAATTTTGTACGACAGACACACCTCTCGTCTACAAAAGACTTCACCAGTGACGCTCGAATAAAAAAAGTTAATAAGACCAAATAAAGTACAAAGCATTGAGGACCCAAAATTCCTAAACGTTTTGCCAAATACAGCTAAGGTAATCTATTCCTGGGGTAGAAAAGCTTTAGTATTTCGAAAATTCAAAGTTTTGTAATTTAGAATGCTGGTTAGGTATAATTACGATGTCTTTGATCTCACTGATTGTGTTTGGTGGATAAATAATGATTTTTGTCGTGCCTTCGACTTTAGTCGAAAAAGCGAGACATAGCGATCCTACATTCTGTCGTCGTTGTCGTCGGCGGCGTCCACAAATATTCACTCTGTGGTTAAAGTTTTTGAAATTTTAATAACTTTCTTAAACTATCCTGGATTTCTACCAAACTTGGACAGAAGCTTGTTTATGATCACAAGATAGTATCCAGAAGTAAATTTTGTAAAAATAAAATTCCATTTTTTCCGTATTTTACTTATAAATGGACTTAGTTTTTCTGCCGGGAAATATATCATTCACTCTGTGGTTAAAGTTTTTAAAATTTGAATAACGTTCTTAAACTATCCTGGATTTGTACCAAACTTGGACAGAAGCTTGTTTATGATCATAAGATAGTATCCAGAAGTAAATTTGTTAAAAAAAAAATTTCATTTTTTCCGTATTTTACTTATAAATGGACTTAGTTTTTCTGCCAGGAAACAATACATTCACTCTGTGGTTAAAGTTTTTAAAATTTTAATAACTTTCTTAAACTATCCTGGATTTGTACCAAATTTGGACAGAAGCTTGTTTATGATCAAAAGCTAGTATCTAGAAGGAAATTTTGTTAAAATTTGTACCTGTTTATCTGTATTTTACTTATAAATGGACTTAGTTTTTCTTCCAGTTAACATAAAATACAGTCTGCAGTTACAGTTTTTAAAACATTTATTAGATTCATAAACTATCCTGGATTTATATCAAACTTTGACAGAAGCTTCTTAAATTCAAAAGATAGTATCTAAAGGAATATTTTTATTGATTTTTTTCCTCATTTTTGTTGAGCCTGCGATTAACAGCAAAAGTAGGCGAGACACTGGGTTCCGCGGAACCCTTACAATTTTTTTTTTAAATAAACAAGTCAGCTTGGAATGAGTTGAAACAATGATATAAGAATAGTAAGACATTAAAAAAATTGTTTTCGCAGCTTGGCTTCTTTGATCTCAAGGTGTTGGATCTTGTTATACCTGTTAGGATTGTTTTGAAATTGTAACAATGTTTCAAAAAAGATAAATTCATACAGATAACTTGATCTCCAGTTCTGGAACATGCTGAACACTTCTTCTTCCTCCAAATACTACCCACATTCAACATGATGAATATTCTGGCAAGAATATTCAATGCAAATCAAAGAAAAATAATTATCTGGTAGCAGCAATACAACATAAATATTCGACGAAGTTTTCAACAAACTTTAACATAATTAATTCAAATAATTTATATTATACAAGACCACAAAATAAAATAAAATCAGGGCAAACCAGCGAACCGAATTAGGGCGAATGGACCCAGAGCGAACAGGTATTAGGGCAAACAGGTACTAGGGCGAACGGGAATCAGGGCGAACAGACCCGGTTTCATGTAGGCTACTTTGTATTACTTGTTATCTCTGCAATGTCACATGACTTTTCAGCTGCTCACCTCCAGCTTGATCAAATTTTTATGGTCTTATGAATTATTTAATAAAGCTTTGTGTGATTTAAGAACAGTATGTTTGCAAAAGATGTATTATTATATATTTAAACGCTTTTCACATTTTCACATATGAGATCAATTGAATGGGAGTTTTATCACAACCATGTTGAAGATTTTTCAGGGCCATAGTGAATATATTATAATCTACTATTTCAGTACTCTTTGGTCTTTGGGACTTACCATTTTTTCTTATTTACTGTATATAGATGTTTATTTTTACTGATCTGTGAAGTCATGCAACCTCTTCTTGTGAGATTACTTCTCCGACATTCACAATGAATTCTGGTGCGAGTCACTGTATAAACCTGATCACTTTTAGTGCCTTTCTTGGTTCCTCAGCTGATGAGGTTTCTGTTATCTGTCATGCAAATGGAATTCGACTAGACTGTGAGCAGAAAAAGACATTTTTAGTTTTTATGCTTCACATATGTTTTCAAATTTTGGAATACATTTTTTCTCTTCTAAGTCATGTAAGTGATATTGGTGAAATCTCAAATGTATTATATAAAGCCATTGTTGTTTTCTAGTGTAAATTTGCAGTTAAGAACTTAAGGCAACAACATTAATTTGAAAATCCAATTTTTAGTCTGTGGTATTTTTGTGGACAATGCTGGAAGTAAATTTTCATGCAAATGTCATCCAGTGATTATAATAGGATACATATAAATACAAAGAGATGTGGGGTATACATCATTTAGACAGTGACCAAACAACAAAATAAAATAGGAAAAGTCATCTAGAGATCATCCGTTTGAATTCATCAACAGATGTGTCCATGTCGTTTTATGCAAAGCACTTGTTTTCCTTCAATCCAGATCTAGACATGCCTTGAATAACTTTAACAGGACTACCAGATATCTGTCATTCACATCCAATTACTAATAGAAAGAAAACAAGGGTAAGATTTAAACAAAGACAACCCTCTTCCAAAGTTCTTGACTTGGGATACCTGTAGGTACATTAGAATATAGTGGGATTCAGATTTAAACAATAGCTAACCATTGACTAAGTTCATGATTTTGGATAAGTACAATAGAATGTTGGGGGATTAAACTATCATTTTAATACTCCTGCCTCCCTCTTTCATTTCAATCAGTGGAATAATAAGTGTAGAGAAGAAGATATTATAGAATATAAATAAAAAAGAACCTCTTCATAATGTTGGTATTGAATATGACCAAAAAAGTGTAATACAATCTGAATTATAATAATATCAAAGAATTTCCCAAGCTATCATGGTTACTGAAAGCAAGCTCAAAGTACTTGACAAAGAAGCTGATCAAACAATATTATGCTGATATACATGCTTTTTACACTATGTTGTCTGTAATTACTGTAGTCAAAATAACATTTAGAAATTGTAGCAATAATCTAGATGTAAACTATTTTTATGTGCGATTTCAAGACATATTAATTAGAACACATACTTTGCTTTTTTGAAATAATTGATTATTATACATTTTTAAGTGTTGGGAATTTCATGTATATCTAACTTTGAAGGTATTTAAACTCTGGATTAACTATGCAATTTCATTTGAGTCAAGTATAGTGAAAATAAACTGATCAAATACAATACTCTCAAGTAAATATCATATTTTTTATCAGATTTTAGTTAACTTTATGAAGATTAATTGAAATGTCCTTCATTCTTATCTCTAAGTATGCAGTCTGTATACTTTTTTAACTCTTTTTCTTTTATAGTTTTTTATTTGTTTTTGTCAGTTTCTACATAATTCATCTTTATATGTCAGTATGTAATATTACTAATATATTTTCATGGTCATCTAGAAGCTTGATATTTTTACCCATTCTTTTCTTGGTATAAATTACACATATAAAAACAAAATAGGCTGTTCCAGTTTAAGTGCTTGAACAAATAATTTGGTGCATTATAGTATAATATGATATGAGCTGTGTCGGATCGAAATCGACCTTATGCAAATCAATATCAATACATCTGTTTAACCTATATTGGGTTGAAAAATCTCTACTGGAAGTCTGTAACTGTTTGAAAATTGAGTTGTTAAAAGAACCTTACAAAACAGACAAAATGCATCTTTTAATTCGTATTTGAATGTTCCAAAATCAATCATAGTGTTATCCATGTACATGTATATGTACACTTGCATAAGGCCAATTTCTATCCAACGCAGCTCATATTATAATGGTTAGATGCCTAAGACAAGACCTCCAAAGGAAAACACATGAGATATGTTCAAATGGCTTTAATGAATGGATGCCTAACTTTCATAATGCCTTTCTTGGATACAGCGTTCTATTTTAGTGGAACAGTAATAAAGTTTTCAAAATATAATTAGTATTTGATCCAAACTAAGTTTTGTATCAACATGAGAGTACTGTATAAATTTTGGAAGTGAAAACCATCTTAAGTATTTTGACAGTTACATGTATGTGTTTATAGAGGAGATAAACATGTTTAAATATTATCTTTTAAAATTTAAGTACAAGTTAGAATAGCAAAAAAATATATATAATATCAAAAATTCTCATTGTTTAATGGTCAAAATTCCACTCTCTGCCAAATACATGTTACAGTATTGTAAACATCATTGCTTCTTTCAGTTGGGGTGTCATTGAGATAAATAAAGGTAAAATTTAGATAAGTGTATGTTCATGAATAGAAAATATGTCTAAACAAGCAATTCTTATCTTGTGTGTTTTTGGTGGTTTTTTGGGTGTTTCAAATTAAGAATATCTTGAATCTCTTTTTATTGAAATGGTTTTAATTTCTTACAAAATTTGTTCTGTAGAAGAAATGAGGAAAATGTCAGTTCTAAGATTTTAATGAAATATTTCCGTAGCCTTGTTTTTAGTACTTATTTGAACAGACAAAATGTAATCATTGATGATCAGATATCTATATACATGTACAGTAGAAGAAGTTCTACCATTTCTATTATTATAATTATTCTTTTTGTAATAGGTTTTCGTGACTTTATAAAAGCCCAGTTGACTGATGATTCCATATTTGAATTAAGTATTATGGAGAAAATCACAGACTTATGGCAGCAACTACAAAAAGATAATAGGTAAAATAAGTTTTAAGCTTAGTGTGCATGTTTCTTTGTACCTTTAAACTATAAGATTCTGAAAAGAAAGTCTTCTTTGCTTCCAGTATAGGTACTATTTTTTCTTAATTCTTGTGTAGAGTTGTGACTGTGTTTCCTCTTCTTACTGACCCAGTGCATTAGAATAAAATATTAAGTTATGAAGATGGGAATGTTTAAGAATCATGATGATATTGGATGAAGAAAATATGCATGTTTCAATGTAGATCTTGTTTCTTTAAAAACTATGGAACTTTCATAGTCAGTAGACTCGGTATACAAGAACACAAGATTATTGTATTTGTATTAATAAGATGTACTTGACTTTATGTGCCGTTTGGTTGTTGTTACATTTAGCTTTACCCCACATCCTTTAGTTCATTATATAAGGTGAAGTGCTGTTCAGAAAATAAAGGAATGTTGAACTTTTTATGAGTGATAAAGGCAAGAAACGAATCAAGGATTAATTAATTAACGGCAATATTGCAGATTTTAAAAATCCTCTGATTTTCTTTGTTTTATTTAAATTTTTACATAGATATTGGACTAGAAAATATGAACACATTCATGTGTATCTTCTAAGGTATGAAATCTTTTCTTGAAATATTCTGTTGTTTCTTTAATGAGTTTGATATTTGATTATTGCAAAAATGAAAATTAATTGCCAAAATAGCCTTATTGTCAATTTGTTGAGCCTGCCACCTAAGTCGCTGGGTAGGGACTCTACATTTTGTCTGCAACATTTAGGTTCAGTCTGTGATAAAAGTTTTGGTAAGATATCAATTACTTTCTCAAACCTTTCAAGAATTTTATGAAACATGAACAGAAGCTTTTTGTGAATTAAAGTAATAACATCTTATGCAAAATTTGCAAATATGTTTTTTTCATTTCCCTGTATTTAACTGATAGATGGACTTAGTTTTTTTCAGTTACATATACTTGCAGTTAAATTTTTTAGACGTCAATGACTTTGTCCTATCTTCATTAAATTCATCAAACTTGGACAAAAACTTCTTGATGATTGGGAAATGACATCTGAAGATAAAGTTTTATTTTTTTTTGTTTTTTTCATATTTTACTGATATTTGCAGTCTCATGCAAGATATAGGGTTCCCATAACCCTTTACAATTTTATTGAATGAAATGGTCACATAATTATAAAAATTGTATCATCAAAATTCGTGTTTAATTTCTTAATAATTCATTTGCACTTGTATAGCTCTTTTCGTCTCTATAACTTTCAACTTTTTCTAATAGAATTTTAAGTTATTGGAAATGGATAGGTCTTTATTCCCTTTATTTTACATTTTACATGTTTGTATGTTTCTCTTGATAAAATAATCCTTTTTGATGAAAAAAAAAAAGAGAGACCAAGATATGCAAGAAAATCTCTTTGGAATCATTTACAGAGTTATGAATCATTCCTTTATCAAACATTTCAAATACTGTATGATATCCTAAACAATCACCTGTCCTTTGTTACAACAATGATGGTATGTCACATCTTTCCACAGTACAGTAAAGACAATGTTTGATTCAAGTACAATTGATCTTTTGTTCACATGCAAAATATGTTTTACTATTGTGCACTGTAACACATACTCTTTGTTCAGATTTTCTCTTTATACTAATGAAGTATAATGTTTTACTGCTTGTTTAAATTATGGGAGGAAAAATTATGTGCTTTAACAATATATTTCTCTCTATCATTTATAATAACTTAGAAAGTTCTATAAAGAAAAATTAATATGTTACACTTAATTAAATATTGCATTTCAGTGTTGTCGAGTAAAGCAGACTTAATTTATTAAGGTAAATTGTGTGCTGTAATCCCCACCCAGAAATATGGTGTGAACACATAACATTAAAGTGAGAGATTTGATAATTTTGTAATTGCATTATAATATCAATGGCTAAAACTCTAGTTTAATTTTAGTTTTCAGAGTAAGTGTAATTTTATTACTCCAGTATTACAAAAAAAGAATTAAACAAACAAAAATGTCATCAACTACATGTATAAGTTAAATTTGTTTTGGTGGCAAATCAATGGTTCAGCTTGTAACTAAAACATTTAAAATTTGACTATTCAGTAATAGAGTGGAGCTTTATAGATAAATACATTGAAAATGTTACATAATTGCAAATCTCTTTCCTGTCAGATAGACACTTTAGTTTTCACTTTTCATTATTTTCTGATAGCTTTTTGTACAACATGTATTTAAACTTTTTAGTTTTATATAATTTTAACTCATTAGGGATGATTTAAAAAAGGCATTTTAAAATTTTTCATAAAGACCTTGATAGACACTTCTGATGGTAACTAAAGGAGATATATATATACTGTTCCTTCCATGTCCATTATTTGGAAAGTTGTCTGATGTATCCAATTTCATTTTTTGTCCTATACTAAATGTCGCAGGAAGGTGAGACATAGAGATGGCAAATCAGTAAAGCAGGCAAGAAATTTCAATGTGTCAAGTTTCCCCTAATATACTTTTTTATTGCTTTCTAGTTCCTTTATCTGTCCCTTCAGTCACGACAAGAGGACACTGAATAAGCAAAATAATGCTCCAAAATATTCTTAGAGTTTATTGTCACTGTAGAGTAGCAATTCTGTTTCAATGTACTTAATAAAACCTCTAAAATCTTCAGATCGCAGATTTACTATAGATTATAGTGATCATGGCTGATGAACTGAGAGAAAAGTAAGTATCATGTGACAGTCACATGACCTGGTGTCACATATTTGGCTAGGTAGTACATTTGCTTGGCTGAAGGCAAACAACATTCATTTATTCCAATTTCAAAGTTTGAAAACAATTTGCAAAATTTAGAAAATCATAATTAATTTTAAGGTTATATGTAGTATGAAACAATATTTTTAAAATCCTAATAAAAGTAAGATGCACTAGTTTCTATAAAAGCCTTTCTCAGTTGCATTTCAGTCCAATGAATATAAAAATTGCATTGTTATTCATGTATCTTTGAATTGAGTCTTTTAACAATTGAGCATAATGCAAAAACTATGAAATCTTATGGTTGATTTCAAAACTGCAATTTATGTCCAAAAAATTTCTTAGTCTGTTGGTATGTTCACTACTTTTAAGATTTTATTATATAAGCCTCTATGTTAGTGTAACAATTTTTAATCTTTGTCAATATTTTGAAACTAAAAATTCAGTAATGTAAATAAATGATATTGTAAATAAAAACAAAATATTAATGTCTCTAAAGTTTGTTATAGTACATTAAAATCAGTGAGTCTGTTTATTTTATGGATATTACTGTTGGAATGATCCCTTTCCACAGATTATAAAGTGCTTGTAAAATAAGTACATAGTATTTAGTATGGTTTTATATACTTTGTAGTTATATTTGCACATAGAATAAGTAATGCTGCTGGTAGTATGATTTTAATTTAGTATAACCTTTTGTGGAGTGAATTGTTGTGTTCCGAGGCTTTAAGAATACTTAACATGGAATTATCACTTGGATTGAAGGTTTTATTAATAATAAGTTATTTTATGACATTTCATGCAAATCGTGGTATTTAGATATTTTCTCTTCAGAACATTTTAACAGTTAGATTAAATTTCAGTTTGACATTGAAATAAAGACACAGTCTAAGGTCAGACTACTTTTTGCATGTCATATCATGACTGCTGGATTAGACATATAAAATAAATTTTGCAATTATAAGAAGCATGAATTAGATGGTAGTATTTTTAAATTACAGCTGTAGTGGATTAACAAAGAAAAGAATCAAATCTCTGTTACATTTTGCAAAATAAACTGTTTAACACATTAAGGAATTATAGTCCTTGAGTTATAAAGCTGGTGTATTAAAGAAAGATTACATTTTAAATAATGAATATATTGCTGACTGAGAATTTTAAAGAAAACTAGAAAGGTTAGATTTTTGTTTATGATTGTAGTTTCATTATAAAATTTTATGAGAAAAAAATTGTATTGTATTTTTGAGCTGTCTTCTTTAAAGTGTCCGTAATTATTGTAATCCTTATTATAATGCTTAAGATTTTGACACTGTAAATAATACAGTAAAGGTTTACCTGGGGTGGGTTGTATCAACACAAACATATTTCAATAACCATACAGAGAGAAGAAGGACATAGGTTTACCAATGTTAGCTTATCTGCAAGACAGTTTAGTCTAGTTATCTGATCATTTTTTTGTGCACTGGTTTTTTTGGGTAAAAAATTGTATGCTTGGGTTCATAAGAGTTATTGCCCTTGAAATGGAAAAATTACATGAAAATCATCATTTTAAGGACCCTTTTTCCGTGTTACTACTGATTGAACAGTTTGTTTTATGGTGAATAATTTTAACACAGATCTGATTTATTTATGAAGAATTGTCTGAATTTGATTGATATTTGTAAGCTAAGCATCGAATGGCAAAGTGTTCGCACATATTCAAGAAAAAGTATTTGTTTTGTGGTTGTGAGTTGGGAACTAGAATTATTTTTTTCTTTTAGTCTAATTTATTTTGTGCTATCCAGTTTTTGTCCTTGGAATGCATTATTAATGATACATAAAGTGCATAGCTCCTTACGACAAATGAAGGATGTATATTAAATTTTCCTGTAACAGATATTAGCTTATGACAGAAGATGCTAATTTCTATAACAAACATTTTTTCTTTTATAAGTCTACATAAAAAACAATACCCAAATCTAATTGTTTACTTCCAGTGCTACATAATATTACACATACACTCCTGCTTTTGATATTACTTTAAAAAAATTAAGATAAGATTGGTTTATATGAGAAAGTTGATTTACAAATTTGTTCAGTTTACATAGACATAGGTCAAATGAGAAAATAAATATAATTTCGCCATTTATATAGTTCCTACAGATAATATTTGCTTAGTAAATGAAAGCACTCTCCTGTCCCAGGATTCAAGCTGGAATAGTGTATGTGTATTTTATTTTGCATATTGACAACAATGATCTGAAACATAAAACTTGTTAAAGAAGGGTATCCATACAATAAAATCATTCAAAATGAAATAAATGCTTCCTATTACAGATTACCCAAAGGTGTATTGACATCTAGCTGTGAATCTGAGCTTCAGGAATTGATGCATCATATTGATGATATGATGTCAGGTAAAAAGAGAGATTGGGAGCATCAAATTCAAAGTCTACAAGATAGGATGGACATAAAGGACAAAGAAACTATGTTACATAGGGCTACTATAGACCAGAAACATAAAGAGGTAAGATAGGATGGACATAAAGGACAAAGAAACTATGTTACATAGGGCAACTATAGACCAGAAACATAAAGAGGTAAGATAGGATGGACATAAAGGACAAAGAAACCATGTTACATAGGGCTACTATAGACCAGAAACATAAAGAGGTAAGATAGGATGGACATAAAGGACAAAGAAACCATGTTACATAGGGCTACTATAGACCAGAATCATAAAGAGGTAAGATAGGATGGACATAAAGGACAAAGAAACTATGTTACATAGGGCTACTATAGACCAGAATCATAAAGAGGTAAGATAGGATGGACATAAAGGACAGAGAAACCATGTTACATAGTGCTACTATAGACCAGAAACATAAAGAGGTAAGATAGGATGGACATAAAGGACAAAGAAACCATGTTACATAGGGCTACTATAGACCAGAAACATAAAGAGGTAAGATAGGATGGACATAAAGGACAGAGAAACCATGTTACATAGGGCTACTATAGACCAGAAACATAAAGAGGTAAGATAGGATGGACATAAAGGACAGAGAAACCATGTTACATAGGGCTACTATAGACCAGAAACATAAAGAGGTAAGATAGGATGGACATAAAGGACAGAGAAACCATGTTACATAGGGCTACTATAGACCAGAAACATAAAGAGGTAAGATAGGATGGACATAAAGTACAAAGAAACCATGTTACATAGGGCTACTATAGACCAGAATCATAAAGAGGTAAGATAGGATGGACATAAAGGACAGAGAAACCATGTTACATAGGGCTACTATAGACCAGAAACATAAAGAGGTAAGATAGGATGGACATAAAGGACAGAGAAACCATGTTACATAGGGCTACTATAGACTAGAAACATAAAGAGGTAAGATAGGATGGACATAAAGTACAAAGAAACCATGTTACATAGGGCTACTATAGACCAGAATCATAAAGAGGTAAGATAGGATGGACATAAAGGACAGAGAAACCATGTTACATAGGGCTACTATAGACTAGAAACATAAAGAGGTAAGATAGGATGGACATAAAGGACAAAGAAACCATGTTACATAGGGCTACTATAGACCAGAATCATAAAGAGGTAAGATAGGATGGACATAAAGGACAAAGAAACCATGTTACATAGTGCTACTATAGACCAGAAACATAAAGAGGTAAGATAGGATGGACATAAAGGACAAAGAAACTATGTTACATAGGGCTACTATAGACCAGAAACATAAAGAGGTAAGATAGGATGGACATAAAGGACAAAGAAACCATGTTACATAGGGCTACTATAGACCAGAATCATAAAGAGGTAAGATAGGATGGACATAAAGGACAAAGAAACTATGTTACATAGGGCTACTATAGACCAGAAACATAAAGAGGTAAGATAGGATGGACATAAAGGACAAAGAAACCATGTTACATAGGGCTCCTATAGACCAGAAACATAAAGAGGTAAGATAGGATGGACATAAAGGACAAAGAAACCATGTTACATAGGGCTACTATAGACCAGAAACATAAAGAGGTAAGATAGGATGGACATAAAGGACAGAGAAACCATGTTACATAGGGCTACTATAGACCAGAAACATAAAGAGGTAAGATAGGATGAACATAAAGGACAAAGAAACTATGTTACATAGGGCTACTATAGACCAGAATCATAAAGAGGTAAGATAGGATGGACATAAAGGACAAAGAAACTATGTTACATAGGGCTACTATAGACCAGAATCATAAAGAGGTAAGATAGGATGGACATAAAGGACAAAGAAACTATGTTACATAGGGCAACTATAGACCAGAATCATAAAGAGGTAAGATAGGATGGACATAAAGGACAAAGAAACCATGTTACATAGGGCTACTATAGACCAGAATCATAAAGAGGTAAGATAGGATGGACATAAAGGACAAAGAAACTATGTTACATAGGGCTACTATAGACCAGAAACATAAAGAGGTAAGATAGGATGGACATAAAGGACAAAGAAACCATGTTACATAGGGCTACTATAGACCAGAATCATAAAGAGGTAAGATAGGATGGACATAAAGGACAAAGAAACTATGTTACATAGGGCTACTATAGACCAGAAACATAAAGAGGTAAGATAGGATGGACATAAAGGACAAAGAAACCATGTTACATAGGGCTCCTATAGACCAGAAACATAAAGAGGTAAGATAGGATGGACATAAAGGACAAAGAAACCATGTTACATAGGGCTACTATAGACCAGAAACATAAAGAGGTAAGATAGGATGGACATAAAGGACAGAGAAACCATGTTACATAGGGCTACTATAGACCAGAAACATAAAGAGGTAAGATAGGATGGACATAAAGGACAAAGAAACTATGTTACATAGGGCTACTATAGACCAGAAACATAAAGAGGTAAGATAGGATGGACATAAAGGACAGAGAAACCATGTTACATAGGGCTACTATAGACCAGAAACATAAAGAGGTAAGATAGGATGGACATAAAGGACAAAGAAACTATGTTACATAGGGCTACTATAGACCAGAAACATAAAGAGGTAAGATAGGATGGACATAAAGGACAGAGAAACCATGTTACATAGGGCTACTATAGACCAGAAACATAAAGAGGTAAGATAGGATGGACATAAAGGACAGAGAAACCATGTTACATAGGGCTACTATAGACCAGAAACATAAAGAGGTAAGATAGGATGGACATAAAGGACAGAGAAACCATGTTACATAGGGCTACTATAGACCAGAAACATAAAGAGGTAAGATAGGATGGACATAAAGGACAGAGAAACCATGTTACATAGGGCTACTATAGACCAGAAACATAAAGAGGTAAGATAGGATGGACATAAAGGACAAAGAAACCATGTTACATAGGGCTACTATAGACCAGAAACATAAAGAGGTAAGATAGGATGGACATAAAGGACAGAGAAACCATGTTACATAGGGCTACTATAGACCAGAAACATAAAGAGGTAAGATAGGATGAACATAAAGGACAAAGAAACTATGTTACATAGGGCTACTATAGACCAGAATCATAAAGAGGTAAGATAGGATGGACATAAAGGACAAAGAAACTATGTTACATAGGGCTACTATAGACCAGAATCATAAAGAGGTAAGATAGGATGGACATAAAGGACAAAGAAACTATGTTACATAGGGCAACTATAGACCAGAATCATAAAGAGGTAAGATAGGATGGACATAAAGGACAAAGAAACCATGTTACATAGGGCTACTATAGACCAGAATCATAAAGAGGTAAGATAGGATGGACATAAAGGACAAAGAAACTATGTTACATAGGGCTACTATAGACCAGAAACATAAAGAGGTAAGATAGGATGGACATAAAGGACAAAGAAACCATGTTACATAGGGCTACTATAGACCAGAATCATAAAGAGGTAAGATAGGATGGACATAAAGGACAAAGAAACTATGTTACATAGGGCTACTATAGACCAGAAACATAAAGAGGTAAGATAGGATGGACATAAAGGACAAAGAAACCATGTTACATAGGGCTCCTATAGACCAGAAACATAAAGAGGTAAGATAGGATGGACATAAAGGACAAAGAAACCATGTTACATAGGGCTACTATAGACCAGAAACATAAAGAGGTAAGATAGGATGGACATAAAGGACAGAGAAACCATGTTACATAGGGCTACTATAGACCAGAAACATAAAGAGGTAAGATAGGATGGACATAAAGGACAAAGAAACTATGTTACATAGGGCTACTATAGACCAGAAACATAAAGAGGTAAGATAGGATGGACATAAAGGACAGAGAAACCATGTTACATAGGGCTACTATAGACCAGAAACATAAAGAGGTAAGATAGGATGGACATAAAGGACAAAGAAACTATGTTACATAGGGCTACTATAGACCAGAAACATAAAGAGGTAAGATAGGATGGACATAAAGGACAGAGAAACCATGTTACATAGGGCTACTATAGACCAGAAACATAAAGAGGTAAGATAGGATGGACATAAAGGACAGAGAAACCATGTTACATAGGGCTACTATAGACCAGAAACATAAAGAGGTAAGATAGGATGGACATAAAGGACAGAGAAACCATGTTACATAGGGCTACTATAGACCAGAAACATAAAGAGGTACACATAATATATAATATTAGGAGGGTTTGACCCATGAAAGAGGGCCAAAATATGTATGCTAGTTTCCAAAAGGTGTACCTATTACCGGTATACAAATTATTTGATGTCATTATTTAATTACCAGAAAAAGGTATGCATTTTTCAATTTTCACTGAACATTTTTCTGTATCTTAATATGGTATTTTTCTGAAATTGAATAATTCACGCCTGAAAATGACTAAGATAACCACACCAGTGTTTTTAGTCGACATTTTTTAAATCTGCATGTGAGTTTCCACTGAATGGAGAAATTTTTTCATATCTAATGAGATAAGAGTAATAATTTCTATGATAAATTTAAAGAAACATAAGAAATTCAAGGTGTTTAGACGAATCAATTTGTTTCATTCTAAGCTCTAAAAAAATGTTAGGAAACTCTTAGCAAATATATATTCAAGGTTTTACAAACTATTTACTAAATGCTTTGGTTTTTAGCCTATAACAGACGGTGAAACCTAATTTAAGTATGACTGATTAAAACTTTCTATCATGAGAAATGTAAAACACTTCAGATAAGTTTTCATGCTTAACAACTACACAATGGGGATTATTGTCAAGAAGTATCAAAACAGAAATGTAATGAAAATATACAGGGTATTCCCATTTTACGTCATATTGATCACAACTGAGTATTTTTTGTTTGAATTATGGGTAGCACACTGAGTCTAAAACTCTAATTTGAGGTATGAAATGTAGACTAATATAAAATAAAATATGCATGTTCCATAGTGCTTCTTCCAATACAATTGGACAAGAAATCGATGAATTAATTCTTAACCAGTTTATTCATTTATATTTTTCATAATTTAGAGTAAAATTCCTAGGTCTGTCTTGAAGGTAACAATAATATATTTGGAAATTTTGTATTAGTTTGACTTGGTTAGAAAGTTTTTAAAGTAGTTTTAATTATATCTGTCAAGGATAGTAGAATATTGATTTTAAAATAGTAGATTATGTAGAACTCTACTTTCAAAAACGGACAATAAAGTATGTGCAAAGAACAGTTCTTGAGAATTCTGTGTAGTGCTAGAACTGGAATGAAATGCTACTAAATTTGATTTGTTTTAAACTATTTTTGATGATTCAGATTTAAAGTTCACTTTGTATTGAAAACTCTTGTTAGATCATTTCATACACAACATCTATAAGTAGGAATAGACAATAAAATTATCTAGTGTTGGTTTGATTATACACTCATGTACTTACAAAAGTCCTTTGGTACAAAATAATATTAATGGCTTTTCTTCTCAGCTGATCATGACTTCTTTTATCATGTGTATAGTATAACACTATAGCTATTCAGCAATATTTGGGCAAAATAACCTACATTTCAAACTTAAGTGACTATGGTTTAGTTTTGTGAAAAAGTCAATTCTCAGATCTTTGATATTTAATTTCTATACTGCTCTTTTGTATTATTGTACATTTCATTTAAGATTAAGTTAAAATGTTTATTTCTTATATAATTAAACAGTTGTATTGCATCACAATAATCCTCTTATGTACACAGTTTAGCATAGTATGATGCACACTAAACTATGTTATTCTCTTGAGCAATTTCTCTGTAGTTTTGGGCTAAGGACTGTTTCCTTGAAACTTGGTGATTAGTTCTATATAAATATTTTAGAAACACTGAGCTGTAACTATTTTTGCATATTTTTCTGTTTAATCAGGCATACATGTTTTATAGACAATCTTTAATTCAATCAGTTTTTTTTTCAAAATTAACGGGAAACAGAAACATGAAGATAGGGCAATAGTTGTTGTCAATTGAAGTTTATAGTAATATAACATTTATTTTTAGCAGTAAGAAATCAGAGAGAAAAAATATGAGTTAAAAATTGTGTATTGCAGATTGGACATTTAAGACAGCAGTTAGAAACTATGGAGAAATCTCACAGGGAGTTAGTTAGTTGTTATGAAGCTCAGCTGTCAACTCTCAAGTCTGAGGTTTGTTTTAAAAAATAGAAGACATAAGTTCATCAAATGAGCGTATAAATTTTTAAACAAGAAAAAAAAAATTGTCATTCATTGAAATTATAATTTCCCACGGTTCGATAGTATAGTGGGAAATTACTGTATTAACGGTACTAGTGAATAATATTAATACGTGTACTTCTTACATGTATAAGTATCTAATATCACGTGATATGGAGATTAAGTGGGAATATTTTCCCTTGTTGGTCACTTCTAGCCAAACATCAGACTGGACAACAGTGAAATAAAGTTCAATATTATTTATAATTAAATACCATTTTACATACTATATTGTGTTATTAAACAGGTATTTTATTTGCCTGCATACTAACTTCATATGTATTCAAATACACAAACATTTTATTTTTTTTCATACTGTCAAGTATAACTCTCGAGACGATCTTCCGAACATTTTGGTTCTGGACACAGGTTTCCGACATTTTCCACTTTAATTCAAATGTAATTATTTGAAGGCATTTTAAATGTAGTTTGACCGAGTTAACTCGTTTTTGTTGGTTTTTCCTGGCCGGCGGGATCGTTGATGACAGAGCAAAGTATTTCTTGAACACACATTATCATAAGGTTATTTTTGATTTTTATGTACATAAATTGTGAAATTATGAATTATATTTTGTATTGATAATTACAAATACTGTGTGTTATATGAATAAATTCTGTGTTCACCAGTCTTGTTGGGCTATCGGCTATATATATAGATTGTAGTATTTTATTGATTTAGTAGAGTTGATACTCCATTGAGGTGAAACAGATAAATCTGAGGTAAATTGTTTTGTCATAAATCAGACTAATGGGTTTTTATTTTGAAAATTATACCATATCTCCTTATTTTATATAAAGCAAGCTATTTCACCAGTTTATAAATAGCTCTGGATAAAATTCAAATTTAACAGACCAATTGGCTGCATTCTTGGTAATATTTTCATGTGCATTCACCAAAACATTGTGAATGGCTAACAACATGGTAAATAATGGAACTTTAAACACTGATGTGATCTTATTTCCATTTTTGTCGAGCCTGCAAAATTTATTTCGTGAAAGCGAGACAAAGCAATCCTAGATTCCGTCATCGGTGTTGACGTCTGCGTCGTCAACATTAAGGTTCAGTCTGTGCTTACAGTTTTTTCAGACATCAATAACTTTGTCAAACTTGCATGGAATTTTATGAAATTTGGACAGCTTTTTTATGACCAAAATACAGTATCCATAGCAAAATTTTGAAAATATTTATTTTCATTTTTCCGAATTTTACTGATAAATGGACTTAATTTTTTTTACAGTTAAAATTTAGATTTAGTCTGAGATTAAAGTTTTTCAGTCATCAATAACTTTGTCAAACCTTCATGGAATTTTATGAAATTTGGACAGAAGCTTGTTTATGATCAAAATACAGTATCCAGAGCAAAATTTTTAAATAGTTATTTTCATTTTTCTGTATTTTACTGATAAATGGACTTAGTTTTTTTTACAGTTAACAAATAGATACAGTCCATGGTTAAAGTTTGTTACACCATAATTATTTTGTCAAACCTTCATAGAGTTTTATGAAACTTTGGCAGAAGCTTTTTAATGATTTTGGTGTAAACAATATTTATTATTATGAATAATACAAGTATAATTATAAACACATTCACAATTAGGATTCAGAAACAAGCAACCAGTGCTTATATTAATCCGTCTCCTTGATAAATTAAATACATTATACACAAATAAATCAAAACTACATGCTCCGTTACATAATAAAAATATTGATAATGTCAGTTGAGTTACATAATGAACTGAAATGATTTAAGAGATAATGTCTGAAGCAAACCTTTGAAAATATATTTTTTTCATTTTTAGTATTTTTCTGATACCCGATAGATGGACTTAGTTTTTTTACAGTTAACATTTACAGACAGTCTGGGATTAAACTTTTTGACATGGTTAATTTGTAAACATTCATGGATTGTTATGAAACTTGGACAGACGCTAATCTTCAAGGCCAGGAAATAGCATCTAAAGAAAAAGTTTGATTTTTTTTTAATTCTGTATATTACTGATAAATGGTCTTACTTTTTAAGTCAACCTAATACTTTTACACTGACAGCAACAATCACACGCGAGACACAGGGTTCCGCGGAACCCCTTACGAATTTTTAGGTACGAACAATTAAATTACTCATAGTCCTTTAGATCCGAAACAGCCAATTGCAAGAATATGAATATTAACTGAAATACTTGAATGGGTTTGTTTCTTTTTATAGTTGTTAAGACATTTGGAGGAAATTATATATGAAAGATATATGGATAATTTCCTCCATAATGGTTTCTTTCATAAGGTCAAAATGGGAAAGTTGATGCAAACTAGTGGAATGTTAATACATGTATTAAAAAAAAACATAATGTTGTTAGAGCATCTAAAGTACTGTATACACAGGAAGTTTATATACCGTGATTTTTAGTGAAAGTTTATGGACTTCTTAAAAATTATACTGGTGTAAAAGTTCAGGTGAAACTTGTCCTACCTTTTCAATTGTACATTGTAATGAAAATTTTAGTATGAATAATACCTTTAGTTTTTAATAAAATAAATACTTATACATAATATACTTGTCTATGTTTTATTGTACAGATGGAAGTTTCCTCCATGGTTAAACTTTCATCTTTAGAGATGCATAATATGTGCTTCTTTTTTAAATTATAAAATTCCTCTATTTTAAATTTCATTTTACAGCTTCAAAAACTGAAAAGAGACTATGATCGTCTTAATAAGAAACATTCCAAACATTCCAAAGAATCAGAACGCGAAAAAGATCGTACCAATACAGAATTACAAGACAGTATGTCTCAGGTCAACAGGCTATCATCAAAACTAGAGGTAAGGATTGTGATGAATGGATACAATTTAAGGTTAGAGGTTTGTGATTATGTTTTATATTATGGTAAATATAGGACTTGTTGTGGTGAATTTTTACATCATTGGATTTGATATAGCACTGCAAGCATATAAGGCCATGGTTGCTTTATAAATTTCATAGCTCGCTAGATTGGATAACAAACAGCTGTTCTCAGAATATAAATGTGGCTTTTAAGCAAACCATATGTCTTAAAACATTTACAAACAAAGAAGCTGATATTTGGATAGTTCACATCATTGTTTTAAATGTATATTGATAGTATGTTATCCAATCACTCAAATTTGATAAAATTATTAGTCAATTTTACATTGCTATAAAAGTCATAAATATAGTTCACGCAAATATTTGACAAACAAACAGTTGAGATCTAATTAAATCTCAGCTAATTTCTTCTAACATTCAACATTTGAATTGTTTCAATTTACACAGCTTTCTACAGTGAATAATGGTGCTGCAATTTTTAAAGAAATTTTTTCCCCTCAAGGATTCTACATTCCATTGGTATTGTTTGATGGTGTTATTTTTAACATTATCACAACCAGCTCACCAACAAAATAATGTGAAAAAGATTTTTCTAATAAATCCAAGCAAGTCATCATTGCTTCTCATATCTTTTGCTATACTATACCAGTTATTTTATCAATATGTCCTTTTTCCATTTTTAACTGGATTTTGCTTTATAAATAGATTTTCTTAATTAAGCCACTTTTCTTTAGACCCTAAATTCATTTAAATTTAACATTTATAGTGTCAAAAAGATGATTCCACTGGTCTCCTGTACGTCTGATTAAACTTTTATAAGATATTCTGTATGTCCTTTAATCATACATACAGTAGCAGAAAAGTAAGCAAATTCACTCCCAAGAGTATCAAATTGTATTCCATATTCTAAGCAATAAAAGTTATCACTAATGGAAAAAAAGCAAAGGCTGATACAGAATTTATGACTGTAGTTTCAGGCAAGAAAGTTCAAAGATTGAAGGCGTGTCACAGTTTATTTTAATCAAATAGATTCTAAATAGAGTTGAAACAATTATCTATTTCGTTTTGTAGTCTTTGGGATTTCCATTGATATGATTGTTTATCCATTTGTCTATCTATCAGATGTTGTGTCTTTTTTATTCGATTTTAGTGAAACTTGGAATTCTTAGGTGCCTGATATGATATACTTCTTTGATATTTTGTGTTCAAAATTAATTTTAGGGTTTCCATAAACAAACAATGATTTGGCATAGTAGGTATTGTGTTTCTTTGGTCCCTTTGATCGTTTTTTTGGCTGCATCACTTTTCTTGTGAACCTAAAACGACATTTTAGTTCTCTTATTTCATTTCATTGTCTGCCAGAAAGATTTGACTAAACAATCCTTGACCCAACAACAGATCTTAATCCAATGTTAAATTAAACAATAATCTTGAAGTTATAAAGTTATGAAATTGTAATCTCATTATAATAAAGTAATACTTTAAACCCATTTCACTAACTTGTATAAAAGATTGCTTTTCTAAAGCAATATGTCATATTTATATATTGAGAAGCAGTATATTTGGAGACTGACAAGAACAAAGGCTCTTTGTTATTTCACTGTTGAAAGTATTTAATCAAAATTAACATCAACAAATCCTTTAATTATTTTTTGGGGTTTAAAAATATTTGTCAACTAGTAATAAAGACAAAGAGCCCTTGGTTGGAATTTCTTTATAATAATGCAGTTGGGATAAGATTTTTTTGTGAGCAGTGAATATTTTTATAACTTTTCTGGAATTAGGAATATAAACAGAGGTCAAAGGATTGGGAATTACAGAAAAGAACTCTAGGGAAGCAGCTTGAAACTTTAGAAGCTCAAAGAAAAGCTATGACAGAAAAGTGTGAATTTATTCAGGTTTGTGTGTACACAAGTGTGTAATATTAAGTGTGAAGTCACTTGTGTTTTAAAAGCTTGCAACAAACACCACATGTATCACAATTTAACTTCTTCCTCATGAAACTATGCTCCATATTACTTGATGTTTGACCTGAAACATATCTTCTACAAACCAGTATTAGAAGAGTGTCTGCTGTGGTATAATATGGTGTAAGGCTGACTGGCTGGCTTTCATTAGCATGCTGCACTTTTCATGTCAGTTATTGGAATTATCATATGGATTTAAAGTAATCATGTTTATCTCTATAAAATGTCAGACTTATGAAGCCCTGAAGCTGATAATATATAAAGTATCCCTGATAAATTGAAACGGTTTGAAACTACAAATATCTGTTCTCTGTTTTGAAAATGTAGTATTGTTTAATCTTTCTTCCATATTATATAAGACTAAAAGTCAGCAACAACCAGGAATAATTCCTTCTATACTTTTAACCATTGATAACTTTTATAAGAATTAATTTCTTGTTTTTTTGTCCTGATTTTTTTCTCCTCTCAACCTTGAAATTAAATTTTACTTCTGTAACAATTTTAGTGTGTATGTCATGTTTATAAAGTGAGTTTGGCGAATGATTACTATTGTATTCAAAAATAGAAAAAAATATATGGTTTTTATTGAATATCTTGGTTGCTGCTGATTATTTAATAGGTTTGTACACATGTAAACAGAATTTCCTGTATTACAGAAAATGTACTTGAGTCTCATGGCTAAGGTAGTATAGTATATATATTGTACATACAACTAAGTTCTGTACATTTCACTTATTCTTAATATAATATAATCATCTATATATAAATAGGGTAAAAGTTACATAGTTTTGTAATAAAACAATTTTCTTGTTAGTGTAAAAACAAATTATTTTATTTATAGGCCTTTTTTTTTCTTAGAGGTGGACATAATGAATTAAACTTCTGTTAATACTGTAAAATAATAATACATAGACCATTAATAAAGCTTGCTGGTGAACAATTGTCTGTATGTCATCAAAACTTGATGTAATGAAAAAAACTAATACACAAAATCATAGTAAGCATTTTTCAGTTTGACTAAGTGAAAATAAAAAAAGATGAATTTTCAGTTTAGATGTGAAAAATGTGTTTTTATTAAAGACCACTTTATGAATGTGGTTTTACTATCTACATGTAAATTCTTAATATACATTTTCAAAGTTTCATATTTCTTTGCATGGAACTGAAATAGAAAGTGCTAGATATTATCTAATTGGTGTGTTAAAAAGACTTTGTTGTTGTATGGTGTGTTGAATTGGTCTGTGTAGTTGTGTGTTCAAAGTATTTCAATCACAGCTACTTGTTCACACAACTCAACTTTGTTAAATGTTTGAAAAAAAAATGGACGAAACACTCATATTATACTTTTAAGTTAATTTAAAAGAAGATCATGTCCTTGCTTTAAGCTGCAGTTTAATCAAATATTAGATAAAGATGGAAATGTTTCTTCAAAATTGTATTTAATGATACTGCCAACAAATCAACTTGTATACCATAATTTTAAATACCATATAAATGTTGAACAACCACATTTTGATTATCATTTTGAAAACAATCCTTTTCATGCAGCTGTTGAGAGTCAATTGATGAGGGTCCATTGAGGGATTAGTGTTATATTAGTTCCTTTTAATACTTATTTTCAATGGCTGCTATCTTTCAACTTATATGGCCACTGCTATTATTATTTAAATATTGTAAGATTAGGAAACCTTTATCTCAAATATTCTGATTAAATAATTGATGTTGCTCAATTGAGGTTGTTTTCACTATGACAGGAATGTTGCTAGGTTATTGATTTTCAAATTTACATTGGACTCCACCCAGCATCCAAAATTTAGTCACTAGGGAAGATACATCTTGGTCATTTGGTCTGTGGAGGATAGTTGTCTCATTGGCAATTATACCATATCATCTTATTTTTATATAGTTTTAAATAAGTGCATTGTTAATAGGACCACACCAGTAAATCTCATCCTTTAAAATGAATAAACAGATTGATAACAAATTGACCAGAATAATTGATTACACATTAAAACATGGTACTTTCCATTGGAGAACATAGTTCTGCATAGCTAGCTGGTACTCAAATGAGTAAGAAGCCTTGAATTATCCTTTTATATATATGTATGAAACAAATTTTTTGAAAGCATTCTGCAGCATAAATTATTATTCTCATCTATATATGATAGGCATGTTAATGCATATTCCAAATGATACTGGTTATTACCTATTAGTCTTTTCCCTCCTACTAATTTAATGCCCTTATTTATATTTGTATTGGCTTACCATACATGATAGTCCCCTCTCATAGGGCCTCCACTTCAGCTGAGAATGTCTGACCTTATCATAGGAGTGGCCACTGGTAAGGTTTTGAATTTGAAAGAAATTACTGTTTTGGTATATGGTTATACTGTACTTATAATATATTCTTTCATGAGAGGGGCCCTATTTGAGGTGGACTAGATGAACTCCTTATATATACATCCACCTCTATTACATTGCTGAAACAGGTATAATAAACTGTTTAAAGATATGCAAATGTTCTATCCAAAATTTTTTTTTTTGTACTGTTATCTGGAACACGTTATTTACAATAATTTTGGAGGGGGGATCATTTGCACTAAATAACAAATAAAATTAAACTTCATGCTGATTTATCTACTAATTATCTATGAATATCACAATGTATGAAATTTTTTCACGTTTGTAACTAACACATCATTTCAGAGTCAGTCTCAAACATACCAGTCACAACTGAACAGACGTAAACAAATACTCGATAATACAGAATCTAGTCTCAAGTCACAAATAGCACAACTAGAAGGACAACTACAGAGAGCTAACGAATCACATTTGTCACAGGTAACATGATCACAACAAAATGAATTCCATGTAGAATGAAGAAAGGTTGGAAAGTTATATGAAAAGAAACTACATTTATAAATATTTGGATATTCACAACTAATTTACCACAATAATGCACAAAGAAAAAAATTTCATGACTGAATGCTACAAAAAGGTATAAGATATTCAAACAAGTAATGTAATCATTTATTTGAACAAGGACTTTGCAAGTTCACATTGTTTAGAATATTTGTCTATAGGTAAACAGAGTTTTTTATATGCATTTGTCAGCTGTATTTATTCATCATGATGACAAATATTTAGCATAACTATTTTCATTGAATTTAGAATAACAACATATTGCTAGTGGCTTCCAAACATAACATTTGATACAATCATGTATGTTAGACATTTTATTTTGAATTCAGGTAGAAATTTTCTTGAAATTATTCATTTTACTTTATTTTGGTGTTAGTTCAAATGTAATTTTATTGGAATTTCCATATCAACTCTGTTCATTAATAGAAGTTAGATGAGAATACTCCTATACAATCAATGCATTATATATGTTGACAAAAGATTTATTTGACCTATTGACTATCAAATGTATCGTGTGTAAGTATTGACCCAAACTTCTAAACTTATTATTTTATGTGATTATGACAAAATGCTATTGTGTTATCCAACATATTGTGAAGTAATTCAAATTATTATTTCCTTAATTAGCTAAAAACAGAAAATTAGACATATTATCCTTTAAAACTTTTTATTTTTGATATAGAACATTTTATCACTTCACATATGTTTTTCTTATAGGAAACTAAGGTGGAGAAGTTGAAATCATCTCTAGATGATGCAATCAATAATCACAAAAAAGCTATGGATGAAAACGAGAGATTATTAGTCGACCTGAGAAAAGCTAATACTCATGCAAGAGTATGTATAAATAGTCAGTTATTTCAGTGACAGATTTTTAAAACTCACATGAATATTCAAAGCATATATCTCTCCAAAGTTCATTTGAATTAAAAAAAATGATAAGTATTTTATTGAAACAATATTGATTAAATTATAGTATTGGTATAGTTTTTAAAAGAATATTTTAAATTGTGGCTTTTACCCTCAAATCTGACACCCAATATTTTCATACATGTTCAAGACAATCCAGATGTAGATATCATTAATAACAGTAAAGAAATTATATTTCTTTTTAAATGTTGAAAATACCATGAAAATGAATATCTACATTCTTTTGCAGAGGATAGATGAAGAAAAGCTTCAGTATGAGGCTGATCTAAAAACAAAAGAAGACTTATTAAGAGCAATAGAGCAGGATGGTGAAGCTCAGGCTGAGGAAATGGGTAGAATGGAACAAGCTCTTTCTGAAAAAGACAGGATTATTCAGTATGATAATAAAAAACAAAAACAAACAATACAAAACCTTATAGTGCAGATATAGTAATAAGCAAACATATATTTGAAATGTTGCTTTTACTTTTTAATTTTAATATTTTGCTTTTTGAGATATAAAAAGTTCTTGACATGAGACATAGCTTAACTGTCATTATACCATATATAAATCAACACAAACAAAGATCTATGAAATAACTCTGAGAATTTTATACTTTCCATAGTATAATTGTTAATTTTTTTAAATTTGTAAATTTATTTTAGTTCACTAGGAAATATAAAGAATAAGGAAGAGAGTGAACAGATCAAACTTCTGAGACAGTCATTACAGGAAGCCAGGGAAGACACAAGGTATATATGTCATAGAACTTCTGAGACAGTCATTACAGGAAGCCAGGGAAGACACAAGGTATATATGTCATAGAACTTCTGAGTCAGTCATTACAGGAAGCCAGGGAAGACACAAGGTATATATGTCATAGAACTTCTGAGACAGTCATTACAGGAAGCCAGGGAAGACACAAGGTATATATGTCATAGAACTTCTGAGTCAGTCATTACAGGAAGCCAGGGAAGACACAAGGTATATATGTCATAGAACTTCTGAGTCAGTCATTACAGGAAGCCAGGGAAGACACAAGGTATATATGTCATAGAACTTCTGAGTCAGTCATTACAGGAAGCCAGGGAAGACACAAGGTATATATGTCATAGAACTTCTGAGACAGTCATTACAGGAAGCCAGGGAAGACACAAGGTATATATGTCACAGAACTTCTGAGTCAGTCATTACAGGAAGCCAGGGAAGACACAAGGTAAATATGTCACAGAACTTCTGAGTCAGTCATTACAGGAAGCCAGGGAAGACAAGGTATATATGTCATAGAACTTCTGAGACAGTCATTACAGGAAGCCAGGGAAGACACAAGGTATATATGTCATAGAACTTCTGAGACAGTCATTACAGGAAGCCAGGGAAGACACAAGGTATATATGTCACAGAACTTCTGAGTCAGTCATTACAGGAAGCCAGGGAAGACACGAGGTATATATGTCACAGAACTTCTGAGACAGTCATTACAGGAAGCCAGGGAAGACACAAGGTATATATGTCACAGAACTTCTGAGTCAGTCATTACAGGAAGCCAGGGAAGACACAAGGTATATATGTCACAGAACTTCTGAGACAGTCATTACAGGAAGCCAGGGAAGACACGAGGTATATATGTCACAGAACCTCTGAGTCAGTCATTACAGGAAGCCAGGGAAGACACGAGGTATATATGTAACAGAACTTCTGAGTCAGTCATTACAGGAAGCCAGGGAAGACACAAGGTATATATGTCATAGAACTTCTGAGACAGTCATTACAGGAAGCCAGGGAAGACACAAGGTATATATGTCACAGAACTTCTGAGTCAGTCATTACAGGAAGCCAGGGAAGACACAAGGTATATATGTCATAGAACTTCTGAGACAGTCATTACAGGAAGCCAGGGAAGACACAAGGTATATATGTCACAGAACTTCTGAGTCAGTCATTACAGGAAGCCAGGGAAGACACAAGGTATATATGTCATAGAACTTCTTAGACATGTAAGAAGGTTTCTGTAGATATTACATTTATAACAATTATGTAAGGGGATTTTACCAATAAAAAATACTTCAAACACAAGTTTGTATAAACTATTGCCATTTTCAAATAAAAAATTTGTATATCTTAATGATTCTGAATGTATTTTCATATTTCCTTCATTTAGGAACTGCAAAAAGAATGAAAAGAAATTAAGAGAAGAGGTATCTAAACTTCAGAATCATTTGAGACAGGCAGTGGAGGATTGTGAAAGAACTACAGATCAGCTAGAAAAGAAGGTATGAAATCATTTACTTCAATACTGGAGAACCTTGGTTTATTTGTTTATATTAATATGTAATGAAAGTCTCATAATTTATTTTCTTCAAACAAATTAAATTTTAATTGTAAATTATTTAAGAATAAGCTTACACAAATGTTTTTCTTGCGAGACATAAACATGATTTTCCCAGAACTTGCAGTTACAACTAAAGATTTTTTTTATAACATTTTATGCATGTATTTCAAAAGTATTTCAAATTTCTGAAGGTAAAAACTAGAAGAGTTGGATTATCAATATTTTATAAACAGATGCAATTTGCTCTAAAGTTGCCACTCTGTTATTTTCATGGCTTAGTTATTGCATAATAATACTTAGTAAAAAAAAGTCAGTATCTGCAATAGAAACTGTTCCTACAAGATTTTAGGTAGGGAACATCTCAAAGGAAAATGGTTAATAGAAATGAGGAAGAAATGAAAAATGATGTAATATTTCCCCTTAATAATTATTTTCTAAAAAGAGAAAATATGATTCAAAGACAATGCAATGAAGGGTTTACTAATTTAATGTGCATTCTATAGAAATGAACATCTTTTTTAAGAATATTAATATAATAACAATTCAGAAAATAAAAAATAAATGCATTATTTATTTTTACTTCAAATTTTAGCTAGTTTTAAAACCAGGTTTAATTCACCATTTTCTATATAAGGAAATGCCTGTACCAAGTCAGGAATATGACCGTTGTTTTCCATTCATTTGATGTTTGAGCTTTTGATTTTTCCATTTGATAAGGGACTTTCCGTTTTAAATTTTCTTTGGAGGTCAGTATTTTTGTTATTTTACCTTTTTTTAACATGCCTAAGTTCATGCAAATTTTATAAAAATTAATGACATTATCCATTTACTGTGAATTGACTTCGAGCGATGGAGAATAAACCTAGGAGTTTTCACAACTTAATAAGTTTTGAGTATAAATATATGTACTCTCAGTAAAAAAAAATATGACATCTATATAGTTATCTTCTAGGGATCTATAAAACTATGTTTGCTTTTCAATCTTACAATCTTTGTTCTTTATAGTTAAATATTCACATTTTATTTATAAAACAACAGTTCATTTTACACCTAATTTAAATTTTCAGGACAGTGAGATGGTATGTGTATTTTAATTGTTTATTTCTCACAGGGCTAGAGTTAAATTGTTTATGGTACTCCAGTTATAACACATTAAAGCCTTTTATAAAATGTTATCACAAATGGTTGATGATCATCTGGCTGAGCAAATGGCATTTTGTTTTGTAAATCTCTGCTTTAAACTGTGGATTAATTTATTTTTGGAATACCATTTTCTTTAGTGTGCACTTCTCAATTCCACACACTACAGTACACATGTGTATGGTGCAGGGTTATCATTTTGTGAGCTTTGTTTGCAGTACCTTTTGTTGCTTAAAAAAATATCTGACAAATCTGCCTTAGGACATCACAGTCAACTTACGTCATCAAATCAACACCATTATGAACTTTTTCTGAAAGCCTTTATCCAGAAGTTCATGAAAATGTATCTTGCAATTTTTTTTTCTGGCAAATTTGGACTGACCAACTAATCCCAAAAATGTTCTCTTATGTAGTTTGTCACTGTTCTAAAAGTCCTTAAATACCACACGAAATTATTCCAGGATTAATGATCGAACCACAGTATATAAGCCTTTGGGATGTTAGAATAATACATAGTCTTAGGAGTAATTAAAGTTTAGCCAGATGATGTTCACACAACACTGTTATTTAGTTAATAGTACAGCATGTGGTTGTTTGGTTTTTTTTTGGTTTTTTTTTTTATAGGTGCCATGACAACCTATATTCAGAATGTTGGATTTCTAAAAAGTTTTGTTTTCATATTCGTTATGCATTAGATTCTCATTCTTATACTTTTTGTCATATGAAAGCTTGATATTTCTATTCAAAGGTCAGAAATTAATTAAAACGTGTGCAAAATTTGAAGATAATGAAACTATAGTTCTGTGAACAACACAGTGCTCATTCATATTTATGTCACCAGATCGACAATGTCGGGTGACATATTGCTTTTCCTCTGTTTCTTTTTTCGTATTATTATTATACTTCCACCTGTTTTGTCCGGGAGTTTTCTCAGAGCCAAAGGAACCAATCTAAATGATTATTCACTATAACAAGGAACACCAACTTTTGCATTGCAGTGGAACTTTGGAACTAAAAAATGGCTGCCGTTACCATGGAAACAGAAAAAGTGTGAAAAAATAAAATTTTGGGGTTTGAGTAATTATTTGTGTATGCTTAAACTGAAAATCATTAAATTTTGATACAATGTAGGTGTCCACTATATACAGGTTTTGCTTAAACTAAAAATCATTAAATTTTAATACAATGTAGGTGTCCACTATATGCAGGTTTTAGATGATTTTGACAATCATTGGAATTACTATGTTGCCATGGAAACTTCAGCAAAAATGTCAAAAATATCAAAATGCTCCAAACTTAATGAAACTTCACAAAAATGTTGACTGGCATGTGAAGATGTGGCATCTGGCTTTGGAATTTCCAAAATGGCTGCCGTTACCATGGAAACAATGCAAAATATGTCAAAATGCTCCAAAAACCTTAAAGTAGCATTTCCTCTCTAAAAATGGTAGGTCAAACTCATTGGAACTTTGATGGTATGTTCACTCTCATGTACCAATGAAGCATCTGTCATTAAAATTTTGGGAATGATGACCGCTACCATGGAAACCGAAAAAATGTTTAAAATTTCAAAATGCTCCAAACTTAATGAAACTTACTGGCAAGTATAAATAAGACTTTTGACTTTTGAATTTCCAAAATGGCCACCGTTGCCATGGAAACTGCAAAAATGTGTAAAAATTTCAAAATGCTCCAAATGTTCTCAAAATTTACAGAAAGATGTATAGCCATGCATGTATGTGCATTCACCGTTTAAAATTTTCAAAATGGCTGCCACTTAGTGGCAATGGGGGAAGGGTGACATCAGCTATTGCTTGCAATGGCAATTCTAGTTTAATTTGTTGTCCTATTTTTGGAGGTGCAAATTCACAAGGGATGGATGGTGCCTCAAGGAATGGAGATGGTATGCTGTCTTAAGAGAAAAACATCTAAACCCCTGTTTACACTTTAAATGATATTTTAGCTCACTTTGCCCGAAATACAATGTGAGCTTTTGCTATCACTTTGCATCCGTCCCTCTGTCATCTGTAAACTTTTCTTTAAAAATCTTCTCTTCTGAAACTGCTGGATTGAAACCAATGTTTGTCTGCTTCATCTATAGGTTGTCAACTACAAATTTTGTAATTTTTGTCCAGTTTGATCAACCAACATGGCTACCTTGTCTAAAAATAGAACATAGGGGTCAAATACTGTTTTGCTAATATTTCTAAAACTATAGCAATTAGAGAAAAACTGACAAGATAAAAATGATCAGCACAACAAGTTCCATCTACTTAAAAAATTATGGAAATATCTGCCTACCTGTTATGGAGTTATTTCCCCTAAAATGCTGACTTTTAACTTTTTTGGCATTTTCTTACCATTGTTTTAAATACAATTGGAGCTAGCTTAAAAGTTTAAATTGCAAAAAAGGATCAGCATATAAAGATATATATATCCATCCTGAAAATTTGAGAAAAATCTATTATCTTGTTTTAGAGGTATTGCCCTTGAAAAATTTAATATTATAGGAGCTTGGTTTAAATTGTAAATAGCTAAATGGATCAGCATGACAAGATGTATCTACCCTGAAAATTGTTAAAAAAAAACTGTTAACCTGTTTTGGAGTTATTGCCCCTGAAATATCAATTTTTGCAGATTACTGTTATCATGAAAACTATAGGAGCTAGGTTAAAAGTGCAGATTGCAAAATTGACCAGCATGACAACATCTATCTACGTTATAAGTTTCAGAACCCTTTTTGGAGTTAATGCCCCTGAAATGTTGATTTTTTTACTGTGTTTTCTTTTCAGTTTTGGCTGTTATCTAAAAGACTATAGGAGCTAGGTTAAACATGTTAATTACAAAAAGGACCAGCAACACAAGAGTCACTATATTATGTGCATATAAAAGGTCTAGTTAGGAAACCAGCAATTTTTTTTTTCGCAAGGTGAGCGATTCAGGCACACCTGTGCCTGTAGTTTTTCAATTGGCTATGCTCATCAAATCTTTCTTTATTTTTGCTTTTCCTCCTGTTCTAAACACAATCCTGGATATACTACCGCAGTTCATACATTAACTTCATCAATAGAACAAAAATAAAATTATTTCATCAGTGCATAGATACTGCTGTATACAAAAAAAAATGTCAATGTCAAGTGGAAAAAAATTTCTATTTTACAGAAAACAGAGTTGCAGAGAATTGAATCTGGAGAAGTGAAGCGATTAAAACAAGAGGTGAATCGTTTAAAAGAAAGTATTTCTACTAAGCAACAGTCACATGAAGCTGAACTGGAGGGAATGAGGTCAGAGGTCAGCAAATTAACATCTGAACTACATGAGAGAAGTGTTACTTTCTCAACGCTGTCAGACAAATCAGCCAATGTAGAGAGACAGCTGAGGAATGAGAATGAAATATTAGAGAAAAAATCTGCAGAACTACAGGTTTGAATTTTAGTCAGGAAATATTATATTAATTCAATATTTCATTTAATGAAGTTTATTATATTTTGGATTAGATATTAATAGAGATAGAAATTTCAACATAGATGTAGAAGCACTTTCCTGGTCTCTATTTTAGTAGATCATATCAACTTACTTCAAAAACAGAAACTTATTTATTGTAAATCTTTCATTGATCTTTTCATTATCATCACTTATTTTGAAGCTCTATTCTTTCAGGTTCACCAGCTGATGATATTCTTTCTTTATCATGTGGTTTTCATTTTTTCATTGGGAGATGGAAAAAAAAAGAGATTTGTCAGATAAAACTTGAAATAATTTTAGAATTAGGCAATAATTTACATGTATTTATTATTTGAAACATTTTATGTTAATGTGTATATATTACATTATAATACCTTGTATTTAATTTGTTCATTAATACATTAACAACAAATTCATTTTCAAGTCAAAGGTCAAATGTCATGAGGATAATAATTTGTTAAAGACCTTTAACCTTTGACTCATTATATAAGCATTGTTCATCACATTGTTCCATTGCACATTTGTATCATTTCTACACATTGCATATTCTGCTCACCTGATTAAAGGCCAAATGAGTTTATGCCATGACTTTTTATCCACTTTCTGCCCATCTGTCCATCCATCAGCAAACCTTTTAAAAAATCTGAGTTATCCTCGGGGGTCTATTTTGAAACTTATATTCCCCAACTGGCAAACCTACATGACAGCAATGACTGAAAATAAATGGATTGATTGACGGCTGCTCAATGTCAATTGTCAAATATTGCATGAATATGAAACCTTATTTGTACTAGGTCCACAGGGTGAGTCTGATTTTTAGCTCACCTGACCTGAAAGGTCAAGTGAGCTTTTCTCATCACTTTGCGTCCGTCGTCCGTCGTCCTGCGTCCGTCGTCCGTCGTCCGTAAACTTTTACAAAAATCTTCTCCTCTGAAACTACTGGGCCAAATTTAACCAAACTTGGCCACAATCATCATTGGGGTATCTAGTTTTAAAAATGTGTGGCGTGACCCGGTCAACCAACCAAGATGGCCGCCACGGCTAAAAATAGAACATAGGGGTAAAATGCAGTTTTTAGCTTATAACTCAAAAACCAAAGCATTAAGAGCAAATCTGACATGGGGTAAAATTGTTCATCAGGTCAAGATCTATCTGCCCTGAAATTTTCAGATGAATCGGACAACCTGTTATTGGGTTGCTGCCCCTGAATTGGTAATTTTAAGGAAATTTTGCTGTTTTTGGTTATTATCTTGAATATTGTTATAGATAGAGATAAACTGTAAACAGCAATAATGTTCAGCAAAGTAAGATTTACAAATAAGTCAATATAACCGAAATGGTCAGTTGACCCCTTTAGGAGTAATTGCCCTTTATAGGTGTAACACCACCATTGATTTTCCCCTATTAGTCTTTGTTAAATTTGCACTTTTCAAAAAATTGTGCAGAATTTATCTTTGTTTCAAATAAACAAATACTTGGCATGAGTAAAGTTTTATCCTGTCCAGTACTATAGAAAAAATTTCACACAACATTTCATTGCATATAAGAAAATAACCATCACTGGAAGTTAACCAATCAAATTTTCCCCCTTTTTTAACCTGTGTACAAGCTTTAGTAACCATGTAACCTCAAGTTTCCAAAATATTCTATAGAAACCCCAAATAAAGAAATAATGGTGCTTTGAAATACCCAAGATATATGTTTATGACTCAGAAATGTTTTACTGCAATGAAATGTAGGATCAATTACCTACAACTGTCAAATTCGAGGGAATATTTTTTTTCGACCTATTTTCGTATGCAACCGGATGTGACGTACTATGATTTGGTGGTATTACACCTAAAGAAGACTTTTTTGTTAAATAAACTGAATGTGACTTTTTTCCTTTGTAATACTGGTTATTTCAAGCATTCCTGTCAATTTTTGTCATAATCAGTTCAATAGTTTGAGAAAAATCTAGTATAATGTAAGACGACATCTACAGCGATTCGAGCAAAATTTCTTCGAAAAATTCAAACCAAGCCGCATCATGATAGAATATAGTGTGGACCAATAAATGATCAAATATCTATCTCATCTGCCTACAAACAGTTGAATATGATACAAAAGATGACTTTAGGATGATAAATACTACTAATGGACCTCTTTGTCTTCCTTATAAGGTCTCTTTTGGTCCATTTATACCTCTCATTTCCTCAAAATTTCTACTTTTTAGGCCAATAAATAAATATTTTGGGGTAACTTTCACTCATTTATGATAGAAATGTTATTATAAATGATTAATTGAAGTATTCAAGCTGAATGAACTATCCGTATAAAAGTTTACTGTCTCCAAGGAGGTTTCAATAAGTCCTTACGTAAAACTTAAATTTACGCCGCGTTCCAGAGAAGGACATAAAAAACTTCTCTTTTGGTGAATAATTTGTTGTTACTGCTTTAAAAATAATTTCATTTACTTAAAACTATATATTTATTAAAGTATTTCTTAGGAAAAATTTTCTAGTATAGCAGAATATAAGAAATAAGGAGAAAAAGCTCCCCAAGACTCTAAGTATGGCTTGTTCTGTCAACTAATATTCATGGTAAAGTCCTATTTCAAGGAATTTTTCTCATAAAATGTATTTTGGAGACTCACTCCACTCAGAATATTTTATTATTTGTAATATTTCACTTAAATAGCAAGAAATTTTAACACATGAGAGTACTCACAAGGTCAAAGGTGCATGTACAGCTTCCCATATTAGGTGTAACACCACCATTGATTTTCCCCTATTAGTCTTTGTTAAATTTGCACTTTTCAAAAAATTGTGCAGAATTTATCTTTGTTTCAAATAAACAAATACTTGGCATGAGTAAAGTTTTATCCTGTCCAGTACTATAGAAAAAATTTCACACAACATTTCATTGCATATAAGAAAATAACCATCACTGGAAGTTAACCAATCAAATTTTCCCCCTTTTTTAACCTGTGTACAAGCTTTAGTAACCATGTAACCTCAAGTTTCCAAAATATTCTATAGAAACCCCAAATAAAGAAATAATGGTGCTTTGAAATACCCAAGATATATGTTTATGACTCAGAAATGTTTTACTGCAATGAAATGTAGGATCAATTACCTACAACTGTCAAATTCGAGGGAATATTTTTTTTCGACCTATTTTCGTATGCAACCGGATGTGACGTACTATGATTTGGTGGTATTACACCTTTATAGTCAATTTTTAACCATTTTTCGTAAATCTTAGTCATCTTTTACAAAAATCTTCTCCTCTGAAACAACTGGGCCAAATTAAACCAAACTTGGCCACAATCATCATTGGGGTATCTAGTTTAAAAAATGTGTGGCGGAACCCGGCCAACCAACCAAGATGGCCGCCACAGCTAAAAATAAAACATAGGGGTAAAATGCAGTTTTTGGCTTGTAACTCAAAAACCAAAGCATTTAGAGCAAATCTGACATGAAGTAAAATTGTTTATCAGGTCAAGATCTATCTGCCCTGAAATTTTCAGATGAATCGAACAACCTGTTGTTGGGTTGCTGCCCCTGAATTGGTAATTTTAAGGAAATTTTGCTGTTTTTGGTTATTATCTTGAATATTATTATAGATAGAGATAAACTGTAAACAGCAATAATGTTCAGCAAAGTAAGATTAACAAATAAGTCAACATGACTGAAATGGTCAGTTGACCCCTTTAGGAGTAATTGCCCTTTATAGTCAATTTTTAACCATTTTTCGTAAATCTTAGTCATCTTTTACAAAAATCTTCTCCTCTGAAACAACTGGGCCAAATTAAACCAAACTTGGCCACAATCATCATTTGGTTATCTAGTTTTAAAAATGTGTGGCGTGACCTGGTCAACCAACCAAGATGGCCGCCACGGCTAAAAATAGAACATAGGGGTAAAATGCAGTTTTTGGCTTTTAATTCAAAAACAAAAGCATTTAAAGCAAATCTGACATGAAGTAAAATTGTTTATCAGGTCAAGATCTATCTGCCCTGAAATTTTCAGATGAATCAGACAACCCGTTGTTGGGTTGCTGCCCCTGAATTGGTAATTTTAAGGTAATTTTGCTGTTTTTGGTTATTATCTTGAATATTATTATAGATAGAGATAAACTGTAAAAAACAATAAATGTCGGCAAAGTAAGATCTACAAATAAGTCAACATGACCGAAATTGTCAGTTGACCCCTTTAGGAGTTATTGCCCTTTATAGTCAATTTTTAACCATTTTTTCGTAAATCTTAGTAATCTTTTACAAAAATCTTCTCCTCTGAAACTACTGGGCCAAGTTAATTATAGATAGAGATAATTGTAAGCAGGAAAAATGTTCAGTAAATTAAGATGTACAAACACATCACCATCACCAAAACACAATTTTGTCATGAATCCATCTGCGTCCTTTGTTTAATATTCACATAGACCAAGGTGAGCGACACAGGCTCTTTAGAGCCTCTAGTTTATGCAGTCTCCAAAGGTAACCGTCCACAAGAAAACATGTCACACTTATTTTGAACACAAGCTGACAATTTTCTTTTTCTAACTGCTGTGAGCTTAGTGGAGAAACAGTTATTACTAATTTAAAAGTATTGGTATGACCCAGTTTGAACATTATCATTAAAAAGCTTCCAAGCATTGCATCATAAGTTATTTTTAAGCAAAATTGAATGGGACTATTGGAGTATTCCCTAGCATCCACATTTGAGTGAATATCAGTATATGTGTCTACTGACTTTTATCAGAAACTAAAAAACATGCAACATGTAAGGATGCATCTTAGGGGATGAAGTAGCCTTACTCAGAAAGTGGTCAGTCTGACCTTTATTTTATGATTCATCGACTTTGTTTATGTCTGATATCAGATCTCATATTCTTTATGACTTACAATCATAAGTTAATTTATTGATGCACCTTGCGGAGTATAGCAGCTTCCTAAAAAAATTAAGTCACTGACCTATTTCTTTATAATTCATTGACCTTACTTATGTTTGACTTTTGAGCTCCCTTTTCAGTCATATAACTTGGTGTATGAATGTATTCAATAACATTCTGCCAAAAATAGCTCAATGGCATACATTTTAGGCCTTATTGATTCATATTTAATTTTCATATACTTTAGAGATCACACTTTGATTCATTCTCACTGAAGTTGAATATTTGTTTTTATTATTAGACAAAGTTTATTAAGTCAATTTTGGGATGAGTCAAACGTTGCAATTGTAGATTACCTATATGTTCAAAATAGTGTTGACCTGTATTTTCATCTCTGCCATTGAATGTAAAATAATTGCCCTGGTTGGTAACCTGGTGAATGATCTAGGCCCTACATTTCACATCACAGTTTGGAATGCAACAATTGCAAAATTTTATATCACATTTTACTTTTAATTCAGTTTTAGATATTCTGTATCAATATTTAAACAAGTTTGTTATAAAAAAAAATAATTTAATTTAAAAAAAATTCAATTTTGTGGTCAGATTGATGTTTTATTTTTACTTTGGGTGAACAAAAAAACAAACTGAATGATAGTAGCATATTCATTATTTATTTGTTAATCAATTTCAATTGAAGTTGCGAAATGTGACATAAAAACAAAGCAAAAAGCATGGATTTTGGAGTCAATGAAATTTCTGTTGGTATATCAGTTTCAGAACTTATTTATATTTGAAATATAATAAATCATTTTCACAGTGGATACATTTAGATTCATTATTCTATAATCTTTGAATATTTATAAATGTATCTTCTGGTTTCATTTTCATTAAGTCTTAAAAGATCATTTCTAAAAACTTTCATTATCATAAATCAGACATCTTTTCAGTTTCATGCATATAATTATATATCAACATTTCATTTTCAATTCATGCATTTGTTCAGCTACTGTTAATTTGTTGTTCAATTTTTAGGTCAGGATTTAAGATTACTAAATAATAAGACAAAACAATCATTTTGAAAGAGGTTGAAAAGTAAAACTACTATAGTTAAACCCTACCTAAGAAAATAACCAAATTGACAGTAGCAATCATCCTGTTTTCATGGTAACAGTAGCTAACCTTTGTTTTGTAATACCTCCCTGTTGTTAGGTTGCAAATGCACAGATTGAAGCACTTAGGCTAGAAAACAGGCACTTACGGCAGACCATTCTACAGCAGGCTCATTCAAATGCAGACAAGGGTCATACTCAGGAGCATCTACGGGTACTGAAAAGCTCCTATGAAACAACAATATCAAAACTAGAGGTAGAAATATATCATCACATTTATTCATTTTAGGAAGCAGTCAGATTAAAAAAGGGTTGTTGTCTCTTTGACACATTCCCCATTTCCATTCTCAATTTTATCATTGCTGACACAAGTCAAAGTTCTGTTAAAATATGTATATTTAAATATATGACATCAGACTTTTGTAAGGTTATTAAATCATTTTTCAAAAGTTGCTTTTAATAGGGTTAATTTAAAATTCAGAATTGAAGAGAGATGTTCATGTGGCATTTTCTTTTTAAATCTTCATGTTTTTATTGAACTATAGGGAAAGCCATATAAAAGTCAGGTTATACTATTTCATGTTTGTCCATTTGATGTTTTGATTGGCTAACTAACTCCTATTATAAGCATTGCAGTTTATATATAAATATTTAGATTGATGTGAAGTGAGAAACCCATGTATACTGTCATGTCCATGCTTTTTTATCCCTTCTTCCTGAACTTGCAGTTACGTGATTGTATTATGTATTTTAGTCTTTTAGTCTTCACCAAACTGATTTTCTTTTGGTTTAGATTTCTGGAAGACATTCTCAAAAGTTCAAAATAAGTACATTTCAATATTGTTTGTTGTTTCTCTTTATTTCGATGATATCAAGTTGTCAGCTTTTCAATTAAATTTTTCAAAACTAGAAAATTTGACGAATTAAAGTACTTGCCCAGAATTGATGTATGTTAATTCAATAAGCGAAAAATCAATTTGCTGTGACTTATAAAAGTTGAAATATGAAGCTTGATTGATACCTTATGTAGACTTTAATGCTGCTGATAAGAAGTATGGCTTAATGTAGCAACCAATCAGGGCTGAGGAATCAATGGTGCATGTAGATGTTTATGAGGGGATTTGTACACATTAAAAAGCTATCACTAATAATTGGTTGATCTCACTGGGGATGTTATATAATAATTTTTGTCTCATGTCAGTGACACTTAGGCATGCTGTGTCTGGCTTCGATGTCAGCGGCGGCATCAACAATGTATTTGTTTGTGATTAGGTCAGTTAATCAGGAACCACTAATGGTCAACAATGATATTTGGTATGCAGTAGTAATAGCATTGGCACATCTCATTTCCTTTGAGATTATTTGGCTTCACTCCCTCAGTCATTGTCTATTGACTTTTGAAACTTTTGCTGAGTTTACATGTATTATTTTGTGATTAGGTAGTTTAAAGGGGACCATAAGTGGAAGGTCAATGATACTTTGTATGCAGTTGTATTAGCAGTGGCACATCTCATTTCCATGGAGATTATTTGATCCCGCCCCCTCAGTCATAGTCTATTGACTTAGAATGTTTTGCATAGTAAACATGTTAAAGTTTGTTTTAGGTTTGTTTAAAAGCAACGACTTATGCGAAGTTAATGATATTTGTATATGACCCAACCTCCTCATCATGGTTCATTGACTCTTAAATGTTTTACATAGCTTACAAGTTATAGTTTGTGTTTAAGTTTGTTTAAAGGGAACAACTTATGATTACATGTTTTGATTTCAACATTTGCACTATAGTATCAAAATTACCAAACACGAGCCATATCTCTGTGTCAACAGTTTATCTCTTTGTCAATGGTTTTTGCAGTCTTCAGATATGTGGTTTTGTAGGAAAATTCTGATGTCCTATAAAATAAAACTGATAATAATTTGACAATATTTTTGTGATGAAAGTTTTGACATTAAAACACAACATAAAAAAATGTCAGTACTAATGTTAATTAGGATTCTGACAATATCACTGTACTGTTAACGTTTGTAATGTCAGTACAGGTTATTAGGCAGGTTGAGAAAATATATGTCCTCTTTAAAGTCAGATTCTACCTTTTTAAAACAAATATTTAAGCTATGTTTTTTGGCAAATAATAAAATACTATATTCTATACTTTTAACAATTTAGAGAATTATGAATTAATTTGTTAATTTGAGATAATTTGCTTATTTTAGCAAGAGAACCGTCAGTTAAAAGATGACGTAACTTCTATGAGAGAGGAAATGACTGAAATGGAGGATAAGTTTGAGGAACAGTTGAGACAAGCTTTAAAAGAATCAGAGGCTTCAGCACAGGAAATGAGAGATATTGAAGATAGGTAAATGTTCTTTCTATACAATTTTCCTCAGTATTATTATTGGAGCTTGTTCATTTGTAGGTATTTTGTTTTTAGAAGTTTGGTCAAATAGTTTTTAGAAAGCAATGCAAAAGGTATCTTGATGTTTTCTTGCTATTTATATTTGTTTTATCTATTTCTTATAACTCTAATATTTCAGTCCAGTGTTCTCCCCAGGCCGTTTTTAGCGTCGCGGCACCGAGACGCTATATTTTTTTCCCGTGATGCTATAATAATTTCCGCGACGCTATAATTATTTTGAGGATGCTATTTTTCTTGTCTCTATATCTAATTACCGCTTGTGATCATAAAAATTATATCACCTTTAATTGTAATCCCTTCAAGTCCGACAATAGAGGCAATTTAGAGTGATTAAATAGGTGTAAATTGCCCTTTGGGTGATAACTGAATGGATACGAATACCCCAAGCTGACACTTGTGACACGACTAATACCACGTGGTCCAATCGCAAATTTCAACATGGAGAAAATTTAATCAGAAATTCGAAAAACAATTCGAAATCTACGTTTGCATTAATCCAAATTCAAAGATACAAACGATTTCTCTCTTTAAGAAAAGAGGTTAGGTCGTATATTTTTACAACTTTTAAAAAAAAATACTTTCTTTCATTTCCGGTATCTAGTTAATCGAGAGCGTACATGGCGTATATTAAACATTTTGATTTTGAGTTAAATAAGTTTAATACTTCTTTAGAAAGAGATCATAATTGGCTTTAGTTAATGTTTCATCCATTTAATGCATTTAAAGCGTCATATGCATTCCCAATCTCTTGTCAAACATTGTTTATTTTCATAAATTTTTCTTCCGCCACCATTATATTTGTGTAAACTGCGGATCGGAACCGGACCAGATATGACAAAATTCCGCATTTTTACGATAATAACTACAGATGCACACATGGCACAGTAGACAGAAAAAATGATCACAAAAGAGAAAACTACGCATTCCACACGCATTAACAGACTATCTATTAGATATCTTTGCTAAATGTATTCTCTTTGAAAAAGCATTGTTTTAATATACTGACTTAACATGCTAAAGTAGCTTAACTAGCTTAACTTTGTTAAAAATATATATCATTTTGATATAAAGAAACAACTGGGACTAATTCATTGAGTACCATTAAACAATGAATTTCATAGACATGATAAAGAAAAAAGTTTTTTAATTGAAATTTTATTGCTATATGATATATTCTCTTCCCTTTTTATATAAAAACCAGTTCTTTTTTTTTGCTAGATATTTAGTATCGTGTATATACAGGTTGCACTATAATAAACCATTCATTCATTCATTCATTTAGTTGAGTGGGTAGGGTAACTGGAACCACACATATATCTTTATATTTGGTCCAAGAGGAAAAAAATAATTCTGTAACTATAAATGAATATAGAAAACATAAACTGAAACAACTGTTATCATGGTTATAGTTTAATTGTATTCTCAGTTATGAATTGAACAATATAAACATATATAACATAAAGGAAATAGATTATCGCCGGGACGCGTCAAATGTCATTGAAAAAATATGTTTATTTTTTTACGCCAAATGTGATGCTATCCAAAATTTCTGGGGAGAACACTGCAGTCTTATGATTTTCTTCAAATCAATTCGTTTAAGTTTATGTTGATAAAATATCTGAAAAACAATAACCTGGAAGATTATTTCTGTTTGCAGTTTGTGTTTGTGAGCATGAACATTTAAGTGCTTTATTGTTGTTTTATGATTATAAAACCCTTTTTTTGCCAACATTTCGAAAGCCATTACAGTATTTTTTATAGCGAAATACAAATCTAAAAATTGATTACTTGTGACATTAAATCTATGATTATTCAGTGTAAGTGATTTTTTGCCATTCTTAGTGATTTTGATGGGTAAGGTGTTTTATTAGTTAATAATAACATCACAATGACCCATTTCTTCATTTCCAGCACAATAAGCTGTCTCTTTAGTTCTTAATCTAATATGTGTCTGTTTAAATTACCATTTTTGTATTTTTATATGAGGCAATTACTGTAAATTCAGAAATATTTGCAATGTTTTTTTTTTTACAAATTGTGGCGGAAAAGGTTTTGCAGAAATAAAATCTTTTAGATTTTGATAGCATATATGTATGCAACATTTCCAAATCTGATAATTAATCTCACATTTGTTTCCATTGTTCGACAATCGCATTGATAAAGGCACCCAAACATTTCTGAATTGACAGTTTTACAGTGATATAAGTTGTTATTCAAATTGTATGTATATTTTATAGCTTGGATTCTATCTCTACAATTAAAAGGTGATACCATGACACATGTGTGTTTCCATGTTCTGTGTGAATTTAACTATGAACTGTGTGACTTTCTGATACTATGCAACAACTCTCCTTCAACAAATAGCCCAAAGCAATCAGTACAATGCATGCAGCATGCCAAACCCATTCTCCTTTCTCATAGTCAAATAAATATAATAATGACAACCCCTACAGAAATAATTAAATTAAGATGATATTGGTTTCCCTTCTTTCAAACAACACAAAGAGGCTTTGATGCTTTATGTACCATGCCACTTGATAAACATCAACTTCCTTGAAACTCTTGTCTCCTAGCATATCTATACTACTAAAGGAAGAGACCGATTTCATTGAGCCGCAACTCCTCTGAAACCATACAAAGTCGGAAATATTTGTGATATGACATATAAATGTAGTGTTTTGTACTTCCTAAATTTGTCTTTGAAAAAATCTTTTTTCCACAGAAAACGCCAATTTTTGAGAAAATATCCAAATTCATAGGCGGTTATCGATCCGTGTCTTATACACTATCGCGCATGCTCAGTCAACGTACTGCCCTCAGAATTTAACTTTATATATAAATAAAACTTTATATATAAATAATATAGGACAATGGTGTAGATTAAAAATTACACCATTCCAGGCCCTTTTGTTTTCCACATAATTAATATTACCAGTAATTAACAAGTTCCGGGTCGAATCCGATACCGATTCCAATAGTATATGTCACAAAATTACCTGATCCCTGTTACCTAATCTGTACGTTCTGCTTCTGTCAGACGCACAACCAAACAGTGTATTCAGGATTTGCTATAAACACGGATAATAATCACACCTGAACTTCGTCATTATACAGGGAATAACTGTGCACCTTATAATCAGCGTGACTTTACCAAATGACAATACGAATTCTAAAAATCCAGGCTAAAAATAATTCAGTCAAGGACCCGCGATGTCGCGGATATGGTCTAGTTAAAGATAAAGTTTTGAAATTTTTTGCAGTTTGTTCAATACTCAGGACTGCTTCAATAACAAATGATTTTTATAATTCTGTTCACCACCTAATTACCACTCTCCCACAAATCTAACAGTAACATGTAATTTTATTCATATCTGATGGAGCAGACTTAATTTTTTTCTAATTTGATTGTGTTCTTATGGCCATACAATGACCTTCAGTTGCTTACGTGTATGTCTTTCAGTCAATTGTGGATATTTGTCCCAGTGGCAATACAACATCTTGCATTTATATTATATATGCAAATCAAAGTTTATTAAGAATAGAAAGTGTTGTGATTGATTGTTGGTTGCTTATTTCCGACAGCAAATTTGTTCTGCTTATTCTGTATGAGAACAAATCAAATAGTGTATAAATTCATGTGATTTGAAATGAGGCTGGACAATAAAAAGAGGCAGATATCTGACTGAAATGGATAACAACGATATTTTGGGATCAGAAATTAGGTTACCTGTATATAATCTGATAATACGTTAGCTACAAATCAACCTGAATAGTTGGGGTTTTTTTTGTTATTAAAGATTTTCATTCAGCCAACACCTGCCTTGAATATAATGTCACTTATCATTTTAGAAAGGAAATAAAGTTAAAAGAAAGTTAGGCAATATGGTCATGATAGTTAAAAATCATTAGTAATTTTATTTACCCTTTGCAGTGCCTTCAGAATAACAAAAATTAGATATGTAGGAGGCCTGTTCAAATAATATGTAGTATAGTGGTGTATGTTGAAAATTATATGTTGTAAAACAAATGTATTTATTTTTCATGAATACATAAACATTGTTGTTTAATTATTGCCAAATAAATATTAAAGGATATCAACATAATCATTCAGATATGATAAGATAATCATTGATTATTGGTTATGCTTTGTTGCATTAATTACAAAACAACAAAAAACAAACAACGCATGTTTTATTTTCAATTGTTTTTTTTTAGATGAAATGCGTGAAATGTTATAAATAATCTATGAAAATATTACATGTTTTTGAAAATGTGTCAGCTGAAATTACAGCTCAGTCTAGTGTGACATATGTCACAGATTTATATAGAATGTAATTAATAATAATAAATTAATTACATTTTGCTTTGTATTTATTATTTAAACAATCTTTATTAAAAATTAACACAATCTGTATTACCTGTTGATTGAGATTTCACAGTTTTATATTTGTGGCAATAAATTATGATAACTCCATGTTATATTTATAGTTCTTGTTATTCATATATTGCCACAGATAATCTTGCATCATGAAAGACTGTCTCACAATTGAAGATTTCTGCAATGATTTTTGTAGGCGTATGTTAAGTATAGAGGAGTCAGCCCAAAGGAGAATTAAAGCTATGGAACTTCAAATGAATTCTACTGTTCAGCGATATGAACAGGAGACTAAACTTCTACGCATGCAGAAATCTCGGCTTGAAGATCAGTTAGACATGGACAGAAATGAAAGTCATTTTAGTAAGTATAAACTTTAAAAAAAAATCAATGAAGACAACAACAAAAAATAACAATAGAACAAATAATTGGAAAAAGAAAGGGGAAACAAAAGGATAAAAAGCAATGAAGGATTTACCCCAGCATTTCTAGAAAAGGAGAATGTATGGAAAGGCTATGTTTTTTGCTTCTTCAATTTACAGTAAAAAGAAATATAAATCTATCTGGTAACATCCTTTAGATGTTTACAAAACATTAGTCTGTCAGTTATCAGTATAGGTATTCTTCAATATGGGCTTATTTATTTGCTTTAGAAATTCTGACTTTGATTTAAAAATAATACAAACGTGTGGAAATGGCCTCATTTTGAGATTTTGACAATATTAAGATGAGCAACAATATTAACCCCAAACATTTTTTGTTTCAAGATGTCTTATACATAAATTTTGATGTAAGATTGCAGTTTTAAGTCCTATATGTCTTTCTGATATTGTTAAACATCTAACCCCCTTGTTTTATTAATTTTGTATTTACATTGTGTCATAGATCAAATTTATTCGTTCAGTGTATGTTCACTTGTTTTTGTTAATATGTCTTTTGATTGAGTTAAGCCATTTCAATTGATATTTTATAGTGTGTCTTTCTATGTTGTGATGTTACACTATTGTTTCAGGTAGGGTGAAGGTTGGCGCCTATTAAAACGTTTAAACCCGCTGCATTTGTTTGCACCTGTCCTAAGTCAGGAACCTGATGTTCAGTGGTTGTCGTTTGTTGATGTGATTCATAAGTGTTTCTCGTTTTTTATATAGATTAGACCGTTGATTTTCCTGTTTGAATGGTTTTACACTAGTCATTTTTGGGGCCCTTTATAGCTTGCTGTTCGATGTGAGCCAAGGCTCACGTGTTGAAGGCCATACTTTGACCTATAATGGTTTACTTTTACAAATTGTGACTTTGATGGAGAGTTGTCTCATTGGCACTCATACCACATCTTCGTATATCTATAAGTATATCTATTTTGACAGGTCTATGACATATAAAATACATGTGTTCACTATAATTGATCATTTTATTCATATATCAATAAATTTACATAAATTTGAAAGGATTGAAAAATTTGACAGCTCATTTTTAAGAGAACAAAAATTTAAAATTTTTGTTTTTTTAATTTTTTATCATTAAACTTTGTGTGTAATTGCATTCAAATTGTCATATTAATGGAGAAGGTCATGACTTACCTAAATGTTGCACTTCACTGCCTAATATGCCCAACCTACAATAGTAGAAGGCAATTTCTGGTCTGGGCATTTGTCTATCTGTTAGTCAATCCAGTATGAGGTTAAAAAATTTTCCTTACAGTATTTTACTATGAAGCTGTGGGTGGGAACATCAATTTGAAGCTCCATACACATTTTTTCATTGTGAGCTGAAACATTTAAAATTATATGACAAATTGTGATTTGACCTAGATTTTACAGTTCACTGAACACGGATAAAGGATGGTTAGAGTGGGGCATGTTGTCCTACAGACACATGTTCTTGTTTAAGTATTATGTTCAAATTCATATCTCAGTCACTTACTTTACGTGATAGGATAATGCAAATTAGTATATGGGTGCATCCTTGAGAGTAAATCAGCATTCAGGCAAAAGAGGGTCACAGATTTGACCTAAATTTTCCACTTCATTGAATTTTTAATAAAACTTTATGTGTAATTTCATCATGCATTATCTTTATACATGTATAATGCTACTTTATAACATCCCACTGCACTTGCTTTATACCGGATACTAATATACAGGATTTCACTAGCAGTGGGCTAAAATTTTCACCAAATGATCAGTTTGAAGATACGAATTCAAACTGCTAATTGAAAACAAATTTGTCCCATTGGTATTGTGAAAAGGAAAAGCCTATTGTGTAGGCACAGGAATTTTTTTTTTCAAATTAAAGAAACTCCCTTTGCATCTAAATTCCATTTGAAACTTTTTTCCTAAATTTGAAAAACAAGTGGATTTGATTAAAACCATGAACCAACATGAAACCTTTACAATAGCATTGTTAATTTTTATTCAATTTTACAGGACTGCAGGACGATCATGAAATAGATCTACATTCACTTGTTTCGGAAGAAGACTATCATGAATTGAGACCAAATGGACACTATGCAAATGAAAATGGACATTTCACAAGAGAAAATAGATTATATACAAGTGACAGTGGACATTTCACCAGTGAAAATGAGCCTTATATCAGGGAAAATGAGGATTATATCCATCAGAATGAACATGGACCACTTCATTTAGTGAATGGCGACAATCAAAATGGTGAAGATCACCATGACAATAGTTATTCCACAATATTAAGTAGCCGTGCTATGTCCATATCAGAAAGTGTACAGGAACCTTTAGATCCTGAAGAGGTATAACTTTATGTAAAATTGTATCAGTCAAAATTTTATTATACTATACATTGCACTAGTATATTTCCTATTTTTTATAAACTTCTAAAGCTATATTAGTCCCCAAAATTTATTTTTTTACTGAAAAAGGTCTTTGAACATGTTGAAATTGTACATGACTAGATTTCAGGTTTTGAAACATTCGGTTATAATTTAGCAATATTCGGATATGGTGTATAAATTTTTGCACCTCATGTTTGCGGTATACCATCTTCTCCGCAAGTTTATTGTTTTCTGTTTGGTATTAAATTAATAGTTAAGATCCATGTTAAATCTGGTGATCAATTTATTTGGCAATTGCCAATGGCAGTCAGCAGGGTTTAAGAACATCCATTGTTCGACCTGTTAGTCAAATGTGTTTTGTTAAAATATACTTTTCACTTTTTTGGTCTTTTGGAAAATGTTGTTTGTGCTGTATTTAGACCCCTCTACCAAGAAATTTGTTTTACATGCACACGTATAAAAATTGCGGTTTTTATCCAACGCAATCATAGGTTTGAACATTGTTTTCAATTTAGACTTGTATATATATATATATATATATATATATATATAAAGTTAAGATATATATAAAGAATAATTTCATAATTTTGAATATAAGAATGCAAGGGCCCAGAATTCATAAGAAATATTTTACATGTTGATTCCTTGTAATTCCTTAATAATTTTTTGTTTTTATTTTAGTTAAGTCCAAGAGATTCAGTAGCACAGAAATTTTTAGCAGCAGAAAACCAAAGAGCTAGAGAATTGGAACTACTCATAGACTCACACATAGAAACACTTAAGAAAGGAACAGATGCTACCATCAAAAGACATTCTAAAAGATAGTGCTGAAATGTTTCACAATTTATAGTAGTTCATTCCTCAGGGGACAATTTTCTTGAGTTGTAATGCATTAAATGTGCTACCATAGTTTAACTAGTACTAAATGAAAGTAAATCATGAGAAAACTGGATCGTGTGATTGTGAATGTTATGAAAAGTAATTTGTGTAACTGGTTTATGTTTAAAAGTTGTAAATGATGTAAAGTTAAAATGTTATATAGTTAATATAGATAGCATTCCACAGTTGTAGCAGAATATTATGATATTTTTGTTTCTCAGGTGCTGAATTTTGAGTGTGCTATTGTCGTATTCATGTGACAACTGCTGATCGTATGATATTGTTAACAATGCACCAGGAAATAGACCTAAACAGCATTGTTTTTGTGTTTAAATGTTGAATATTGTGGATACATGAATGTTATCCAAATCTAATGTTTTTTTTATTTATGTGCAATTGTCTATTCCGTCCAATAATATTTAATTGTACTTAAAACAAAAGATATGAATATTTAGAGCTTATTTTGTTGAAATGTATTTGATACTGGAGAGTAAGAGAGAATTTGCATAATTCTTGAAATTTTTATTTTGTTATGTATGCGTCCTGCAGAACCTATCATTAAATTATCCATTAATACTTTTAATTAAAATGGAAAAAAAATCCATGTTGCAGACTTTTTTTTAGGAAGAAAGCCAACTCTAAAATAAATATTTTCATCACTGGAGGAAACCTGCCACCTGCTATTGATTTCTGCAGTTGTCCAAGAAATAAATGACCCATTTGTATAACTAGTTAAAATTGTATGGCATCTTATTTTTAAACCAAATTCTCCTTTTTCTGAATGAAAAATCCCATTGTTTTTTTTTATGGTTAAATTGTGTTTTGTGCAATTGTTTGTGGTAGATTAGAATCAAAAGTCATCAAAGAAACCTGTGATAAGGAGGACTTTATCGTCTCTATACAAATTAGATTGTGTGTAGGTGTGTGTTGTGAGTGTGTGTTTGTGTTGTCTGTGTAAGGGTAGTTCTCAGTAGTAGTACAATGTACTTACATTAATTTATGGTGGTAGGTGATTTGATGAAATGCTGATTAGTAGTAGAAGTTTGATTTAAAGTGATAATTGCACTAACAAAATAAAATTAAAACTAACCATCAACATAAATTTAAGAAAAACAATAATTTATATTATACCCAACTGATACTATATACTCAGTGTCAGATAGATATTGTAAATCAATGGATAATAAAAACCATCTTATAATTTTTTTATTTGTTTTCAAAAAGTGTTGTCAGTGCAGCTATTAATTATACATAATTTCCTGTACAAAGTCACATTAATTTATTAGAAGTATGCATATACTGACAAATTTAATATATTTTGAGTAAATACTCTGAAAGAAAATTGTGTTTATTATTATTACTTCATGAGCCTGATTTTCCCCCTCAGTATTGTAGGGTTTTGATGCTGTCTTATTTCTCCTTACACGATTACAGACTGAGGCAGTAGAGATACCATGAAAAAAAAAGGATACGAGGAGGAAACACTTAAATAACAAACATGCATAATTGTAATTGAGTTGCCTGGCAACATCCAGCTGTGGTCAACACAGAGGGATCAATTCTATCATCTTGCATTGTTGTTCCCATCGTCCTGTCCTGTTGTTAAATTGCAACTCCATATAACCCGTTCAACCAAATCTCAGATTTGTGTATAAGACATGAAGTTATTTTATTCTATTTTATTTTCCTCTAAATGTTTTTTTTGTGGTTTCCAATATCAAAGCTTGGACGAAGTCATTTCTGCTTATATCAGTTTGTTAATCTGCAACTCCTTGAAAACAGCTTGACAGAATTCCACTAAACTTGCACAGACTTTTCTAAAGGACAAGAAATCGTGCAACTGCTATTCTTATTTTTGTTTTGAGTGGTTTTTGGGGTGCCAATACCAAAACATGTTCTTCATTTCTGCTTATATTATTTGGAGACAGTGGAGTCACACATTTTTATTGTTCTATCTTAAAGACAGTTTGTTTAAATGTCTGTAAAAAAATAAGATGATGTGGTTAGATTGCTAATGATACAACTCTTCACCAGAGACCAAATGACATAGAGGTCAACAACTATAGGTCACCGTACGGCTATCAACAATGAACAAAAACCATACCGCATAGTCAGCTATGAAAGGCTCCAAAATGAAAAATAAAAAACAATTCAAACAAGAAAACTAATGGCCTGATTTATGTACAAAACAGAAACAAACGACAACCACTAAATTACAGGCTCCAGACTTGGGAGAGGCACATACAACCCTCGCCCTAAGTGGAACAGTGGTGTAACAGTACAACATAAGAACAAACTATAACAAGAATGCACACGCTGAAATGTTTCGCCTGCTTTACTGATCATTGTATGTTGATAGTCCTAAATATAAAGCTTTAATACAAGTATCACATAAACTTAACATGATCCAAGAAAATGAAGTCAAGGTCCGATAAACCAAACCAGAAATACATGTACACCTCACAATCATTCCATACACCAAATATAGTTGAACTATTATTTATAGTATCTAAGAAACAAACTTAACCATGAAAACTTAACATTGACCAATGAACCATGAAAATGATGTCAAGGTCAGATGAACCATGCCAGCTAGATATGTTCACCTTACAATGATTCCATACACCAAATATAGTTGAACTATTATTTATAGTATCTAAGAAACAAACTTAACCATGAAAACTTAACATTGACCAATGAACCATGAAAATGAGGTCAAGGTCAGATGATACCTGCCAGACAGACAGACATATACACCTTACAATCATTCCATATACCAAATATAGTTGACCTATTGCTTATAGTTTAAGAAAAACAGACCAAAACACAAAAACTTAACATTGAGCAATGAACCCTGAAAATGAGGTTAAGGTCAAATAAAACCTGCCAGATTGCCATGTACATCGTAAAATATTTCCATACACCAAATATAGTTGACCTATTGCTATAGTATTAGAAAAGACCAAAACACAAATTTTTTACTTTAACCACTGAACCATGAAAATGAGGTCAAGGCCAGATGACACCTGCCAGTTGCACATGAACACCTTACAATCATTCCATACACTAAATATAGTAGACCTATTGCTTATAGTAACTGATATATGGACTTGACCACGAAAACTTAACCTTGTTCACTGATCCATAAAATGAGGTCAAGGTCATATGAAAACTGTCAGGCATGAGGACCTAGCAAGGTACGCACATACTAAATATAGTTATCCTATTACTCATAATAAGAGAGAAATTAACATCACAAAAAATCTTAACATTTTTTTCAAGTACCCCGGTAGTCACTGAACAATGAAAATGAGGTCAAGGACAATGGACATATGACAGACGGAAACTTCATAACATATTAAAGGCATCTATATACAAAGTATGAAGCATCCAGGTCTTCCACCTTCTAAAATATAAAGCTTTTAAATAGTTAACGCCGCTGCCGCCAGATCACTATCCCTATGTCGCGCTTTCTGCAACAGAAGTTGCAAGCTCGACAATAAACAGCTGCGCCATGAGTGCATGATACGCCCTTCGCGTTTTCAAAGAATATAGTTCAATAACTTCTCAATGTCATATCAGAAATTTATGAAAAACTAAAGGGAGGTTATCTTAATAGATATAAACCAGTCACCAAAGTTTCATAAAAACTGCACTTTAAAGATATTGTCCGAAAGCTGGAAAATCACCCCTATTTAGCTCACCTTTCCAAAGCAAATGTGAGCTTTTGCCATCACTTGGCATCTGTCGTTGTCCGTCCAGTGTAAACTATTTCAAACATCTCCTCTGAAACTACTGAACCAATTCCAACCAAACTTAAGCTGAATGATCCTTAGGGTATCTAGAATAAAGTTTGTGTTTTATTTTCTGTTTTGTCAAAAGCATGACCACCATGGCTAAAAATAGAACATAGGGGTAAAATGAAGTTTTTGGCTTATATCTCAAAAACTAAAGCATTTAGAGCAAATCTGATGGGGTAAATATGTTTATTAGGTCAAGTTCTATCAGCCCTGAAATTTTCAGATGAATCTAACAACCCATTGTTGGGTTGCTGCCACTAAATTGGTAATTTTAAGGAAATTTTGCAGTTTTTGGTTATTATCTTGAATATTATTATAGATTAAGATAAACTGTAAATAGCAAAAATGTTCAGGAAAATAAGATCTACAAATAAGTTTTATATGACCAAAATTGTCAATTGACCCTTTAAGGAGTTATTGCCCCAATTTTACACAATTTGTTTATCATGTTTTCGAACTTTAAAAAATCTTCTCTGAAACTACTGAACCAATTCCAACCAAACTTAAGCTGAATGATTCTTCGGGTATCTAGAATAAAGTTTGTGTTTTATTTTCAGTTTCCTCAAAAAATATGGCCACCATGACTAAAAATAGAACATAGGGTAAAATGCAGTTTTTGACTTATATCTCAAAAACTAAAGCATTTAGAGCAAATCAGACAAGAAGTTAAAGTATTCATAAGGTCAAGGTCTACCTGCCCTGAAATTATCAGCCAAATCGGGTATCTGATTTTTAGGTTATTGGCCTGAAATGAAGATTTTAAAGATATTTTGCAGTTTTTCGGTTATTATCTTGAATATTATTATAAAGATAAACTGTAAACAGCAAAAATGTTCAGCAAAGAAAGATCTACAAATAAGATTCATATGACCAAAATTGTCAATTGACCCCTTAAGGAGTTATTGCCCTTTAAAGACATTTTTTCACAATTTGTTTATCTAGTTTCCTTACTTTAAAAAATCTTCTCCTTTGAAACTGCTGAATCAATTTCAGCAAAACTTGGGCTGAATGAGTATCTAGTATAAATTTTGTATTTTATTTCCTTGTACATCAAGAAACATAGCCACTATGGCTAAAATGGAACATAGGGGTAAAATGCATTTTTTTGCTTTTGAAGAAAATATGACAGATACAAAGAACATTTAAATGGCATTTTTAATTTTTAAGCCATTCATTGATATATATTGAAAAGCAAAAATCATCATTGATGAAAGATTTAAGCAAAAATGTACAGGTGAGCAAATCAGGCTCTTGAGAGCCTCTTGTTTATGAATAAAATCCCATAACTTGGAAACGTAAAATCTAAATTTATAAAAATCATAAGGGACCATACGTCAATAGATATAAACAATTCACCAAAGTTTCATGAAAATTGGTTAAAGTGTTTTTGAGTTATTGTCTGAAAACTGGAAAATCCCCCTTTTTTTAATGAATAAAACCCCATAACTCGGAAGCGTAAAATCTAAAATTTATAAAAATTAAAAGGGAGCTCATGTCAATAGATATAAACAATTCACCAAAGTTTCATGCAAATTGGTTAAAGAGTTTTTGAGTTATTGTCCGACATTTTGACGACAGACAGGCGGACATACGGACGGATGGACGGACAGAATGACAACGGTATACCATAATACGTCTTGTAAACGGGCGTATAAAAATCATTTGAAAAGGGCATAACTCATCAGGTCTATACAAAGAACAAAAAACTAACAAAAACATAAAAGACACAAAGTACAGAGTACTCACAGTTACTGAAATAGTTCACTATTTAAAATTCAAAATTGGCAGAAAAGTATCCCTGAAGGTGCCCATATGACAGCTTGATTTCATATTATTGCAATATCACAATGAAAACAAATTTACTTTTGATTTTAAAAATTCAAATTTTCTGAAATAGGATATGAACTGTACAGCTATAACATTTGGAACAGAGCTGAAATATGTGAAATCCATGAACATTGTCGTCAAGCTTCCTCAAGATTTAGTAGTTATTTTCATCTCTCTATGGATTTATGGAAATATTTGAGACAAACATAAGATTTAAAATATAGCTTCCTATTACAAAAATTATTTTCATTTGACTGGTATAAATAATCTTGGTCATTACAGTGTAAGAGATCTTTAAAAAAACATTACTTCTAACTTCCGATATATGACTGAGTTCCAAGATGAATGCTAAAGTGTTAGATCTCAAAGAGGGTAAAGTCTTGATTTAATCATCAACATAACAATTTTCAGTGTTTTTTATTAGTATATGAGAGCTACCTTGTGAATATGTTTCTAGAAACCCGACCTGATACTGTCACATGTTTAAGGTACCCATTGATGTGATATGAATTTGGTAGCTCACATAATAATAGTGCAGGAATAGTTCAACAATAATCACTCCGACAAGACATGTAAGCATTACTCAGCCGATATCCCTCTGCATAAATACATAAATCCAGCTTAACATGAGAAACAGCAAATAAATTTTGATAATCTGGTTTTATCCAGCAGGAAATTGAACCCATGACCTTCACTACACGAGATGAGTCCTGTACAACAAGACCACTGAGTAAATAACATCCTCATCCTCAAAGATAAATGATTCACATCATTGTTTTATTTTTAAGTGAAAAAGGATCTGAAGAAACATATCACTTTAATTTATCCAAGGTCACTGGATACATATTTGTTCATAAATGTTGTAATGATCTTTTAGGGAGAGTTCTGATAATCTGACCTATTGAATTTACATTTTACTTGGGGGAAAATGCATGCTTCATGATCACCTCAAAAATGGATGTCAACAGCTTACTTAATGATTGTTTTTAACAGAGAAATTATTTACCTGTACAATAAATTTTGTTTATATTCACTGAAAGACTTGGATTATAGGGATCTAAGTTATAACGGATCAGACATATATACAGAATAGCACCTTGTGATCAGATTGGTAAAATAGTTGACTGTAAGATCAAGCACACTTTCCAAAAAATGTAGAGACCAAATGTAGTTGACCTATCTTTTATAACAACTTAGAAATTGACACATTAAAAAAAAGTGACACATATATTTGGGATTCAGTAAACTATAAACAAAAGAGGAAGAATATTAATGTATCAAACTGACTGCCTCTAGTACAACATAAAGACTAAACAGTAAGCCTAAATATTCAGTTTCAGATATTCTGATCTAAATTCAAAAACTTCTGTCACTTTTATAGTTAACAAACAATTAAAAAGAGGTCTGTAGACAATATTTTTTCTCCCATTCAGTTTGGTTAGCGGCATGGCCGTCCCACCCTGCCTTTCCCTGCTGATGTCTAGCAGCCTATAGATTTTCTTCCAAGCTGGGGCCTTGATTTATATCAGATAGAAAATTGTTCATATGAATAACAGATTTAAGCCTCATTACCTTCTAAAATGTTATGACTTCCTTCATAAGAACAGCAATATATGTCATCTGCAACAATGTTTATCAAAAGTGAAGAAATCCAAAACTCTCAGACTAATTGTAACAGTATGAAAGAGTCTTCCTTGCTTCAATTCTGACAATTTTTCATTCCATTCAAGCAAATTTTACATCATTTGTAAGAGGTTATAGATCTTATAAATCAATAATTGATGGTGGATTGGTCTGTGTTTAAGGTCTAGTGCCAATATTACATGCCTGTCAGGACCTGGACATATTGATGTGATGAATATGAACCCTGCTTTGTACAAGACTGACAAACCAAGTTGGATTTAGTGCTAGTTCACTAGGTATTTGCAGGAAGGAATGTCACCCTACCCGGACACATTTTTCAGACTGAACTGGACAGTCGACTCCTACTCCTAAATTGCTGTCTAACAGATATTACCCTTATTCAAATTCATTACATGAAAGACAGATATTAAAGGTCAGATGTCAAAGTTTATGATCATTATAATCATGCAATTTGTTTTAACTATTTGCCCAGTTCACTCAGATGATCTGCTAATAAAAGACAGTAAGGTTGAAATAAAACAATAACACAATGTAACTTGTATAAATGCAGGTTTTACTTGATCAGAAACTGTCATATTTTGCTGTTAAATCATACAATTATAACAAGTGGTCTGATAAATATTGTGCACAAACTATATGTAGTAGGCTTTGAAATAAACAGGTGCAAAAAGAACATTTATAAAGAAAAATAGTTCATGATAAATGAGGTCATTCAGTACAGTTATCATACAAAGACATTATAATATGATAATTGTATTGCTCTTAAAAGCAATCTAAGGTTACAGTAATTAAATAGTAACATTGGGATGATGAAAACAAATTTATCCATTTAAGATGAAATTTACAAAGAATTTTCGGTTTCAACTCTTTTGACTTCTTAAATTTGAGTTGTCTTACCTCTTTTTCTGTTAATAAATATAAACCAAGAATTTCAAATTTTGTAAAACAAAACTATATTTTTTTCCTAATATCTGACTATTAAACCATATTTTGATGATATTTTTTACCAAATAGTACGGACATGTCATCGGAGGGCCTTATAGGGACAATCATTGTCCACATTTCTTGATTTCTTGATTCTAACCAGTAGAAATGGGTGTATATTGGAATATGTTATCATTTACAACTAGTCAAACCATACTCAAAGTATTTTAAGATATATAGACAGATGTGAAAATTTCATATTCCATTTATCAATCTTTGGACTATGTCAAACTTTTAGAAATATTTTCAAAACAAATCCAAAATTGTGCATAATATTTCAAAATTATAGTCCCCCCCCCCCCTCTAAAAAAAGATAACTCCAAAGTCTAGAAAAAATTACAAAAAAACAGACAGTGATGTTTGGATAAAATATTTTTATAAAGCAGCTTCAAAAATTTGCAATTCCCTAATAAAGACAAATAAATATAATTACTACAGATATTGAAATGAATTATTCTCTGTCAAACAGTGTATTTAAAAATAAGCTTATCTAAAAGCTCCTTGATCAAACGCTAAAAAAGATTTTCATTCAATATTCAATACAAATATGTGCATATCTAGTTTAAATGCTAATATTATAACATTAAATAGGAGATTCAACAACAAGCAAAAAAAATGGTAAAACAAATATAAAAACAACCCATTAATGGCTTCTTTGAATGATGAGTATGAAATAAAACTGGCAGTTTACAAATGAACAGATTAAAAATATATTCTTTACATAAAAAACTAGTCTTTTAAAAAAAATGTTTTAAAATAAAATATGTTTACCAGTAGTTTTCCATGCAGTGAAATGTTTGAAAGAATAAGTTTAACATAAATCATCATACAATATTTTAAAGAGATTGAATAACACTTCAACCATTTACCGAATCATTTAAGCCTTTAAGTGAGGTTAAGGTCATCTGATGATAATTGGCAGACATTGTCTCATTGTAAACCATCTCAATATAAATTTTTGATTTAACAAGATAAGAGAAGGGGGGAGAAGGTTTATATAAATGTATTTGAAACAGCTGGTTTCCCTAAACAAAGTTACTCATGGTGGGGCACTTATCACATGTGAGATAAAAACATCACATGCAACATAATATTGCTAAAATGTAGGATATTTGACATAGAAATACTATTTGTCTTTTATCTGAACATACATACCACAAATATATTTTAATATGAACATTAATATGTAGCAATTTCATGAGTGCTTATATACTTGACTTCTTACAATAGTCAGTACTGTGCATTACATAAATGGCTTCAAGATTTCAATATCACAGATATCTTTATTTTATAAACAATTATTTTATCAACACAAATACATCTTAAATAACTGGACAGTAAATATCAGCAGTTGTTTTTAAAATAAAGTACAGCTCTATCAATTTAACACATGTAAAATTGCAGCAATAATAACTGTATACCTGTCTAAACTGATCCCTGTGTGATTGAAAGTTTTTGGAAAACATAGAAAATATAATTTTATTCAATGATCAGAGAAAATGTTGAGAATGTTATGAAGAACAAGCTCAGAAGATCAAATCAACCTTTTGAATTTAAATAATTCATCTTTAACTGACAATAGTGTGAATAAAAAATATGGAGGTTACAACTCTCAAGACACTTTTTTCAGAGTTCACTTTAGACAGATTAATGTATATTTTACTCTATAAAATTGCAGTATGTGTTCTATATCAGCAGTTTAACACTTTCTATAAGTTATTCTACTGGATACTAGTATGTAAAAAGCTTATTTATCACAGATACAACATGTCATTTGACACAAAAAGCACAAACATATTTGCAATAAACATACAACATAACATTTGAAATTCATTAGAAGCTCAGTCTCAAATTTAAGACCATCAGCTTATAAAATATAATAAATATTATATCACATATTATAAATATTATAAAATAACAGGGCAGTGGGGTTGTTTAGATTGTAGTGCAGCCCAATTCACAATTTTTTGTGAAATTTATCATAAAAAGTTATTATTTTGATGAAAAGTATATTGGAAAGCATGTCAAGTGTTTAAATATTGGCAAATGACACTTTATTCACTTTGCTTTATATGCATATTTTTATAATTTGACATTTATATAATTTTGGTAAGATTTTCATACAATTTTCACCAAAAATTGTGCAATTTCATCATTTTCTATGGAAATGTCTTGTTTGACCAATGATGGTTCATTGTGGTATTCTGGAGATGGAGTTCATGTCATACATGAACTTTAGCAGAAGTATTTTCTACCAACATTAATCACAAAATTCAAATTTAAAAATGGAATCATTATAAAATTCACTCCAAACTGGCATTCTAAAATTGCTGCACCATGAACAGGATGTGCATTGTTGAATAGCAAAGCAATAAAAACTCATGTTGGAACTAAAAATATTTTAAACTAGCATTTATTGCACACTGTTTAATATAATAATCTTTATACATATACAGTATGTTTCTCTAAGTATGTACAAGTATATTACACTGTTTCTCTAAGTATGTACAAGTATATTACACTGTTGCTCTATGTATGTACAAGTATATTACACTATGTACAACAATGTATGGTTTAAACAACCTTATAGAAACAACGTTTTCCAGCTTTAATCCTGTAAGATATTACATATATCTGTTGTTGATCATAGTCGTCTGGTTATTTGGTTTGTCCAATAAGTCAATGCAGTTAAATTTATAGAAATTACAAGCAGTTTTATACATGAAGGACTTTTTTTTAAATATATTATTTCTTATTAACCAGATAATGGTCACTCTTTAAACTTTTTTGTTATGCAGACATTTCCACTTTTCTGATTTTTTTTTAAACTTGTGCTACAATTTTAACAGTTACAAATTTCGTTAAAAAGTCCTGCACAAATCATAAATGACAAAATTTTAAGTTTTGATAAAAGCATCTATTTAAAATCTAACACATCAACTAACAACAAGTATAGGTTTTCCTGGTTTTTTGTTCTGTTGTGCAGTGATTTGATCTGCTCTTTCTTTCTTCATTCTTTCTGTTTTCAGACTTTTTGATGTCAAATGTAAAGGAGGCAAGATTTTATCTATTTTTGGAGAATTCGGGAATTTCAATAGTGTTGCTACTTTATCTAATAAAGTCCTGCAAGAAAAAACAAGAAATGATTACACTTTTATAACATTAACAATACAATATATTTATTATTACTAATGAACAGAACATAAAAAATAGTGCTTTTAATGGACGAAACTTTTACACCCTATCCAATTAATGGACAAAACTTTTACACCCTATCCAATTAATGGACAAAACTTTTACGCCCTATCCAATTAATGGACAAAACTTTTACGCCCTATCCAATTAATGGACAAAACTTTTACGCCCTATCCAATTAATGGACAAAACTTTTACACCCTATCCAATTAATGGACAAAACTTTTACACCCAATTAAGAGTCAACAGTAGTTTACAGATATTTAAAACTCATAAATATCCAAAAAGATAAAACAAGACCAATACAGGGTCTGGACCTAATTGCAATTAATTATTAAAGGTAACATGTAAACGTGGCATAACTAATCATTCCCAAACCACAAATTAAAATCATTCCTTTTCAATTGGAGCAAAGAAAAGTTTGACGAAAATTTTCCTTGTACAATAGTACAATCGAGTGTTGTCAATTTTCAAACTATCTGCAAACAGGAAATGGCTACATGGCAGATGTAAAAATTGCAAACTCGCTACAACTCAACATTATCAAGCTGCAGACCAAATATTAATTCATTCCCTTTTATAGAAGACGAGAAAACTTTGACAAAAATATACCTTGTACAATGAGTGTTGTAAAGTTTCAAACTAACAGTAAACAGACAGATGTAACAATTGCTCACTCGCTACAACTCATCATCATCAACCAGACCAAATATTAAATCATTCCTTTTCATAATAAACTGTTAACACAGAGATATGTCTCGCCTATTTTTTATTTTGATAATGCAAATGTTGAATTTAAAATTACAATACTTTAACATGTAAGTTATGCAAATATTCAAAGTCAATGAACCATGACTGAATGTACAGGGCTAAACAGTCTCCATGGAAATGAGATGTGCCAATGCTAATACAACTGCAAACCAAATACCATTGACTTTTCATAAGTCGTTCCCTTTAAACAAACCTAAACACAAACATTAACTTGTAAACTATGTAAAAGTTTCAAAGTCAATGAATCATAATTAGGGGGTGGGGTTATATAATCTCCATGGAAATGAAACTTACAAATACCAATACATTTGCATACCGAATATCATTGACTTAACATTAGTGGTTCATCTTAAACTGATCTAATCACAAACTAATACATGTAAACTAAGCAAAAGTTTCAAAGTCAATAGACCATGACTGAGAAGTAAAGACCAAATATTCTCCATGGAAATGAGATGTGCTAATGCTTCTACAACTGCATACCAATTATCATTGACCTACCACTAACGGTTCCCCTTAAAGTGACCTAATCACAAACTAATACATGTAAACTAAGCAAAAGTTTTAAAGTCAATAGACCATGACTGAGGAGGCGGGGCCAAATAATCTCCATGGAAATGAGATATGCCAATGCTTATACAACTGCATACCAAATATCATTGACCTACCACTAGTGGTTTCCCATAAACTGACCTAATCACAAACTTATACATGTAAACTAAGCAAAGTTTCAGTCAATAGACCTTGACTGAGGGGGTAGGGCCAAATAATCTCCATGGTAATGAGATGTGTCAATGCTAATACAACTGCATACCAAATATCATTGACCTACCACTAGTGGTTCCCCATAAACTGACCTAATCACAAACTAATACATGTAAACTAAGCAAAGTTTCAAAGTCAATAGACCTTGACTGAGGGGGTGGGGCCAAATAATCTCCATGGTAATGAGATGTGCCAATGCTAATACAACTGCATACCAAATATCATTGACCTACCACTAGTGGTTCACCATGAACTAGACCTAATCACAAACTAATACATTGTTGACGCCGCCGCCAACGACGCCGGAAACAGTATATCTATGTCTCGCTTTTTGACTCCGTCAAGGCGAGACAAAACCAGATGGACAGATGAGCCGTTACATACTTTTTTTATATTTACATCCTAGCATAAAAGAATTTGTTTCTAAATAACTAAACCAACAGATTGGTGAGTCTACTAAATTCCTAAGGAATAGCCAAGCATTTATTGAACTCAAGTCCATTAATCTTAAACAAGCAAGACGTCAATTAACAATCTATATGATAGTAGTCTTAAGTACTTTTATAAACACTTACTCTACTTTGATTTTCTTCTCACTAAGGAATATTGCATTATCATCTATTTCTTTTGGAGGTATATTTTCTGGTGCCACCAACTGAAGAAATAAAACAGTCATTTAATAGATTTATAAACCTACTCCATGTTGTAAAATTAATATTACTTTCCTTTGATTACCTGTAAGAGGTAGAAATGACCAAATTATACATCTACAAGTAGATGGTGTGTAGATAAAATGTTCAGAAGAAGAAGAAGAAAAAAACTTAATCTAGAAAAGACCTGCATGTAAAGTTAATTTGTCTCCACTGGTTTGTTCAAATTATCTCGAGTAAGCTAAATATTTATTAGATTGTCCACCTGTATATGTAATTCATAAAACAATAATGAGTGGTTTGCAATTATGATAGTAGACCAGGAGTCATGAAGAAAACTATTATCTTATTATCCTTTTTGATTTCATATTCAAGGGGCCAAAGAATGTTTAATCAGTGAGGCATTCAAATATAGATTTTACATGTATCCTTATATTTTACACATACTGTCTAATTGAAAAACTGTTACAATGCAATACCTTATATAAATATCAGTATTGAAAATTTCCTTCTGTTATTGTATTATTAAAATCAAAATAGTTAATAGTACACTCATCTGACTGCAAAGACCCAACAACTATTTTCAGTGGCAGTGAATGGTTTTCCTTCTGTATAAATCAAGTAATTATTTTGCCCATCATAGTTTATCCAAGTTATTCTTTTTTCACAGAATACATCAACACTAATGTACAGAGTTTACATCTTACCTTTAGTTTGGTTCCAACATTAAATCTACAACTTCTTTGTTTGGCACTAAATGTTACAGCTATATTTTCCTGTCCCATAACTCGGACGGCCATGTTTTTATTGAGAGCAAAACAGATGGGTTGGAAAGGTGGGGCATGAACATGAGTTTCTTGGTCTTTCCACGACCATTTCTTTTTCTTGGCACCTGTATCATCCAATTCTACACCTCCAAACTGGTCCAAATACAATCTAATAAGATGTTTTCAATGATTAAAAAGGTAAACATTTGATTAAGAATTCTCAGAATTTACATTTTCATCTTTATTTTGAGTCACTGATCCTAAAGCAAAGTTTTCAAAGAAATATTAACATAAAATATTAACAACTAAAGCAACAAAGAATAATTCCATGTCTTGTATAAATGTATTATAATTGATCTGATAGTAACCTCATTCTATAACTAATGCAACAACAGTAAATTCATCTATGCAAGCATTACTTATATAAATGCATTTACAAAGTTATGTCAGAGTAACAAAGCATAGCACAATACTTTTTTACTTTTTACACACAATTCATAGCAAACAGAATACATTTGGGACAATTGTTGAACTTAATGAGGGTTGATGTGTGCTGTGTGTGTTATGTTTTTCTCTCCCAGCTTGTAAGCATTACATACATTTTTCATGCAAAAAATTATTTTCCTGATCTAAAGAAGTTTTAGTGTACCATTCTTTTTTAAAAAAGCAATGACTGCATGTGTAGAATTAGATTTTTTTTAAGTAATAACCGTGTAGAATGACTTATCCAAATGGGAGGTTTAGTGTTGAAAACAAAGGAATAACTCCATACCAAGATCTATGAAAATGCCTGTTCAAAGACGGTAATATGTCAGCCATTTTCTAATGTTCAGTATGATAATAATAATCTGCTGCATTGATGAATTTGGCTTTGGATTTTAGTAGGTTTGTTTTTTTCCCCCAATTCTCACCTTACTGTTCCATTTGTATGGTAACAACTGCCATACCCTGCAGGGTCAAAGGTCGATAATGTTTTAGGCATTGGCTGGTCATCATGTAAAACATAATGATACTGTCCTAATTTAACTGATGACACCAAAATGGCTAAATTACCACTAGGATAACTGGTCAGTTGTTAAGGTTCAATATTTTACACAGTTTGTATATGTATTAATAAATATGAATAAAAACAACTCATATTCATGTTATTTCAATATTCAACCCCATCAATATTTGAGCTTCATTGTAATAGGTAAATTGTACCATAGCTGACACATGTGCCATGAACTTATTAGATGTTTTATTTCAAGTTTGATATCGAGTTATCTTTTAGCTTCAATCATTACAATGTTACCAAAAGTAAATCAAAGACTCAAATGGCTGGGTTGTGCAGAATGTTTCTTAAACAATGGAGAATGCTCTATACTGAACATTTAAATATTTGAAGGATGACTAAGTTCCTAAGTCTGGAAAAATAAGAAAAAATTCCTCAAACAATTCCATAATAGCAGGTTCACAACTTCAACATATGTGTAATCTTCCTTTGAAGTTTCAGGAATCTGGGTTAAAAACTGTAGGAGTTGTTGATTACACAAAACTTGTACCCTCTTTCATAAACTTTGCTGAAAATTGACTGAGTTAATTCGTTAATAGCAGGTGCACAATTTCAACTTATGTGCAATAGTCCTGTGAAGTTTCAGGGATCTCGGTTGAAAACTGCCCCTCCCCTCGTCTGTCCACCCGGCATCACCATACTATAAGCCGGTTTTGGACTTTGTCCATCCTGGCCAATAAATTTATAATTGCAAAGCATCACAGTGACATTTCTCTTCAAACAAGACTGAACAACAGCAATTATCAATTAGCTGAATCATAATATTTTCATTGAAATATATAAATATATGTATAAATTCAAAGGATACAAAACATTTCCTGTACCATCTGGAAACAAAGTAACAAATTTCTGTTCATCATCATAAAACTTCTCTATCATTGGTCTTTCTCTCCACTAGAATATAAGCAAAAATAAAAGTTTGTTTTGAAAAAAAATTCATTTATGGTGACATATATGTCATTTTGATTACAAAAGGATCCCTTACCAATAGATGCTATGTACTGATGGCCAAAACTATCTGCTTCTTTCAATTTATCAATTACAATATCCTTTGAGTCAGGCTGTTCATTATAATAAGCTAACTTTACCTAAAACTACATGTAAAATTACCATTTTAGGTAAAATATGTCAATTTTAACATTTTTATGACATCACATGCAGAGAGATAGCAGATAACACTTCTGCACTACAGTACACAGACTAAATCGTCCCTTTCATTTATGAATAAACTTAGTATAATTTTGAAAGAATTGAACTGTTTTATTGTTATTGCAATTTCAAGGACCAAATAATGATCCTTATTATATCTTCTTTCTGGTAAGTGTTTCAAATACACCTTCAGTGTTGTAAGTATAAATGCTAATACTGCATAGTCAATGGATGCTCACCTTTCCATCAGCAATCATGGCAGGATCTAATGGTTCTGGTGTGAACACATCATTGTCATCATCTGGTAGAACAGGACTCGGAGGCCTAATTGTCCAGCCTTCATTTAAACACATCTGTGATGACAGCTGGTATTTTATAGTCTTGACTTGACGAGCGACTGTAAAAAATAATTAACAAAACCTTGTAACATTGATACTGTAATTGGGAGTTCTATCAATTTCAAGCATACCTTCAATTTTAAATAATTTTGCATCAAATTTTCTAAATTCAAAACTGATCCAATATTTGGCAAACATTTTCTTCTTCCAAATTTCAAAAAAATCATTCAAAATCTCATTTTCAGGTGTCTGTGCTGATTATTTTTGCTGAATGTTATGAAATTGAAAGTATGCTATCACTCATTAACAAATAATGCAATCCTACATTATTAACATGTATAAAAACCATAACCAAATTGAACTAAATAAATATTTCCATTGATTACATAATGAATGTTAACTGATAGTTCATGCAAAGAAATAAAATTGATTAATTTCAATTTAAAGAAATAATTAAATAGCTTATCATTTACAGAATTAAATTCTATAAAAATAAAATTGTAGTGCTTAGTTTTGTTAAAGACTTAAAATTAAAAATTATACTAATAAAGGAAGGGGAGGGAATACAGTATTTGTTAATATATCTACGTGGGAAGTTACTCACAAACAGCATGCAGGTTGGGGTTTTAGTTCAAGGCACTTAACAGATTTTAACTACAACAATTTTTGTAAATTTAAAAGTAAATTCTACACTTAATTTTTTTTTTAAATTTATTTTAGTAGTGGTGAATTAATAAACTGTGATCCATATGAACATATAAGAGTGAAATTATAAGATGTGTTTTAGTATTTCATATAAAAAAGTATTTAAATGTGCACAATTGGTCTTTGGACAAGACATTTAAAATCTTCTTCAAGATTTATCTGTAATGTTCCTTTATAACATCACTAAGCATAAATCATTTATTTATATATCAATATTTTGGCTGATTCAAAGTCAAGTTAAGGGAAGAATTTCTATAAAAACTCCCTTTTACCATATTCGATGCAAGTTGTTGTTTCTTGTTCTCTTATAAACTGGTACCCAGACAAACAATTGCTATATAAAACCCATTTTTTATTGATTAATTAACTGCTAAACGAAAAAAAAATCACTATAAGAAATTGACATAACAAGACATTTACCTTCATAATGGTCAGGTATGTCCACATCAGAAAGTTGAGCTACTATATTGTTAATTGACCTAGACAAATTACTCTTTTCTCGTGAGGAAGTATAATGATTTTCTACAAAGTTAACAAAGTGTGTCCAAAAATACTTATATCTTATATTAAAATTTCCACAGTAAAAAACAAGGAACAGAATTTTGATAGATTTACCTTTAAAGTAATTCCATGTTAATTCATAATCTTATTACATATATTCATATTTTTAATCAATTTAACTAAAATGTAAAAGGTTTGAACACTTGAAATGAACTTGAATTATCTGACATCATTAAAATCATTCTATGAATTGGTTCCCATCACCATATAATCCTTTCAGATGCAGATTTAATATCACATCACATGATATAAACATTAGGAAATAAAGCAATAAGCTCTGGAATTTTTTCTGGGGTATAAGTCAACCCATATCCTTTTGCAAAATACATTGGTTCAAATATTACACCATTATCATCATTATGAAGCATTTCTGTTAAAGCAATATAGTTCTTTTACTCAGCTCTCCAGAGTTTTCGATACATACCTCTTTTTGGTCCTATTCAGAATAATGACTTGTAAGAATGGACACTATGATACACCTTTTTTCACAGAACATGGGCAATTTGCTCAAAAACATGGACAGAAGCAGAAAATAAACCTTAGCAGCAACAGTATGAGAGTTACTGCAATATCTAGAGGCGCCAATGAACATTATTGCTCACAAGTCTTCTATGTATAACATTGACATAATCTGAGTACCAGTAATTTACCATGTTTTTAAGTAGAAGGTCTGATTAACTGATTATTCAGACCACATTTGGTTTAATTTGGAATGATGCATCACTCTATTTCAGGTAACATGGAATAATTCCATTGGTTGAAAAACTGCAGTGAGCATTATATTGGACAATGTTTGGAAATGAAAACCAAATTTCTGAACAACAGGCCTAAGTCAAATAATGTAAAAAATGAAAGCAGATTTTTTTAAATGATTTGTCAATCCTTATAAGTTCTAATGAGCTGCATAACTGCAGGGAAAATAATGAAAACTGTTGTTTGATAATCCCTTCCCATACGTAATGTCATGATGTGGCTCCTCAGCAGAAGTTTGGAAATAGTTTTTAGATAAACACCAAAAAGGATCATTTAATAGACCAAATTTTCATCTAACTGGATATTGATTTCAGAGAATTCATATCTTTTTAAAATTTTGATGGATTGACAATAAACACAGACGGCAGGCGAAGACAATAGCAAACACTGGCAGTTTAAGCCTGCTGAGCAAAATAGATGAAATAATTTTTTTTTTAAATTCCTCTTGATTGGTGACCATGGTTTAACTAATATCACGATGTGAGAATTCAATTATTTTTTTTAAAGTAACTTTTTTGAAAGTTTCAGGTAGAAACACATGTATTAATGTAATGAAAAATGACTTTATACAAATACTTAGTTTTACATTCCTATATGGTTGAAATTAATTGAAAAATTTAATTTTTTGTCAAGGAAACAGTTTTTACATACAATTATCTGAATCAAAAATCTCTTGACCATTACATGAATAGGACAGCTGTATAGTTTTCTATTTATTGATGTGAATGTTCTCAGCTAGGCGAATCCATAAATAATTTACTTTAAAGTCTTTAAAAAATAAGTATATATATATGTTTTCTATGCCTTGCATTAATGCATGAAATATTAAAAAACAAGTGTATATAATACTGCTGGGTAAAAAAGTAAGAAGAATTGTCTTGAAAAGAAAATATAAGAAGAAAAAATATGTGATACAGACAAGCATCTGTTAGATACATGAAAGCAAGATATTGAAGAAATCAGACATGAAATATATCTTTGATCAATTAATAGTTTATCTCCAATTAGCACATGTAATCAATTTTAAACCAATCAATTGTTCTGCAATTTTGATAGTATACCAACAACTTTTCAATACAAAATGCCAAATTTGTCAAATTTATACTTCAAATTTTTAAAATGTATACATGCACATTTGTTTTTAAATCCCATTGAAAAATGATTTAAATGTAAATTTATCCAAAATATCAAAACAAAAATTGAAAACATACTCCATATCTAATTTTAATCTATCCCATATACTAAAGCATAAGCTAACTAAGTTGTTTATCTATATCTTTTTTAAGGAACACTGAAGGTGTTTTGTTTCTGGTAATCATGCAGTTATCCCATGATTCCACCTACCAATCGGCTGTGGAGCTATTCCAGGTCCACCTATTCGGGCAACAGATGGTGCTGCCCTGGCTAAAACAATGTACAGCATATATGTAAAATCAATCTGAGAAAAGCTTGAAAAGATAGAATGATTAGAAAGAAGAAAAAGAGATATGAAATGAAAAAGATAGTATGAGAAATCTGTTCAAGAAGTATGTCAGATATACAACTAGAAGTGGATCTTGTGATCAAAGATACCCTGCTATTTCAACTCTTTCTATGTTTGGATAGACTCACAAACTTGTACATGGTTTTATAATACACCGTTTTGGATGGCAGTATTAAAAGTTAACATGGCACTTGACAAAAATAAAATGGACATAACAGATTTTCTGTTTTTAATTCTGAAACTCATTTAACAACTTTTTCTCCACAAATTTCTCATATAAGTTATTATGTATAACAAATGATGTATAATGTAGAAGTATGTATCATGTAGAAGTATGTATCATGTAGAAGTATGTATCATGTAGAAGTATGTATCAGGCAGGAATCACCACAACCTATTAAGACTGGAGGTTCTTCACCCTTAAATTTTCAGCACCAGACTTCATTTTTCTTCTACTCCACTCTTGATTTTCTAAGCACCTCCCAGTTACAACTTACAATCATGATGATGTTTAATTGTAATTTTGGAAAATTTAGTTCCTGATAATTGTTGTAACTTTATGTTCCAAAGGATTTAAACATGGTGAAGTTTTTTTTCAAAAATTAAATTAAAAACCATGTTTTATTCCAGTCAGTACTCTTGCAGCACACTTAAAATGTCCATGTGGTGATTCCTGCATTGAGACCTGATGTATATGAAAATATTAACATATTTTTTTAATGTATTATAAATCTATAAATATTCAGTGGCAAATTTAGGAATTGCATCATACAATAAATGCATTCTTTTCTCCAAATAAGGTCTTCTTACAAGAACGTCTCATATTCCTAGATCTACCACATAACTATAATATGTGTCTATTGAATAATGGTTGAATTTCAATACTGTTATCTGATGAATAATATTTTACATAACAGAAATTAAAGTAAGCCATTTCATATTTCTAACATGCTAAAATATGAAAGATTTAATTAATATGCAACCCTAAATGTCTATAAACCCAACACCTTTGCAAGAAACAGAAATGATAATAAATGCAAATAGATACACAACACATCATATTCAAAGCCCCAGTATATCCTTATTTGCATGAATACGAAATAGTTCTTTAAAGGCATTCTCAAACATTTGGGTACACACTTTTTGAAAAGTTTGGGTTCAGACAAACTTTTTCCTTTGGAAAAACTGCAATAGTCTAATAGGGGTTAAAAGCAAATCTCACCAGTTTTCGTCCCATGTAATCACATGTACCAAATTAAATGTAAAAGATAATTGCTAATTACATCACATTTAATTGAGGGATTTATTATGGTTGACATTTTGCCATACACAACAAATTTAGAAGTTTTTTGGGTTAAAAATGTAGAATATCCTAAAAATCTGTAATATCTTAAAAAGATTGGTCAACTTGCAAAGCAGATTTGTTGTCGGTTTGAACTTTTATTGGTAAATGGAAAAACACATGTAAGTGTTGTGTTGTGTTTCTAATGGCACTCAGTATATTTATAATTCATTATATTATCATTAGCTGCATCAGCATGCAATTGCACTATCTAACATTCTCATTTCACTCAAATGGCAGTGTTGATTTTTTTATAATATTCAAACAATAATCAAGGATTAACTATATTGTATTTAAAGAGTTGCCACCATTCATTTTGACAGTGGCAAAAGCAGTTTTACTGTCAAAAGGAGCAAACAACATGTCATGTAGTGATGTACAGAACAACAGTCCTTGTCCTTAAAATTAATCAGAATATGAAATAAGGTCAAGGCCATATAGCATATTTCAGTCAGGCATATACTCCTAACAATCAAACATCATCCAAATAATACAGACCTGCTTAACATGATCACTGGAGTGTGATAAAGAGGTCAAGGCCATAAGACATCTACAACCAATTCAATTACCAAATGTTTTATATACATGTATAGCAAATGATGAACAGAAGTAATACAGAAAGACTTATCCTGACCACAAATTAACTTTTTCAAATTGCAAACATCATAAAGGTGATACTAGTTTATCACCTACAGCATAGACAAAATTCAGCAAACCTAAATAATTTGTATTGCCTTTTAATGTGAGTAAAATGCTATTATGTATTACACTCATCCCCTTTTTGGCCCTTGAAACTGAAGAAAAAAGTTACTTCTATTGTATAATTTCAAGGCTTTTGAGAAAAGTCCCAAATTCAAATTAAGTAAGGCCTTCATTGAAAGACAACACCATTGTCAAGAGAAAACAAAAAAACAGTCAAAAACAACAAGTCAAGGAAAGAAAGACAACACCATGGTCAAGAGAAAACAAAAGAACAGTCAAAAACAACTAGTCAAAGAAAGAAAGACAAAACCATTGTCAAGAGAAAATAAAGGGACAGTCAAAAACAACTAGTCAAGGAAAGAAAGACAACACCATGGCCAAGAGAAAAAAAGGACAGTCAAAAACTACTAGTCAAGGAAAGAAAGACAACATCATGGTCCAGAAAAAAACATATGGACAGTCAAAAACAACTAGTCAAAGAAAGAAAGACAACACCATAGTCAGGAGAAAAAAAAAGGACAGTAAAAAACAATTAGTCACGGAAAGAAAGGCAACACCATGGTCAAGTGAAAAAAGGGACAGTCAAAAACAACTAGCCAAAGAAAAAAGACAACACCATGATCAAGAGAAAACAAAGGGACAGTCAAAAACCACAAGTCAAAGAAAGAAAGACAACACCATGGTCAAGAGAAAACAAAAGAACAGTCAAAAACAACTAGTCAAAGAAAGACAACACCATGGTCAAGAGAAAACATAGGGACAGTCAATAACCACTAGTCAAAGAAAAAAAGACAGGTAACATCATGGTCAAGAGAAAACAAAGAGAAGGTCAAAAACCATAAGTCAAAGAAAAAAAGACAGGTAACACCATGGTCAAGAGAAAACAAAGGGAAGGTCAAAAACCATAAGTCAAAGAAAAAAAGACAGGTAACACCATGGTCAAGAGAAAACAAAGGGACAGTCAAAACCCATAAGTCAAAGAAAAAAAGACAGGTAACACCATGGTCAAGAAAAAACAGTTCACAAAATACAGCATAAAAACGAAAGCTCATGAAGCTCTATCACTAAACAAAAAACGATTTCTGTTACTTTTTACAGTCATTTCATTATCAACAAAATCTCTTTTCAATACTTAACTTATTTAATAAGTGCAATAATTATATCTTAATTTATTTTATTATCTATTTATTTATACATACAATTGTGCTAAATCAAACCATGTAAAAAGTGTTATCAACACACAAACAAACACTTTTCAATTTGTAGCCTTTCCACACATGGAATAACAGATTGAATAGACTCACAATTCATAAAGTTTGACTGCGTTGTCATTCCAGATACTTCTTGCTGTCTACGTGCCATTTCTCTATCTTTCATCCTGAAAACAATTTTTAAAAATGTACTGTAATACAGTAATATCTTGTGTCGTAAAAAAAAATATCTTAACAAATTATAACATATATAATATCAAAAATAAGATAACAAAATGAATTAAACAAAAAAAATTCAGAAGTCAGAAAGATATCTAAGGGGTTGGGCTGAATGCAGAGGTTAATTCTTATTGTCTTTATCAGTCTGCTCATCTATTCAAGCTGTCTGATATATAAACTATTCATTATTGAGTTTAAGGATTTGGTGTTTTTTTTGTTTTTTTTTTTTGTTTAATTATTGCATATAATCTGCAGATATATAAAAAGTTTTTTTTTTCTTTTTTAAATATTTAACAATAATCCCAATTATCAGATTAAATATGTATGAATTTGAAAAACAAGCTGTGACACTACATCCTACGGTCAAAGGTTTGGGTTTCTTACAGGCATGATTGCAAATCATCTGTAGATACAAAATAAGGTTTTAAAATTTGTTGTTCTTCCATGTTCTAATTTTTTTTATCATGTTTGTTATTTTTGACTGGATAAAATAATCAAATAAAAACCCAAATTTGCAAAATGTGTCAGTGCAGCAAATTTTTCTGACTAAATAGAGCAGACAGTTTTAGAGAAAAAATGTCCAGAAAGTTTTACTTAGCCTAGATCAAAGAATGATTAGAAAGTGAAACGTCTGCTTTGATTCAAAGCTGTCAAGATTTCATGATCCACAAAATACTAAATAACATTTGTACTCATTTTGTTAGTTTAAAACTATATGATACTTGAAATATAATTAAGATTGGTCTGCTTGGTGTAGGAAGCTGTACTACTCCTAGACACAACCCAAACCAAGTTACAAGGACTGAAGGACTAAGAGGATAAGAGAAATGCAATGCAATATGAAGTTTATTCAAAGTTAAATTGGATGTTAAACTTTAAACAGAGAATAATGTAATGGTCATAATGGGAGGTTATGCAGACCATGTAATGAAAATGAATCTGGATGCTAAGAGGTGTAGTAGATAAATTGACATAGAAGTGCACACTAACACATGAGCAAACTGAAGATATAGATACGCAGATACAAATGTGATTCAGAAAGAATAGAAAAAGAATGTGTCTGAGGACAAAACGGCCCCTTAAGCTTTGCAATGAAAATGGGACGACATAAAGACGGACAGACGGATGGTCAAGGATAACACTTAATGTCCTGTTCACCTACGGCAAGGGCATAAAAATAGCATAAAATACAAAATATCAAACTTGTACACAAGATCAACTTTACTGAATTTAATATAAATGATCAAAGTTATTAGAAAAAATAATAAAATGCTCCGCAGGGCGCAGCTTGATACGACCGCAGAGGTCGAACCCTGAACAGTTGGGGGAAGTATGGACACAACATTCAAGCTTGATACAGCTTTGGATTTGGATTGTGATTAAATATTTGACACAGCATAGGTTTCTAACACAGATTGAATGTGGTCTAAGAACTTAAAAATTTTAAATTGGACATTCACCTATTATGGTCCAATATCCAAAATCTAAATACATGGTTAGATTCAGCATATCAAAGAACCCCAAGAATTCAATTTTTGATGAAATCAAACAAAGTTTAATTTTGGACCCTTTTAACCTCAATGTGGACAAAGTTGATAACGGGGCCCAAAAATCAAAAATCTAAATACATGGTTAGATTCAGCATATCAAAGAACCCCATATATTCAATTTTTGTTGAAATCAAACAAAGTTTAATTTTGGACCCCGATTTGGACCAACTTGAAAACTGGGCCCATAATCAAAAATCTAAATACATGTTTAGATTCAGCATATCAAAGAACCCTAAGAATTCAATTTTTGTTAAAATCAAACTAAGTTTAATTTTGGACCCTTTGGACCTTAATGTAGACCAATTTGAAAACGGAACCAAAAATTAAGAATCTAAATACACGGTTAGATTCGGCATATCAAAGAACCCCAATAATTCAATTTTTGATGAAATCAAACAAAGTTTAATTTTGGACCCTTTTGACCTCAATGTGGACAAAGTTGATAACGGGGCCCAAAAATCAAAAATCTAAATACATGGTTAGATTCAGCATATCAAAGAACCCCATATATTCAATTTTTGTTGAAATCAAACAAAGTTTAATTTTGGACCCCGATTTGGACCAACTTGAAAACTGGGCCCATAATCAAAAATCTAAATACATGTTTAGATTCAGCATATCAAAGAACCCTAAGAATTCAATTTTTGTTAAAATCAAACTAAGTTTAATTTTGGACCCTTTGGACCTTAATGTAGACCAATTTGAAAATGGAACCAAAATTTAAGAATCTAAATACACAGTTAGATTCGGCATATCAAAGAACCCCAATAATTCAATTTTTGATGAAATCAAACAAAGTTTAATTTTGGACCCTTTGGACCTCAATGTGGACCAATTTAAAAACGGGGCCCAAAATCCAAAAACTAAATACACGGTTAGATTCAGCATATTAAAGAACCCCATGAAATCAAGAATAAAACCCCATTGAAATTGGTCAAGAGATAAGCAATTTATAGGAAGTATCTTCTTTTGCACAATCCTGTGCTATTAAATATTTCTTGCTATTGCGCAATACTGTACAATTGACAATTTCTTGCTATTGCGCAATATTGTGCTATTGGATATTTCTTGCTATTGCGCAATACTGTGCAATTGAAGATTTCTTGCTATTGTGCAATACTGTGCAATTGAAAATTTCTTGCTATTGCACAATACTTATTATATAATAACTTACACATCCTGTTTGGTGTGTATCTCCTACCATATCATTATTATTTGATTTTAAATATAAATCAGAAATAACCAACTTAAAATGGAAAATTTTAAAAGAAACAAAAAAGGAAAAAAAGAAAAAAAATGAAAAAAAAATAAATCCCCCCCCAAAATTTTTTGAACCCCAATTATGATTCATCACCCCCAAACTCAATCCCAGCCTTCCCTTTGTGGTATGGTACCTTGCAGTACAATTTCAGAGAGATCCATACACTTGAACACAAGTTATTGTCTGGAAACTAGAAAAAAATGTGTTTTTTGGCCCCTTTTTGGCCCCAAATTCCTAAACGTTTAGGGCAATTACCCCCAAACTCAAACCCAGCTTTCCCTTTGTGATATGGAACCTTGTAGTACAATTTCAGAAAGATCCATACACTTACACACAAGTTATTGTCATGAAACTAGAAAAATGCTTGTTTTTTGCCCCTTTTTTGGTCCCTAATTCCTAAAATTTGGAGGCAATTACCCCCAAAATCAATCCCAGCATTCCTTTAGTGATATGGAACCTTGTGGTACAATGTCAGAGAGATCCATACACTAACACACAAGTTATGTCTGGAAGTTACAAAAATGCTTATTTTTGGCCCCTTTTTGGCCCCTAATTCCTTTACTGTTATTACCATAACCCCCAAAATCAATCCCAACCTTTCTTTTGTGGTATTGAACCTTGTGGTAAAATTTCATAAAGATCCATTCACTTAAACTAAAGTTAGAGTGCGAAAACCAATGTGTCTTCGGACGACGCCGGACGACGACGACGACGACGACGCCAACGTCATACCAATATACGACCACAAAAATTTTTTTGCGGTCGTATAAAAAATCTAAAAGCTTATCTTAAGTGATGAGCACTGAAGATGATAATTATGAATAATTTCCTGTTTACCATGGTTGATAGGCTGCTCTTCTGGAGGTTGAAATAGAACAAAGCACATCATAGATTAGTCAAAACAAGCTTAAAGAACAGAAATTAGAAAAAGAGAATAAAGATAAAGTATAGAACAGACAGATTGTATAAGTATGATATATGAATGTATAAAAGCTTGAATCTCCATTGAATCCTGCATTGGTCACTTTTACATAGGTAGGCGGACACAAAGTCACAAATTTGATAGGACAAAAAGACACAAATGATTTGTTTATAATTGTTTGAATACATATGAAAAAGTTCTTATTGCATATATTCATTTTACAGTTTATGAAATTGTTCACAAGCCTTAATAAATGAAGATTTATAAAATCTCAATCATGCAAAGGATTTTTATTGGCACCATGGAGCTATTAAAGTACCAAGCCACTTTGACAATTGTTTTATCATTATTGATTTCTTTTGGAATAAATTTTGTTATCAAAGCTGCCAAAGTTATAATAGTTCGAGAAAACTACAAAAATGTTTTTAATAATCTCAAAACTGAATTGTGACTATTTGTCCTGTGACTTTTTGTCCGTGACTTCTGGTCTGTGACTTTTTGTCCTGTGACTTTCTGTCCTACATTCTTTTACACCTATGCAAAATACTGGCTATTTTTCTCAGATTTAGAAAGAGCATCATGCTATGAATTCATTGATATTTAAAACCAAGTTTAGAATGCAGAATGACATAAAGAAGAAATAGTGAAGTAATACTTAAAAGACCACATGTATACAGTTTTAAGAATGATGTATCAACTTATAAAAGTAAGAGGTTAATAGGAGCCTGTATATAGAATCTATGCATTATAATGACTATTGTGGGATTTAGTACAGTAATGTACTATTTACTGGCTGGACAGCCATTCATAAAACCCTCCTACTAATCCTGATCAGTGGAATAACGACACTAGAATACAAAAAAAGCTCTGTGCAGATTCATTTCTTCTGAGTTTTAAGATACATGTAATTATCAATAAAAATTCCGATTCTAAATTTCCTTTGTATACCTTTTCTCTGCTCGTTCTTGTGCTGCTTTTTTCGCTTTCTTGTCAGAAAATGGACCATGTGCTTTGATATTAATCATCTTTGATTTCTTCTTCTGTTCTTCTGCCATAGAAAATGCAGTCGTCGTTGCAAAATCAAAGAATTCTCTATACCTGTCACAACAGAAAAGTTGATCTGGTGGGTAATTTAACTGCTGTTCTAAGGTTGGGAAAGGTTGTATATCATGTCCACAAAATTCACAAACACCACCAAATATTCCATATTGTAATCCACGGTCATCTTTTGGAAAATCGTCATCAACCTCATCATCAGCCAATCGAGCATCTGGATCTTCCACATCAAATTCTTTCTTTTCTGATTCTCTATTATACTAAAGTGTAAATAAGTATAAATGATAATTAGAAAATTAATATTCCTTGTTACATAGCTCATTTAATGTATCTAATAGTTCTTCTGAAAGATTTTCATTACAATAATGTATGTATCTAAATGGAATCATGTTTGAACAAAAAGTTTATTCTGTTTAGACAAATTTTGTTCCCTGATAGAAGGACTATATTTTAAGGAATACTTAATATCAGTTCAGATGAAATAAGTTCAGTGAAGGTTTGGAGTTTAATTTACATGAACTGCACACTATATTTATCTTTTTCACTTCATGTTAAAATTTACATGAATTTCACAATACTATAAATGGTGTGTGAAGTTGTTACAATTTATCATTATTCTTTCATTTATCCAGAACTCATTATCAAAACAGCAAGGAACAAGAGTGTACATGCTGAAGTTTCCAGCCTGCTTTACTGAATATGATTGAGTTTTATATATATTGAGTCTTTAAAATCAAGGTACTGTTACAGGTATCACAGAAACTAAACATTATCAATGATCCACAGAAAATAAGGTCAAGGTAAGATGAACGCTGTCAGAAGGACATGTGCACCTAAAACTCATTTTATACATCCAATAAAGTTGACTGATTACTAATAGTATTAAACTAGAGGCTCTAAAGAGCCTGTGTCGCTCACCTGCATCTTGAACAATGGCCACTTATTAGTAAAAATCATCATTATAGGGGAATAACTCTTTAAAGAGCTAACTGAACATTTCATCCATGTTGACCTATTTAAACATCTTATCCTTCAGATCATTTTCTTTTTAAAATCCATTTATCTATTATAGTTTTCAAGATAATAGACAAAAAATGCAAAATTAGAAAGAAAAAAAAATATCATTAAAGGGCAATAACTCCAATAATGAGCCAACTAAAAATTTCAGCCATGAGCATATTTGTAGATCTTGTCTTGATGATCATTTTTGCTATTTTAAGTTTCTATGAATCTATTATATTTTCAAGAAAATAGCCTAAATAGGCAAACATTGGGAAAAATTATCTATAAAGGGCGATAACTTCAATAAGGATTCCACTTAAGGCTTCCTTAATGCTGACTTTTTTATAGATCTTGTCTTGATCAATTTTGCTATTCTAGTTTCTACCTATCTATTATAGTTTTCAAGATAATATGCACCAAAAAAAAGGGCAATAACTTTATGGTATTGACTGATGATTTCAATCAAGTTGAATATTTGAAGATTATTCCTTGCTGATTATTTTTGCAATTTAAAGTTTCTGTCTATCTATTATATTTTTCAAGATAATATGCAAAAATGCCAAAAAATGGGAAAAATTGTCATTAAAGGGCAAAAACTTTTATAAGGTGTTGACTGATGATTTAAATCATATTTGACTTATTTGAAGATCTTGTCTTGTTGATCATTTTAGGTTTTTCAAGTTTCTGTCTATCTATTTTAATTTTCGAGATAATAGGCAAAAATGAAACAAATTGATAAAATTTGTTGTTCAAGTGCAATAACAAGGTGAGTTTGATGATCTTTGTAAGTTAAAGGACGACGACAAATTTACCCATTACTTATAGTATCGTAGAAATTAACCTAATCTCAAAACATAACATTAATCACTGAACCATGGAATGAGGTCAAGGTAACATGAAAGCTTTCTGACAGATATGTATAACTTGCAATGTTTCCATTTACCAAGTATAGCTACTCGTAATAACTGAAGAAAGCACACGATTTACTTTTTTTTTGAGTGGTCATTGAACCATGCAAATGAGATAAAGGACAAGGAACATATGCCCAATGAAAACATCAGGCCTTGCAGTTATAAAAATTTCGAGCACGATTATCATACTCAAGACTCAGAGATCAACCAATCAAAATACTGGATTTGGTGTTTCTAGCACACATTTTGTACTCCGGGTACTGCATAAGGTTTTATGACTGAGACCCTGTCTCAGGTACACAGGAGTCGGTTTCACAAAAAAACTTACAACTAAGATTGATCGTATACTGAATTGTTCATGACTTACGATTAATCTTAGTTTTTTTGTATACCAGATAAGGATTACCAAGCTCTTCTTCATTGTAAAGTATGAACCTTTACACAAAAAAGATTCAGGATTAAATTCCTATGACTTGCATTCTGCAATATTCTTAGCAAATGTTGCAGTCGCAGGCAAGATTATAAAATGGAAGGTATCAATACAATATTAGCTACCACAACATCTAATTATAAAAACTAAATTTTTAACAATGATATCTTGTAGACTTGAAATAAGGAAAAATTGGACCTAATTATGCACTGTTGACCTTAAAGGTGATTTCAAATAGGTTCGCTAGTGATGAAATAATTTACAGGAAAACAACGTATTTCTCTCACAGACATGTGTAGAAACTAAAGATTTGTGTATTTGAATTTAATCAAAATTTATACTAAAAGCCCTAAGCTTTAAAGTCATGAGAACCAACATATTCAAGACCTGTGTTTTACATTACAATAAATATGTCATTATACATGTAACTATAATGAATTATGCACTATGAACTACTAAGTAATGGTGAATTTGATGTTTTGAACTGGGAAACCTAAAAACTCAATTTGATTAAGAAACTAAATATGGAGATGCAAAACTATACAAAGAGTCAAGTCATTATGAAATAAAATTGAGAATGGAAATGGGGAATGTGTCAAAGAGACAACCCGACCAAAGAGCAGAAAACAGCCCAAGGCCAACAATGGGTCTTCAACACAGCAAGAAAATCAAGCACCTGGAGGCGGGCTTCAACTGGCCGCTAAACAAAAATGTGTACTAGTTCAGTAAAAATGGCAGTCACACTAAACTCTGAAACATATAATAGAACTAAAATTAAAAAAAACATACAAGACTAACAAAGGCCAGAGGCTCCTGACTCGGGACAGGCGCAAAAATGCGGCGGGGTTAAACATGTTTTGTGAGATCTCAACCCTCCCCCTATACCTCTAGCCAATGTAGAATAAACAAACACACAGCAATACACACAGTAAAACTCAGTTTAAAAGAAATCCGAGTCCGATGTCAGAATAGGCAACAGAAGAAACTAAGCAAAATGACAATTACAATGATACATAAATTAACAAAGGACTACTAGGCTACTAGCAGTTACAGCTCCAGACCTCAATTAAACTGATTGAAAGATTATGTCTTCATCATATGAAAATCAAGCACAATCCCTCCCATTAGGGGTTTAGTATCATACCATCATAAAATATATGAGAAGAACATAACCCATATCATGCCAACAACTGGTTTTAAAATAAATGTTTATTTCAGATGCAAAGACCCTATGAGTAAATCAATATTAATTCCAAAATATGCCATCTTTAATGACCTGACAACAGTATCGTAACTATATCCATATATGATATGTTTGTTTTCATTTTATTGTAAATTATAGGGGATTTTGCATTGACATACTTCCCAAAAGGTACAAATGCACCTCTCAGGAACCTGTAAAATTGAAAAAAGCTATCTTAAGTTAAAAAGGTGTTCTAAAAATTGTCTTATAAAATATCCAATTGATGCTAAATATTTCATTGCATTCAAAAGCATACCATGGGGCATATAAAACTGTTGAAAATATTAAGATAGTAATTCAAATAAAAAGAATGCATATCTCTTCATCCTGGTAAGCAAGCATTCAAAATTTCACTGCATTTCATAACATGAAGTGGTGCTTACAATAAAAATGTTGACAATTTTCTATTTAGTTTTTGATGATTAAGGTCTGAAACAAATAATCCAAAAATTAAGAAAAAAGGTATGTACACATCCTATTCCATTAAGCACACCATGGTAAGCTGGGCAAAATTTCATTGCATTCCACAGCATCTGAAGAACTGGTATTAAGGTCCATGAGAAGAGATACTTAATGTTAGGTGTTGATAGGGAGGATGCTAGAAAAATAACACCTAGTTAGCAATGTTAAGTCAAACAAGAAATGATTGTAACAGGATGCTGTTACGAAGTCTCCCAAACGAAGCTCCCATAATTCGTAATTCCCAGGGTCGCCTGACATTGGGCAACGTCCAGTGAAAATTGGTTTGGTCCAGTAAAGTTATATGCATTAGTGATGCCTGGGGACTAACCTTGTATATCATTCAAATCATCTTGGCATGACAAACGAGAATATACATGGTTTAGGGGTGGGGATCTCGACCATTTACAAGATACTAGAACATTGGGGGTGGGGAGGAACCCCTGGGGACTGGCCCTATACGTCATTCAAATGTTCATTACATGACGAACAGGAATATATATGGTTTAGGGGTGGGGATCTCAACAATTTACAAGATATTAGAACATTGGGGGTGGGGGGAATCCCTGGGGACTGACCGTATACATCATTCAAATGTTCGAGACATGACAAATAGAAATATATATGGTTTAGGGGTGGGGATCTCAACCATTTACAAGATATTAGAACTTTCTCAAATGGCAGGGGGTCGGGATGACCCCTGGGGACTAACCCTGTTTATCATTCAAACCATCTTAGCATGACAAACAAGAATATATATGGTTTAGGGGTGGGGATCTTGACCACTTAGAAGATATTAGAACTTTTTAAATGGCAGGGGATGGGGGTGACCCCTGGGGACTAACCCTGTATTTCATGTGATGTGCTTTATCATGACAAACCAGAATATATATGGTTTAGGGGTGGGGATCTCAACCATTTACAAGATATTAGAACTTTCTCAAATGGCAGGGGAGCGGGATGACCCCTGGGGACTAACCCTGTTTATCATTCAAACCATCTTAGCATGACAAACAAGAATATATATGGTTTAGGGGTGGGGATCTTGACCACTTAGAAGATATTAGAACTTTTTAAATGGCAGGGGATGGGGGTGACCCCTGGGGACTAACCCTGTATTTCATGTGATGTGCTTTATCATGACAAACCAGAATATATATGGTTTAGGGGTGGGGATCTCGACCATTTACAAGATATTAGAACTTTCTCAAATGGCAGGGGAGCGGGATGACCCCTGGGGACTAACCCTGTATATCATTCAAACCATCTTAGCATGACAAACAAGAATATATATGGTTTAGGGGTGGGAATCTTGACCACTAAGAAGATATTAGAACTTTCTTAAATGGCAGGGGGTGGGGGTGACCCCTGGGGACTAACCCTGTATTACATTTGATGTGCTTTATCATGACAAACCAGAATATATATGGTTTAGGGGTGGGGATCGCGACCATTTACAAGATATAAGAACTTTCTCAAATGGCAGGGGGTCGGGATGACCCCTGGGGACTAACCCTGTATTTCATTTAATTGGCTTTATCATTTAGAACATTTTCAATTAAAAAGATTGTGTCTATCACAAACGGTTTTCAATTTATAATCATTTGAAAATTTAAAAAAATAAAATCCCATAGGGTTCTATAGTAAAACCCTCTTTTCTTTTTGCCCCTCAAAGTACCCCTTTATAAACCCCATTGCACAAACAAAACCCTGATTGCACCACTAGACATGTTAGTCTAACATATTGTGAAACCCTAAGTTAATCTGACAAGCGGTTTTGGAGAATGGGTGCGGACAAGTTCAAATTTAAAAGTGGCGGAAGAAGAAGAAGAAGAAGAAGAAGAAGAAGAATAATAATAATAATAAGAACTGAGCAAAAACAATAAGTCTTCCCAAACTTCGTTTGGGAGACTTAATAAGACAATACACCTTCTTATTTACTAACACTTACAGGGTGAAATTAGCTACCTAATTTCTGTAGAAATTTTTGGAATTTCCTATTCAAATTATATTTATATATCTGCTGTCAAAAAAATTCATATTAGGATATAAATGTGACAATCATATAACTTCTTATGCTGCTAGTGAATTTAATATGCAAACTTTTTTGCAAAACAGATTAAGCATTAATCAAAATGAGCTATTCCATGGGAAAAGGCACAAAAATAACAAACAAAAGCAATTTTATAAAGTGAGCATATTTATTGAAACCAGACTTATGAATATATTGACATTCAATGATTCTTTAATTCTATTGAGATGTAAGTTTTAGTGTATTCTCACTCATTAAATTACAATTGGCTGTAGAAAAAATTTGAACTTTCTCCAATGATAAATTACCCGTTTTCATTTTACACTGTTAGCCTGGAAGGTGTCTTTTTATGACAAAAAAAAAGAAATATTTTTGTTTTCATTTATCATTGTTTAGGACATGTTTCTTAATTTTGAAATGATTTTATTGTTCACCTAGATAAAAGCAAGGACTAGGCAATCTCATATGTCAATAATTCAATGACTGTCTACTGACCATTGGACTGTATATAATCTAAAACTTACATGTAACTTATTTCATATTGTGACAGAATATACTATTTAAAGAAGTGAAAAAATCACTTTTCATAAAGAAAAAATTATTTGGCTGAAAAGCTTTGATAAACTTTCATTATTGATCTGACAACATTATGCCTAATTATTCATAGTACCTTTTCACCTGGAACAGCTCATATGGCTATATTACTCAATTTTACTATCAAAACAAAACAATGTTTAACCATTCAAACAAAATATTCTGATTCAAATGCTCTTTCAGGATTTCTCAAAGTTTGTTCTTTTAGAATATTTTAAATCCAAAATGAGCAAATTTATTATTAAAAAATACATGTACATATAGTATAAAAACTTGTTTTTGATCACTTCTTTGCAGTATCAGAAACTTTTGTAGTCTAGATAATTTTTTCAAAGACATACTAACTGTTTGATAGTTATAAATATACGGACATCTCCTATATATATGTCATACAATTTTTTTATTTTGGTGGTAAACAAGAAATTTTCGATTGTTTTAACGACTATGCACCATTAAGCAAAAACAGACCTAAAAACAGAAGATTTATTTTGAATGGCATAAAATGTAAAGAGAAATATGACAATTCAGCACACATATTAGCTTCTACCACCACAAATTAGTAAGCAAAAGTAACACTAAATCTGCACACGCCTTCACCAATATATACTACCTGTAAAATATTAGGAGGCCCAATACTTGGCATATAATTATAATCCTCCTCCTCATGTCTCCTATAGCTGTCCTCATCTGAACTCTTTAGAAAAAGTCATAAGTAAATAACTAGATATTCATATTTTTGATGAAATTCTCAACAAAAAAAATATGATACCATACCATGTATACCTATTAAATATGTTTTCAGCTGCTTGAATTTAATAGTTTTTCAATTCAAGGTTAAGCATTTCTAATGAATATTACAAATCAAAACTGCTGTAAATTCAGAAATTATTGTGCTACATGTATATTACTGTATATTTGTTTAGCAAACATATGAGAAAATTAAAAGTAATTTAAGTTTGTATATGAAGAAACTAGTAGAACAGGTTTTCAGTCATCCTTGTCTGACCAGTTCTACAATTTGATTGGCTAGTAATAATTTTATATCTTAATCCTTTGTGAAACCATTTTTCTATCTAACTCCTTACCATTTTGAATGTCAATGAGACAGATGTGTGTCAACAAACATCAAAGTTACTATTTCAGTACATTTTTGTACTAATTAAAATTTCCTTTTAGTAATAGACTTAAAATAATAATGAATTGCTTGCTGATCAATTACCAGAACTTATGGTCACAATAAATGCACAGATATATCATAATTCAAAAACTAAAGTAAATATGTACAGTACAATCATATGACATCTTAACTTACAGAGTCTGAATCACTATCACTGAGATCTAACTGTGGTATCCCATAATCTTCTGGGGGTGGTGGACTAGGTTTTATCACATCCTCTTCTTCTGGTTTACCTACAGTTAAAACCTTATAAACGTAAAATTCATATTACAAAAGTTTAAACTATTGCCAATTAAAATTCATATTCTGAAATTTTCATTATTTTCTGAATTGCCTTAAGATATTCCAAAACCTTTTTTTTATCTTCTTAATGGGTATTTTTTGTCCTATCGGAATGTGTTTTTGTCATTTTGGGTATTATTTGTTCATTTGTAAAACACAGTGGTTGTCATTTGTTGCTGTATACATGTTTCATATTTGTTTTTCATTTGTTGTTTTCTAAGTAAAGGTCCTAGGTTTTCTCATTTGAATAGTTTTACATTTGTCATATGGGGCGTTTTATATCTTGCTATGAGGTATGGGTTTTGCTCATTGTTGGAGACCCTACAGTGACCTATAGTTGCTAACTTCTATTTTGTTTTGTATACGGTGGAGATTTGTCTCATTGGCAATTAAACCAAATCTTCTTATATTCATGTCAAAATATCTTTTTATATATTTTAAAGGTTTTGTCTATCATAAGATAATACATATAACATGAGTGCATATGCTGATATGTCTTGCTTTTTTACTGATCATGATTGAATTTTATGCTGAAAGTCGTTGAGATTTTATTTTAGGTATGACATAAACTTAACATAATCAAGGATCAATGAAAAGCAGGTTACAGTCAGATGAACCGTGACAGAAGGACACCTTACAATCATTACAAACAACAAATATAGTTGACTTTATGCTAAATGATAATGATGGATAGCTGCTTAATGTCCAGCGGCTAATTAATATGCATGTTCAGGACAAGAACATGTTAATGTAATACGAATATTTACCCTGCTTTGTACTAGACTGACACGCTGAGCCAGATTTTTAATGTGCTAGTTCACAAGGTAACAGTCGGCAGACATGTCACCTTACCCGGACACACTATATTCTGAATCTGAGCCGACCAGTCTTTGTTCTTACTCCTTAATGCCACGTTCTTAGTGGAGAAGCAGCAAATATCAATTTTAAAGTCTTTGGTTTGACCTGGTCGGGGTTTGAACCCAAAACATCCTGCACTCCAGGTGAACACACTACCACGAGACACTGAGGCGGTGACTTTATGCTTAAAGGATATGAGAAACCGACATATAACGACTAAAACTTTAGGTTAACCAAAAAACATAAAAATGAGGTCAAGGTCAGATGAACCCTGCCAGACAGACAGTAATACTTTACTCATTCCACTCACCAAATATAATTTGCTGGGGATTTGTATCTGAGAAAATTCCTTAACCAAAAACTTAAATCTGGGTTAAAACAAAATATATTATTTAAATTCACATCATAATGTGTACTTAGTTTCAAGTCCATCCACTTCATTTGAATTCTGGTGGATAGTTGTCTCATTGGCAATTATATAACATCTCCTTATTTTTATATTTACCATATTTTTATGGTAAACTACCTAAACCAAAAATTATATAACATGAATCAGGACAGACAAATGAATGGATGTATAATCTATTAACGAAAGGCAAGGTACAAAAATGCGTAAAAATAAAGAAATGGTCATGGTATAATCAGTGTCCTTGCTAGCTTAAACTGGAGGCTCTAAAGAGCCTGTGTCGCTCATCTTGGTCTATTTGCATATTCAACAAAGGACACTCTCCAACATTGTACAGGACAGACAAATGAATGGATGCATAATCTTTTAAAGAAAGGCAAGGTACAAAAATGCGTAAAAATAAAGAAATGGTCATGGTATAATCAGTGTCCTTGCTAACTTAAACTAGAGGCTTTAAAGAGCCTGTGTCGCTCATCTTTGTCTATTTGCATATTCAACAAAGGACACTTTACAACACTGTAGACAGGAATAGAATTCATGACAAAAAAATTTTTGTTGATCTTGTATTGCTGATCATTTAGTCTGTTTAGTTTCTCTCTGTCTTCTTTAGTTTTTGCTTAGAACACAAAACAAGATAAAAAAAATCCTCATTCAAGGACAATCACTCCTACAAAGAGTGACAGTCTTCTAACTATATTGGCAAAATTTGACTTGTTAGAAGATCTTGCCTTGCTGATCATTTTTTTGCTTTAAATTGTCTATCTATCTATTATAATTTTTATCATATAAGGCAAAATGCCAAAAATTGGTAAATTGTCATTAAAGGGCAATAACTCTAATAAGGAGTCATCAGACAATTTCCTCCTTATGGTCTTAATTGTAGATCTTGTCTTGCTGATAATTTTTGCTACTTCATTTTCTCTCTATCTATTATAGTTTTCAAGATAATAGGCAAAAATGAAAAAAATGGTAAAATTTGTCTTTTAAGGTCAATAACTCCTATAAGAAGTCGCCTGAAAGTTTTGATGTACATGAACAATTGGTACAGCTCAACATTCAGAACACTTCTGCCTTTGACAGATTTTCTCTGTTTATATTGGTTTTCAAAATAATAGACAAAACTTGCATTTTACCCCTATGTTCTATTTTTAGCCATGTCGGCCATCTTGTTTGGCAGGCCAGGTCATCAGACCCATTTTTAAAACTAGATACCCCAATGATGATTGTGGCCAAGTTTTGTTAAAACAGATGACGGACGCCAGTGATAAGAAAAGCTCACTAGGCCCTTCGGGCCCAGTGAGCTAAAAAGAAGGGCCAGCTCTCCTCTGCCCTTTCTGTGCACCCCTCTTACCTTGTAATACTGCCTTCAGCATATGCATTTTTGTTTTTTAAAGGACGATAAATTTTTTCATTGCAAAAAAAAAAATATTTTGACTCTGGGAAAAGGCATTTTATATCCCTTAATTTTATAAATCCAGAAAATATGCATTAATTTTTTTAATTATTTCATTTTGTTATCTATAAACATGATGTCCCTATTCGGACTTAGTAACTCTGCTAACTTCATCTAAAATCCATTTCCCTAAATCCTAGCTAGAACACTGTAACTATTAAGGTTAAAATGTAAAACCAAAACAATAAAAGGTAAATGACTAAACTGAAATTATTTAACATTGTTATAATACTGCAAGGTAAAAAAATTATCTTGATATGTAGTTTGCATATTGACCCAACTGAAATGTATCAACTTCATGAAAAAGACTCAATGAAACAACTTCATAAAGGAAGTGAAAATTAACAATAGTATAAGAAAAGTTGTCCTTTTTCTTAAATTTTGCATACTGGTAAAGGTTTCCATAAAAATGCATATATTAATGTATCAAATTCCAGAAAAGAAAAAAACACCTTTGCGTCAATATTGACTCTAATCATATACTACACAGTGAATCCGTTTTTTAAAATAGAAACTGTTACAGTGCAACATTACCTGTTGGAGACCAAGGACTATCCCGACCATCTTCATGCTGTGACTGTGTACCTGAAACCAGAAGTGCAACCATCTACCATCCATCTAAATGTGATAAAACAAGCTAACCTATTATCTCATTAAAGACATTAAATAGCCATGGACTCTGGTATAATTACCTGCCCTTAGAACCAGATGGTAATCAAAATCAAGTCTTAAAGATCATTGCAGTGATGATCGATCAGATTAAAATACAGCTTTGCTAACAAGGATCTGACAACACCATTCTACTTTCTGTTCTGTTAAATCAGCCAATGAAATTTTTTCCTCCAAATTTCTGAAGGTCTTTATTATTAGGACAAACCAGAGGATGCTGTAAGGTCTTTAAAACAGAAAGTAGAACTAAGCTTTGTCAGATCCTCGTAACTGAAGCCTGGACACAGGAACTGTAGTTCAATCAGATTGAGTGCTGTTAAGGTCTGAATTCATATGTAAAGATTACTATTTTTACTACAGCTTTTCTTTAGGGATACGATAAAGACAAACACTGCCGAACAACCTCCATTTCTGATCTTCTCATTCATATCTATATATGAGCAACAGTCTTCCATCAAAAATATTTTAGGTGGAAAAACATTTTACATGTAAGTTCTTTATGTATGAAGTAAACTAGTAATGCCATTATAAAAGGCTTCAAAATTAACACTGTTCTGTTGATTAGGGCACATTACATTTGCGCGCATTTGGGGATTAAATCAAAACTTTTGATTACATTTGCGCACATTACCTTTACAGGTAACACAGGTGAAAATAAAGATAATTCACAATTCATGGAATCATTCCATGCTCACTACAACATGTACAATGAACAATTTTATTCAGCACATCCATGATTTTTTGTGTGTCATGACACTATTTTAAAATTTCCAAGCACCACATTTACATGTATCAAAGTAAGAGGACTTGATACACCAGCAGTAGTACACAGGAGAAAGAGAAAACAGGTTATCTGATTGAGCAATAATGAAAATCCCAGAATGGAGCCATTAATAGAATTTCATTTCTTAAAGCAGTGGGCTTCTAATATTCAGCATGTACTGACATGTAAAATCAGTACTTTTACTCTTAAGTTGCTATCTTTCTACATTTGTATCTGTCTACTTTTCCAGGACTTAGTGTCAGGTGCATATAAAATGGACTTATCTTGCTCAAAATCTCACTTCCACCTCCTCTTATGTGATCTGGAGACTTAGATTAACAAAAGAGGTATTTGTAAATATTCAAATAAATAAATAGATAAGTACAATCTACCTGTATTTACATTAGTTTACCTGTAAACTTAATATGTGCAAAAGTAATCAAATGCTGCACGCAAATGTAATGATTTTTACATGCAAATGTAATGCACCAGTTGATTAAGTCTTCTAAAAATCTTTTCAGACCAGTTACTCTTTTGGCATTTTTGACAAAACTTCAACTGAAGAGGATGTCATTTTTCTTAGTTGAATATGATACATGTATATAACTCCAAAGAGAGCAAATGTTATAAGAGATAAAAAAATTTGTGTTATTTCTATTTTACAATCTCCTAATAATTTGATCAATACATTTAAATTTAGCTTTACATTTTGTAGATATTAAATAATTAATGTATTAATATAACTCATGCAGTTAGGCACTGACAAAACTCATGCATTTAAATAACCAAATTAAATTTTGTACAAATGTAATTTCATATATAATATCTTCAGCACAAAAGAGTAATCTTTTCCAGTTACTGAAGAAATACTGTATAGGTTTTGAAATTTGTACATTTTGATCCTTGTTTTCTTTCTTTTTTCAAAATTGATACCCTATTTTTATCACACAAACATAAATAAACTTTATGTGAACTTTGCTTGGTCTTTTTGGTTACATTTCTATCAGAATACAACGAATATCATTGATAGCTGGTTTTTTCAATCATTTTTAAAGGTCACAGGTCCTTTTTAAAATAGACGTCAGGCCGCCTGCCAAAAATTGTATTCAAAAAGTAATAATGTTATTACTTAACTGCGATATAAATTAACACAACACTGAACAATTATTTTCATATTAGTGTAATATATATTTTGCTTCTTTGGTGGAAACATTTATGTATTCATGCTGGTCTCTTACCCTGTGAGGATATGAATGTCTATGAAAATCAAAATCATAATGTTTAATATGATACAAACACACATTTTCTTAAGTGTATGCTGTCTATCAAATTTTGTCATTCAGCTTATTATCATTCTTAAAAGCAATCAAATGCATACACTTTTTCAATGAATGTCACATGATGAAGTTTTATAGTTCAGAAATATAAAAATATAAGCTAAAATGTTATTAAACAAACATTTACTAATTAAAAGTGCAAATAAGTAAATCAACATTATTTAATAAAACACACAAAACAACTAGCTTAAAAGTTATTAAAAAAAAACGAAGTTTTGGCACATATAATTCAGATGAAACCTTTAGAGCCTCGACTAGACATTGAAGATCTCAAGGATATTTTTTCTGTAATGTAAAAAATTTATTACTGAAGATAATAATCTTGTCAATGCAAGCAAGGAATTTTTAACATCAAAATAAAAAGGAAACACCAAAGAGTGAGGACTAAATAATGAAAAAAATCTAAATTGAACTCTGACTGATGTAATCTTGCATACACAAATCTGCTGGTACCTATAACTTTTAACATGAAATACATAAATCTCTCAACAGAATTCCAAATAAAACATGAATAAGTATTTGTTGCAAAAACTGAGTTATTTAAAATAGTTGACGTTTATTGTGTAAAGCATATTAAAAACTTGATTGCCCATTTCCTTAATACATGTATCATGAAATCATAATAGTTTCCTTTGACTTTTCTTCCCACCACACACAATTATCTCCCGTTACCAGATTGACACATTTTGGCCTCATATCACTTACTTGTTCTGCCTGTTAAAATTTTAGCTTCTTCACCATGATCTTGATACCATTCCCAGTCTGTTTGAGTATTCAGAGTAATAAAGGTTATTTTTCTTCCATCATATGTTACTTTTTCCATTGTCTGTTTACTTGCCATAGATTTGCTATAAAGAGGTCAATGCTTTCATCACCATGAACAACAAATATCTACTTATCTGATATGAATCTCTCTAACTGAATATGACATATATATCATACATTTTTTTTATTTAAAAAAATTTGTACATTTGCAACTTACTGTTCATAACAAGATCAATATCAATTCAAGGAAATCTTACCATAATGCAACTAAACTTTTTCCATTATCATGTTAGTAATATATTGGAACATTTACTTAATAGATTAACAATAGATACCAATTGTAATTCTGTAACAAAAATCATTTGATTGATTGATATTTAATGTTTAAAGCCACTTTCAAAACTATTGTGCTATTTCAGTGTTGACAGTCTAGTGATACAGTAGTTTGACTATGTAAGACCACTCGGCATCCGAGGCCCCCAAAATCATTTGAAAGAGTGTACATTACAAATGTACTATTTAATGTACTTACTCTCCTGAGAATGTTACAGATCTTCTAGAGGAACGTTCATCATCTGAATCTCTGTCAACTGATATCTCACGTTTAAAACCTCGAACTATGGATGGTCTTGCACTTCCTGTCCCAGGTTTGTCTAAAGATGCTGATGATACTGAAGGAAAAATAAATTTTTTATCAAAAAATGTATTTACCATGTTTGTTTCTAAATCAACATCTCAATCATGTTATAAACTTCTCTTGTTAATTTCTTAGTTCATTTTTGTTTATACAAATGTATGAACAATATGAATACTCATAAACAAATAATTGTTTTTTAACCTGGGTCTTTTTTATCAAATAATTACTTACATCATGTACATATCCCAATTTTCAAAATCATACATATACTAATAAGATACAACCACTTCTAAAGTGGGTGGGTTGTATTAAAAAGTGTATTTCAAATCAATATGACAATCAGCTGTTTCCTTTGGTTTCATAAAACAAAATTCTGCATCTCTTCTAGAACGGCATAGACCGATAGTATAAACATGTACTTCTTTACAAATTTCAGGGTATCCAAAAAATACTTTTTAGCAATTTGGGGCATCCAAATATACATCCATATCAGACATGGGGTCAATCACTTTCAAAAGTTATTAATTACATTTCAATTAGTACATTGCAAACAGCTTCAATTAAATTACAATTTCATTTACCTATTTTTAGAAATGTAATTAATTACAATAAAATTACTGTAGAAAAGTAACATGTCACTTTAAATTATACAAACATAAATCAGAAGTTTGGAAGACAAATACTTTTTGCTTAAAATGTAGGTAGAATTATTTTATGAGTTATCTCCCTTTGAACAGAAATGTGGTTTAAGATAGTACTCTAACATTAGATATGATCAAGAGTTATGGTCCATAACTCTGGACTAAATCATCAGACTGGAACAAAATTCGAACTTGATCTATAAATTGTCATGATAAAACTATATAAAAAATATCAAATCATTATCTTCAAGAACGAAGAAAAAAAGTGTGGAAAGCTGATTTGCCGGACTGACGGATGGACAGACAGACGGAGTGCAAACCTAAAGTCCCCTTCGACTTCGTCGGTAGGGGACTAAATATATCTTTGTGCTCTCTTTAAAAAAGACTAGAATACCTGAATATTTCAATTTCTATGAATATTATAGATTAAATGTTCTATTTATTTAGCTAAATAATGAATATCATTATAATTTACTTTTCAGATGTGCCTCAAAATTTAAAGTTTATTTTACACTCCAACTTATTTGTGCATTACTTTAAAGACATTTTCCTTGGAAGTATTTCCAGACTTAAAATTACAAGGGACTGTTGGGACATCATTGTATAGTACTCTTTTAAGCAATTTTACTAGTAACTAAAAAATTACTTAATTACATCTACATTACAGTACGTATTCAATGTATACCTATGTCTTATACATATCTAACGAAAAGAGAAATAGCACTATTAAAAAGGACACAATTAAGAAATTAAAACTACTTTTAATAAATTATCAATTTGATCAACATTATTCAAGCTTTAGCTATTTTGTTAAAAAAATATTTTGGAAACACCTTTTAAAAAAACTTAACCAATTCATCTTCTATATTTGGTTGAAAAAAATCATAAATTGTTTCTTTGCATATACATTTTGTACTTACAAAAGTAAACATACGGGGGATGTTGAATGCCAATAGTTCTGTCTTTCAAAACCATTGCAAACCTTCCTAATCCATGACTTATTTTTAATAATTTTATTTCATATGTTGTCAAGTTAATTTGGACTAGTCATAATGTACATTGTGTTTCATTGGCTGTCAAAAGAATTGTCACTGTCTGATTGGTTGATGTGTTGATTGTGCTCTGTAACTGTGTTTTTTCATTGAATAAATAAAAGAATGAATCTGATTGGTTCCAATTACAATTATTTTGTTCTAATTAGTAAAATATTTATTAGCAGTTATACTATCTTACCTCTTGAAATATTTGATTTAGTAGATCTTGTGTCATCATCTCCCTTTCCTATTTCATCATCACTAAGGATTGAATCAGTCTCTGAATCAGATTCTTCTTTGGGTTGATGGTCACCTTTAGCACCAATTGGTGGCAATGGATTAGATGTTGGAAACTTTACAGAATTCCTGGAGCCTGCCCTTGAACTGTTTGGTCGAGAATTTGGTGCATTTCCTGTCACTACAGGTTCTGCTGGTGGATCCATTTTACCACCTACTTATTTGCAAATTTCTGTCAAATTATTTCAGTTGAAATCTATAAGAAAATACATAATAAGTTATTTAAATATGCCTTGATAAATTAAAGGATTAATATACTAAAATAATGTCCCCTACAAATTGAAATATTTTGAACGTCTGCTAAGTCAAACTCGTCACTATAATGCCAAGATGTGAAGTTTTACACAAGTTTTATTTCATTATGCAAACTTTTTGCAACAATGAATATGGTTTGACAATGAAGAACTAAGTGAAATATTCAAAAAACATTCCACTGAAATCTTGTAAGTGTAATGTGCTACCACAGGGTGCATAAATGGTCGAAGGGTCAGTTTTGGGTCTAAATACATGTACATGTATCATGCTATAAACACTTTGAACAACATGGTGTCAATAAAACTTTATTCTGGTTTCTCTTTTTAAGGGATTTTTGTAAACCATCATAAAGTAGCACACAATTTCACCCAAATTTGTATCTGATTACACAAAAAGGAACATAGTACCCATTTTCAACAGAATATTTGCTGATTGCAGAAAAGTTTGATGACTAGTGCATGTAAAATCAACGCCCAATAACATACGGGAGTTCACCTGCATAAATGTTATTAAAGTATATATGGTTTTCTGCATGTTAATTCATCATGACGTGTACCTGTATATTGTAAGATAATTTATCTACGGTATTTTTTTTACATTTTGCTTTTTGATTACATGCCAACGGCACGTTTATTTTGAAATAAAGAATGTGTGTTTGTAGCGTGTGTAGTTACCCTACGTTCAAATCATCAATAATAATTTACCCCTGTTGCAATGTCATTTTAATAAAATCGTTTTAGAAAGAAGATTTTTGCATACCCTCCATTATAGTTTACATCGATGGTAATAGCGACGGTCATGTGATCAAACAACAGTTTTGATTGGTGAACTATATTCCTTATATTGTCGTAAAATGAATATAAAGAAATATTTTTCATATATATAGCATAATTTTAAAAGACTAATATTCTTCACTCTAGTTTGACACTTTTATATTATTAGAAATGCACATTTTTTACAAAACAAAATAATTTACGACATTCTATTGGTTTGACTTGCTTGCTCTATTCCGGAACAGTCATCTGGGACTTGTTCTGTTAGGTCCCAGATCATTTAGACAACCTTAAAGATTACGAGCTGTTTGCGTGTATGAAGACCGAAAATAAGATCGACAAAACATGTTAAGTTAATTAAGTATTAAAAATTGAAAATCCTATTCTAGTCGATTAACTTTTTGAAAATGACCCTAATTGGTCTTTGTTAGGAGAGAACTGCTTGCCATTGAATTCTGAGTCGGGAGGGAGGCTGACAAATTTGACGAGGTCTGAGCGTCTCTTATATTTGTTACCAAGCTATTAAGAGGTCGGAATATATATTTTCTCTGAAACCAGACACAGAATATTTATTTTCTGCTCATCCAAAAAGTGACACTGAAACTGCCAGCCCTCCCCACTGACCCTCAAAATGATATTTGACTCAGGTGGTGTTGTTTTTTCTTAAAATACTCATTTCCTTTTTTCATTATATTGAGTTTGGTGTTTCAAAACAAAAGTGTTCCAAAAATCCATCTATGTACATGATATTCATAAACTCGCACCTTACAGGAAGCTTATAATAATTAAGACGCTTGACATTTTCAAGATTTAGACGGTTGTGTATAAATTAACCGACAAATGACCAATATAAAGCATAATTTGTAGATTCTCGAACTTAGTGATATCTATTATTATCTGAAATTTACATGTAGATCTGTAATTCTGAAGTAAAATTTATCGGTATCTGCTGCACATGACTGAAATTTAATAGCACAACGATACTTCTGTGACCATTGAAGTTTATCTAAATATGGCGAACAAAGCGCGCAAACAATATTTTGGGGTTAGAATATTTATTTCAATGTGTGATAAGGGAAGATTATTTATTTCCATCTTACGGCTGGGGATTGAATATAATGATTTCCAAATCTGGCAGCCCCATTTCGGTGATATGAGCTAATGTTATTATATGGCATCAGTCATGGCCCGCCGCGCAGTCCATAAACGCTTCAAAATGCCATAAGTCTTCTTTACAACTTCTTATCTAATTTAAACCAAGCATAGAAATGATTTGAAAATGTATACTACAAAGAACACATTCTTTGGTTCCTCCAATGAAAAGTAAGGTCACCACTGAAAGGTAGTCCAATCCTGGCCTCAGTGACTTAATTTCATTTTTCAGTATATTTTGTGTTGTCACTGACTGACGACAAAAAAAAAATGAAGATAAGCCACTGACCAGGACTGGACTACACTGAAAGGCAATCTTTGGTTCTAATAAGGTAATTGAAAAAAATATTTTCTTCTGAAATTATGAGGCGAAATGTTATAATTGAAAGTTTAACAGGTTGAAAATTGGGAGACACTCTATAATTATATATCCGTATTCGATATTGATGGCATGGCAGCATTGACTGCACATAGTTCCAATGGGCATTGACTGCACATAGTTCCAATGAAAACCCTTTGGAACAACGCCTTAAACAAAATTAACTAAATTTGACAGGTCTGTAAGTCTTGATTTAGTTAAATTCTATACAAATTGTTTTCATTTTGTTTAAATCGAATGAAAAAAAACTGGCGACCAGAGGAAATATTTTCAATCTCATTGACAAATTTTCAAACAATGTTAAGTTTTGCTGTCTAACGCAAACAAAAACAAATATATAATTTCATTCGAGATAATCAGGGAGGCCTATCAAAACCAATAACGAAAAAAATTAAAATTCGTGACTCATGTTATCCTGCTATCAAAATCTTAAATTTCATAACTGTGAGTATAATTATGCTGAGTAAAAAAACGTGCTGAAATCAGTCTTCTCTCATGTTACAATATTTATCAATCTTTTTTTTAATATGGGAGTGTGTTCTGATGCCCTGGCCTTCTTTGTGAAACCAGTGTGACATTTAGTATTAGCATTATGTTCTGACTTGTGTGCATGCATCAAATATATTGTCTTAGCGATTAACTTTTCAAAAAGCTTGTCTGGCATAAGTATCTATTAAATGTGAGAAGTGCGTTACAGAATGTAGGAAAAGTTCTGGTATAGGTTAAGGACTTCAGTTAAAGAGGGACTTAGATTCCAATTAAGGTTGGACTGTCTATTGCTACTAAAATTCGGAATCATGGTAAAAATTATACGTACAACTTATTATCTTTTTCTTTTAACTTGGTTTTGACTTCTGGTTTTTACAGATAAACCCTAAAGCCTAACCAGGGAGACGGATTTATATAAGTTCTTTTTGTTTCCGAATCCCAGTATTTATATTGTATAATTGTATTTTGTGCACTTTTGAAAATAAAATATTGTTTAAACTAAAGCCTAATCATTTTTCTAATACGAACAAACCAGCAAAAAGTAATTGTAAATATATTTCTAATGAAAAAAAATGAGCCCATAGGATATTCTGTGAAAAATTGTTTTTTCCTAGACAACAATTCTTATCTACTTTAAAATGGCAATTCTTACCTATAGCATTACATAATTTTTCTTCAAAACTTGCAGATCAGTATATTTTTTTTATAATTTGTTAAGACATTTTATAGCGATTTCATTATTTGCAGCTTCGATTTTTTTAGATATATTACATGAAAAACACCAATTTTGATTTTAGAATTTAACACTATCTGTTATATTGCTTTATCCTGCAATCGACCTTTCTACTATACTAATACAGTTGTACAGATAACACGAAGCGATATACGTATACTAGACGTATACAGTCTCCTGGTATCCTGCTTCTGTTGCGAGCGAACGGTTATGTCAAATTACTGTTTACGACACAGTTCAATTTGGGGTCCTCATTGCGGCCCGCGTTTAAGTTATGTCGATTTCTTTCAAAAATAAATTCAACGATTGGGATGGAATAAAAAGTACAAATTTAATTGCAGGATAAAGACAATAACTGTTTAGTGTCTTTAAATATCAGCTGTATTTGTACTCGGCTCGAAACAGGAGTAATAGCTCGCACCTGTTTCTTAGCCTCGTACAAATACAGCTGATATTTAAGGACACTAAACAGTTACTGTCTATTTCTGAAGTACATATTTTATTGTTTTCAGATATATTGTTGTCAAAAGCATCCAACTATACATCATCATCCATACTTCCTTTGACAAATTCTAAACGTAAAATGCTTGTTCCTCAAACCGCGGGTACAGTACCAGTAATACTTTAATTTATGTCTTTACTACGTAAAACCAAATTAATCAGGTACCGCTGTTTCAAATTTGAAAAGTGTTGATCCAAAAATTTGTCTTTCATATTAACATCACCTCCGCTAGTGAAGATGATTACCCTGAACTTTTATAGTTCCCATTGTGACAAAACCCATCAATAAATACTGACGTGTATCTTTTGAACATTCTTCTTTGAATTCAATTCAATAATATCAAACCTGCATGGTTACTTCAACAATTTCTCAATTGCTTGTTTACTTCAAGTTGTATATACAACATCTTATGATTTAGGTTAAGGAAGTTTGCTAGTAAATTTCATTTTAATATAGTTCTGTGATTGTTGATATACTTTGAAAGACATTTACTGAAGTAAAATAATTTAGCCAGAAAAACAAATAATGTCCATGCGTTTGTTTTTCAAATATATGCATTCAAACATTTTGGTGGGATCAGGAGTTCTCTCTTGAATTTTCGTTTATTTTGTATACATTGTTTATAATGCAATGAGGACAAGAAAAGTAGGGGTTTATGCTGGTCAAAATTTTCATTCATATAGATATTAGAAAATTAAGTAGAGCATAACTGAAGAAGTCTTCATCAAATTCGCAAGAAACTATACTGTACCAGATCCGTTTTGAAACACCTGTTACATTTTACAATTCCAGTCAATACAATCTTACTGCTCCCATCTCGGATATTGTCAATCGTAGAATTTTTAATTGGCATTAGAAAAGACATCGAATGCCCATTTTTGCTTATACTTTAATTTATCAAAAAGGCTTTGAGTCCGTAGTTTCAAGAAGTACAGCTGATAGCTTTAACTGCAACCAAGATTTTTGATTTAGATAACTCATGTCTACAACACTTTGCGAAATATGTTATCCAAAGCTTTATTTTTATTAGGTCAGCAATACGAGAAAGCGGAAATCAGAGGTCTTTAAGTATGGGGTTTTCTTATTGTTGAAGGCTGTATAGTGGCCTTTAATTGCTGACATCCACTTCATTTGAATTCTGGAGGATATTTATCTCATTGGCAATCATACCACATCTCCTTCTTTTTACACAGTCTCTATTTTCGAACGGATGGGTCGTAATCTTTAACAGTAAGTAGGTTTTATTGCGGTGCTCTTCCAAGGACTTTTTCTTTTTGATTCGAGGTGTATTTCATACAAGAGCTCTAGAAATATAAAACAACAAAGAGATAGCACTATTCTTTAACTTTATTTACATTTAAAGGCACTAAAAGTAGTATGTCTTTTCGCGTAATATTGCATTAATCTCTAGAACTTGAAATCAAGGATAGTATATAGATATACTAGAAGTATAGAAGTAGTATATAGATATACTAGAAGTAAGGGCTGCATCGTGCCTACAGCCTTACAACAGCTAAGATCAGAGTAGACCTAACTTATAACAAAACTGATGGCTTCAGATGCCACAACATATACTGGCAGTTCACATGTCAGTTATAATTTTGTATCACTATCCCGATTTCCTTGATAGATGGGTGTCCCATACAAGTGAGCAACCTATCTTAGTTTCATACATTACCTCAAGATCAAGACTATTAAATGATAAAATATAAAATATCTCCTCTAAAAAAAAGATTCTGATACGCCATCATGACCAAACTGATCATTCGAATTATCTTTGTGGAGATAACCATATATATGTACCATTTGTCGACTCACATAAAAAGTATTAACAAAAACACCGAACTCCAAGGTAAATTCACGACGCTCCCTATTTGGCTTGTACACGACTAATCAAAGAATATTTACCGGTCACGAACAGCCGGTGCCAACTATAATTCTGTAGGTTGGTTCGTGTTGGTGCTCATTTTTATGGGTATTTTTTCACTATTGTTTGTCCTTTCGTGCTTTTTTTGTTGTTGTCATGTTTTCGGTCCTTCTACGACTATAATTTTTTACCCTTTTGCATCTTTTTTTATTTTTACATTGTACAACTATTCAAAACATATTGTTTAAACCGTCCTATGTTATTCAAAGTCAAGTTTTATGACCTTAGCAATTATAAATAAGATAGAAAGTAAGGACATGGAACTTTGACGCATCCCTGTGTAACGTTATAAATGTATTATTTTTGGTTCGTGATTTAGGTGGAATTATTCGCTTCTGATATCATGAGGGTCTGGAAGGGGACCATCCATTTCTATTTTTGTATTTTTTAGGCCATTGTTCTCTATTCTTTATAATTTTTGTCCATTATTCTCTATTCTTTATATTTTAGCACCTCATTATTCTCTATTCTGTATGTTTTTTGCCCATTATTCTCCATTCTGTAAACCCACATCCACATCCTCAGATCATGTGTGGGTTACAAGAGAGATAACCAGACATTTTCTTGTTATTTTAAATACAGTGTCGGGCTGAGTTTGACGAGACAGAGTTCCAAAACAATGCCGAATGTTGTCCATATTTACACAATGGTAGTTGATTCTTTTTTATTTCTATGTTTTTGGCAATGCAAGATGTTTGCTAATTTTTTATCGAAAGAAAGCTGTAAATGACTTGAAATTTTCTAATGCAGATCCAATGAATATTTTAATCCATGTATATATTCAGTTTGTTATTTATCAGAAATTTACTTATACCCTAAAATTGTCCAGTAAAATCAAGTATAGTTGTATTACATTATTACGGTAGCACTTCTTGAAACAACGCAAAAATTATGATCGACCAGAAGAGGATACATGCAGCTGTTTATGTTTCGTTGATTCAAGGTCTCATTTGCGTATACACAACGTTTCATTTGATCAATATAAAACAAAACATTTTGAGGTGGTATATGGGAGTATAAACGAACTAGAGGCTCTCAAGAGCCTGTGTTGCTCACACGTATCTACTGTGGAATTGGTAATCATGTAAAATAAGATTAAAATCATAATAAATAGTATTAGATACCCTAATAATGATTGAGGCCAAGTTTGGTTTAATTTGGCCCAGTAGTTAAATTAAAAGCAGGTCATCATATTAATATTGTACATAGATTCCTATGTTAACCCCTATGTTCTATTTTTAGCCATGGTGGCCATTTTGGTTGGATGGCAGGGTCATCGGATACATTTTTCGACCAAGAGACCCTATTTAAAATTGTGTCTAAGTTTAATTCTATTTGGCCCAGTAGATTAAGTGGAAAAGATTTTTGTAGACACGCCAACAAATCCTCGCTCAAAACTCCGGTGGACCTCCTACGGCACCGATTAGTAGATAAAGTATGATTTCCTTCAACAAATTAATTTATGACATGCATGTACGTGTCGCTTAGAACACGGCCATGTGCCAAATGGTCAATATTAATCATCCGTGTAATTTACTCTATGGGATGTTTGCAAACTTTCAACGGAGGCAATTTCTTGGCATGAGAGAAAGGAAGAAAGACCATTCACAATTTGTCTAACGTTTTTTTTTTTTTTTTTTTTTTTTTTTTAATTAAATAAAAAAAATAAACCAGTTACCTTTCAAATATAGAGTTCACAAGATAAAAATATTCCCCCCTTTTTTTTGCTACCTCTTGAATGAGGTTTTCCAATCTAATTAAAGTTAAAATCTTGCTTTCGAACCGATCTATTCATGTACAGGACCGGCAACTCTCTTTATTTAAAAAGAAAATCTACGGTGCCGTTATACACATGCATGTTGTCTGCATGGAGTCCCCGCCTAAAAGAGAAAGAAATAGCCCAACTCCAAGATAATATATTCCTGCATCACGTGATTTTTACCATGTTGGACTTACATTAGAATAAATACCGAATATAAAAAGTGAAAATACAATTCCAAACATAAAGTCCAAAGATACATAAGAGAAAAAGAAGATTTTTGTTTTGGCAAAGGGTGCCGAGGGTACCCTCTCTGTGTTTAAAATATACTGGCATGAAATATTTGCCACTGCACATTGTGTGTTCTATGAATTCTAACCCTGAGTTTTCTATCTGTTACTACGGATTACAAAAATTTAAGAAAAAATGTTAAAAATTTACTATAAAGGACAATAACTCCTTAAGGGATCCAATGACAATTTTGGTCACATTGTCTTATTTGTAGATCGTAATTTGCTGAACATTATTGCTGTTTACAGTTTATCCCTATCTATAATAATATTTAAGATAATAACCAAAAACTGCAAAATATCCTTAAAATTACCAATTCAGGGACAGCAACCCAACAACGGGTTGTCTGATTCGTCGGAAAATTTCAGGGTAGATAGATCTTAACCTGATGAACATTTTTACTCAGTATACCCTAATGATGATTGTGGCCAAGTTTGATTTAATTTGGCCCAGTAGTTTCAGAGTAGAAGATTTTTGTAAAAGTAAACGACGATGACGGACGACGACGGACGACGGACGGCAAGTGAATGGAAAAGCTGCTAAAAATGATAAAAGCAGAAAACACATTAAAGGCAAAATGTAGTTTTTATTGTGATATGTTCATAAATATAATAAAAAATGATGGGTCACCTAGCTTTTTTTTATGTGAAAAAATGACACATTTTGTATGGATTATAGAGGAAAAAACATCATAATGCGAATAGAATTGAAATGAAATAAGAAAAAAATCGCTCTTAGAAAATGCTTTGAGAATATCAAAGAAAAGATAGGGTCACCGTTTGTATTTTTCCTGCTATAACATAAAATAGAAAAATTTCATGTAGATTCCTGTATTATTTCATAGTTACATCACTTTAATACGCTAATTTAAAAAAAAAATGAAAATCAAGATAAAATAAATTACGTTTGTAAAAATATTAGTTATTACAAGTTAAATATTGTTCATTTAGATGAAAATTCACATTAGTTTAAGTTGCATTCCTCCATGAATTTTTTCTGACTTGATTGAAAATTTAGAACTTTTGTGTTTTGCTATTTTACAATCCATGATGGCGAAAGACGCCCATACTACCTTAAGGCACTTTTTTAATAATTACAAAAGAAAAGAAAAAAGTCTAAAATAAAAGAAAAACAAAACCAATTTGCACTGTAAGATTTCTAAATGTTGAAATAAATAAATAAATAGTTGTTATAATTGTTATACATAATAAACCACCGATAATCTTTCTACTGATGGTACAATACAATTACTACAAAGCAAAACTTTAAAACAAGCTGAAATACATTTGTATATATAAGTCCATATCTAGTAAGCATTTTTTGGTTTTTGACTGTTACAGTTTATTTGGAATAATAAGTGCGGCGAGTACATGTTCCCCCGGGTGCATAAACATTTCCTCTACTCTTTTTAGTCCATCCACCACCATTCTCAAAGCAACTTTTATTTGTAAATGAGGAATCAGTCTGATGGATGGTTTGTTTGACCGTTGTTGTGTACTTAATTGGTGTACTCAATCTACAAAAACAAATATGAAGACTACATATTATGCACGATGATTAACAAAAATAAGGACATCTGGCATGATGGCCAATGAAACTACCATCCACCAGAGACAAAATGACTCAGATGTTAGAATCTATAGGTAACTGATCAAAAATTTAAAAAAATAAGAAATGAAGATACATGTGAATGGTTTATCATTTCTGTGTTAATCTAACTTTTCTCTTCCCCAGAAGGCAACATTTTCGTGGCTTCAATTTTTGCTTTAAGTGGTATATAATTTTCTTTGCATTACTTTCTATAAATGAATATTACCCAATATATGAACATTACCTTTTCTCTTCCTCAGCAAGCAATATTTTCATGGCTTCAATTTCTGCTTTAAGTGGTATATAAGATTCCTTAGAAACATGCAGCTCTTCTAACTTAACAAACAGAGCGCTCTGCATTTCTTTGAATCTTCTTTCCATCTCATGAAGCTGTGCAGCAGCCATAGACCTTTCTTGTGCTATTAAAGCCTCCAATGATCGTTTCTCCTGGCCCATGGCGCCAATCTAGAATCACATTTTTTTTATCATGGTTGTTATATTATCATTACAATATTTACATCATTTTTAAATGGTTTTTGCATGTCAATAGTGTTTAAATTAAAATGGCTTAAAACAAATAGAAAAGAAGTACCGCGTTATAGATTCTGTCCTTTTACATTCTAGTGATAGACCTTTCCAGTGTAGTGTAAATTAAGTTTTGTACTAAGTGGTAATGTCCCAGCCTTTTCTTCAAAAATTGTTTAAATAACTGTTCGATGTTCAGATTTCCACTATATACATTCTAATTTCCCATGACAAGACCTTTCCAGTACACTATAGATTTTGTACCTGAGGGGAAGAGGGAGGTCCCGCCTCCCCCTCTTATCATACAGTGTTGAATTTATAGAAAACAGTTACGATCACTGAGACAATCGAATAAAACAAATCAGTGATTGCATTTCATTAATGTAGTTATCAATCATTAACTCACTTGTGCCTCCAATGCTGCGATTCTTGTTTTCAAATCGCCGAAACTGCCCATGATTTGTGTTTTCTCCTGCTCCAACTTTCCTATTACACCAGCATCACCTTGTAATTGTGTTTGCAATGCGGAAATCTAAAATAGAATGTTGGAATGAAGAACTTTGACTTGTACACATTAAAGAAATGTAAAATCATCAAAACAAATTTCTATAAGAATTGGTTGTTTACTCTCAATATGTCAGTATCTTACTCTCAATATGTCAGTTTTCTTAAAATCTCAATACGTCAATATTCTTAATGAAATCGAGAAGTATCATATTGTCTCTTGAAAATCATTCTCTAATTTAAAAACCTATCTGTTATTCAAGATATTTTAAGCCATTTAATTCCTTGAACTCTCCTATTTGACTTTTATGTTGTCATTGTTTTCTTTAAAATATATACACATGCAACCCTGTTGCACCCTTTAAGTAACGCTTTATTCCTTTTACCGAATTAACTGTCACATGTATACTCAATAATTTGTATTTATCATCTAAAGATTGACATTTTTCTATTTTTATCTTAGATTTTAGTTGAAAAAATCGTTAATGAAGGATTTCTGGTACACTTTTAACAAATAAAATTGGTTCGACTGCGTCTCTAACTTAATTAAACAATAATACTGCTGCATTTATCTGCTACTCGTTGCTGCATAATATTACACCTGAAATATTCATGTGTGTAGCCCTTGCCAAATTCATCATTTGTTTGCTATTTAAACCTTTGTATAATATGATAGTTATATTTACACTTTTGCTATATTTTAATTCAGCATCTGATTGGTATTTTCTAAGTTCCTCTTCTGCAGCTAAGCGCACTTGTTTTAGCAGATCCTGGATATTTGTTTCAGATTTGCCAGACTCTCTAATACGGGTCTCCATAGTCATTATAGTAGACTTTGTTGCCTCGAACCGTTGTGTCATGTCAGCCAGCTGCTGGTTTAATACATTAATGTCAAATTCTGCTTTCTTTTTATATGCAGCAAATGCTTCTTCAATACCCTTTCTAAAGTGTACTTCTTTTTCCCATCTGAAATGGTTTATTTATATTAAGCTTGTTCATATGAAATGTATGGCTTATGCTATATATCGGTTTTCCCTAAAAAATATTAAGTCAATAAAAACAAAACAATAAAAGTCTTGCTTAATTCCGACGTTTTTGGTTGAAGCATGCGATTTTCTGGATAAGAATGGCAACCTTACTTAAACTTCGCTTGCCTTAAACCTCTGGTTTTTCTGGTGAAGGATGATTTATACAAGCTCTGACAAACGTAGCATCTGAAGTAACGCCGGTTCAATTTCGGTGGTTGTGGTCTATTTACTCCCAGGTGTGCAATAAACCATTAACATATGGTTCAGCAAATACCAACATTAATTTACTAAATATATTTTTTCCATTGCCATTCTAAAAATTTCCTTTTGGTGTCATTGGGTTTATGTTTCACTGATACACCCACATATTTCTTATTAAAAAAATATCAATCTGATTAAAATTTTGATCAATATCAACTCGCGTGCTCGTACATAGTATAACGAAATTAGATAACTATATTTTAATTAGATTGAAAACATATATGAAACCGATTTTGATTTGATGCACCTTTTTCGAATCAATATAAGTGGTACTTGAAATCAAATATAGGAAATCAAATGTACCAAAAGTAGAATCATTAAACCCACAATAACACACAAAGTAAAGACACACTTTGCATCGGGAGGATTACTATAGAATATTACATTTCACATTTTTCAGTTGATTGAATTATTTTCAAGTTTCAATATGACAGTTATAATAGGTCAGTAGAAATGCTATGGCTACCGGGCTTGTGATACCTTCAGAGAGCTATCGGGCTTGTGATACCCTCGGAGAGCTACCGGGCTTGTGATACCCTCAGAGACTTACAGTCCACCAGTAGTGACATTACGGCAGTGATAGTGATACATAGTTACATGATGCCGAATTTTATATAAAGCACCGTATGCTCATTGATATTTTATATTTGGCGCTCCAAACAAATACCGGTATAGGAATAACGAAAGTTTTAAAAGTTGAAGAGCAATAAACAAAATATACCATAAAAAAGATGACAAAAACAGCATATTAACTATTTGTATTGGGAGGATACCTCAAGAATTTCATAACTTTTACACTCTTCAGTTGAAAATTTACTAAGTATCAATATCAAATAATTTGTAGTTGGCAGCTGGGGACATATAGTGAACATATATGATCACCGAGATTAATTGTAAGTATAGGATTTGAGGACACATTTTTCTACCCTATTATCTCGAGTAATTATAATATATTCGTCCGTGTTATATCACAAAACTATTCAAAATTCATTTCCTGAACGGTTCCCTTTTGCCAAGTTTTGATGATATTAAGACAATATTTTTTCTTAGGACTATTACCTTCCCATGAAGTCTTCTCTATCCCTAGAAAGATCTCCTACTTGCTTTCTCAGCATTGGACTTTCGTCAACAGCTCTAGGTGCTGACTTTATCTTAGTAAGTTCTTGTTTTAAGTAACTTATTTCCTGTTCATATCCATTGATCCTTTCAATTAGACCTCGATTTTTTTCAGATTCCAACGACAAGCTGTAAAAGCAGATTAATTTTAGTATTCAATACCTCAAAAATAAAACTTGAACAGCATCTGAGCAGACAAAAACATTGAACACACAGTAAATACAGACACATTCATATATTTTGTGTTGTGTTGTGTTGTCTTGTCTCAGAAAGATAATTTACTAATGGATTACACTGGCAATAGGTTATATACATTGTACAATTGGATTAGCAAATCAGATGCATCATTTATATAGTACTGCGCTCTCTAAACGTTTAAGAACCCACTACATATACGGAAATCTAATAGTTTAACCATAACATACACCGACATATGATAGTTTGTATACGACCGCAAAAAATTTTGCGGTCGTATATTGGTATCACGTCGTCGTCTTCGTCGTCAGCGTCGTCTGAAGACAGTTGGTTTCCGGACAATAACTTTAGTCTAATTAAATAGAAATCTATGAAAATTAAAAACAAGGTTTATAACCACAAAAGGAAGGTTGGGATTGATTTTGGGGGTTATGGTCCTAACAGTTTAGGAATAAGGGGCCAAAAAGGTGCCCAAATAAGCATTTTTCTAGTTTCAAGACAATAACTTGTGGAACGGTGTATGGATCTCTCTGAAATTATACCACAAGTTTCCATACCACAAAAGGATGGTTAGGATTTGCTTTGGGGGGGGGGGGGGGATGGTATGGATCGAACCGTTTAGGAATTAGGGCAAAAAAGGGGGAAAAACAAAAGTTTCCTGATTAATGGACAATTACTTAAGACAATTAAAAAGCAGTGTAAGGGAGGTAATCCAAACACAACGTTTTGATTACCTCCCTTACACTGCTTTTAAATTATGTATAAAGAAATGTTGTATTGTCTTGAGATGATTAGCTGTCAATTTATTTTTAGAAGTTACTATTAAGGAATATTAATTTTAGCCATAACTATGTATGTCATTTTCTATTTTAAGACTTTATGATGTATTTAAATGGGAAATTATGGTTGCAAACTCCATTGGAAATTTGAATTGAGATTATGACCATATCTTGAGGGAAAGATTTTTTTTGGGGGGGAAAAAGGGGGGAGGTGAAAAAAAATTTCGAGGGGGAGGATAAAAAAGAAATTGTGAGGGGTCAATTTTTTCTCATTTCAGAAATTAAAAAGAAAAATTCTTCAAATATTATTTTTTTGCAAAAAAAAGTGTGTTGGGGGAGGGGTCAATACGCAACAGCATAGTGTATTGCACAAAAGCAAACAAATGAATATAAATTCAAATCATATAACCAATTCTAAGTTCCGTTTGACTACAGTTATTCTGTGTCAGAAACCTATTATGTGTCAAATATTTAATTACAATCAAAATTCAGATGGTGTATGTATAATGCAATATGTAGTTGATCAATTTCATTTCTTTATTTTACTTGTTTGGTTTTCATTCATGTCTTATTTCTCTCATTGAAAATCATTATTCGACTTTCATCAGAAATCCATTACTAGGTAAAAGATTCGATACAATTTTGAATATTTTGCAAAGTCCTATACAAAGTTTTTTTAAGCATTGCATTTAGCAGACGTACCTCTTTTTCAGATCTTCAATAGTTTGCATGTAGATCCCACATTGTTGTTGGAAGTTGTTTTTATCACGTGCATTGTCTTGTAGTTGCTTTCTTCATATGAAAATAAATTAGTTTATTTTTTTTTCATTATGGTTATTTCTTCAACGTATGAAGCTTTTAAGAACACAGTTGCACAATTTACTTATTATGGTAAAAAAGTTGGTTTACAAATACATGACTGTGTTTTTCATAAACAACCAACATCATTTTTGAGTGATTGGTATTTTCTTTTATCTTGCAATCAACCAACTATTGTACAAATAACAGGTACACACTTGTACAAATAAAGTCTCCTGTTACTCCGCTACCAATTTGAACAAAAGGTAATGTGAATATTTCTTTTTTATGCGACAGTTCATTTTGGGGTCTCCTTCGCGGTTCGTGTTTAAACTATATTTGATTTCCTTGAAAAATCAGAGACAACTATTTGGATTTAAACAACTCAACATTATTAATGGGGCATTAGCTACGATTTAGACAAAATTTTTAAACACGATTCGTTTTGTTAGTTAGTTTGGCCCAAATTGGTCAAAATAAGCTCAAAAACATCGCTGATGTATTATTGACTTGTAAATCATTGTGAATCCTTATTCATGTGAACTTCAATTTAACTCCTTGGCTGGATATCGGTTACGCATATACATGGCTTATTAAGTTATTAAAAGGAAAAAAAAATGTCAACACTGAACACACGAACTGCTGATATATATTATCGAGTCCATGCAATGTTAACCCTTACCATTAGGGGCCGTAATATTACGGCTTTTACCCAAAATACCGGTTTTTGGCTCCAATGGCTCTCTATAACTTAAGAGGGCAACTGTATGAAAAATATTTGCAATTAAAAAAAACGTTATATATACAATTATTTTTCAAATAAAATCTTCGATAATATAATATGACCTTTTTTTTAGTGACAAGGGAACTAAAGCATAACGTTGTACCTTATTTTTTAGTGTCAATGGTACTTAATTAAACATAACGTTGTACCTTATTTTTTCAAGTTCGTGTTCATATAATCCTTTAAGCTTTAAAACCTCTTCTTCCAGGATTTTTGTTGACTTAATGAAAGCGACGGAGTCAATTTGTCCTCGTTGTTCCCAAAGCTGTCTTACTTTAATTATATACTGTGACAACCTGTCATTCAACCTCTGTAGTTCCTCTTTATCCTCTAAACGAACTGTAGATGTAAAACTTTTCTGGTTATACGTATTTCCAGTTTCTTTTCCAGTGTAAGTGTAACTGCTACTTGAAGTCATTCCTCCACCATTTTGCCATGCCTTTGGTTCTGCTGACGATGATCTCGAAAACGACTGAAATGCGACGGTCTTGGGATTTGAAAAGGCGTTGATATTTCCTTTAGTTTCACTGGAGTTGAACATATAGTTGCCTCGGCTGTGTGGTGTATTTCCATAACCGCTGTTACCACTAAAAAGAAAACAATTCGGTTTCATATCCTAATTCAAGTGAGAGTGTTTCATCAATTCATATAAATATTGGTTTTCAATATCAGCTCTAATCTAAATCTTAATTGAATCAAAGTTTAGGATTTGATTAAAAACATGTATAATTTTAAAAAAAAGTTACTTCTGTTTTATCGGCCACGTGTTTTTTTTTATCGAGATTCAATGAAAAAAGAATTATCAAACTGATTTCTAGATCTCATCTCGTTCAGAATCATTAAAAGATCAAAGTGAATATTTGATTCACAGTTAGTGTGGATGTTAAAGTGAGTGAGTATACAAGTCAACAAACAGTAGTCAACACATTGGTTTTTTTTTGTTTGAAGTCGAATTTATCATTAAATTCAGCTGTTAATTATTTCGAATTAAAACATTCTTTTGAAAAGCAAATGCATGATTCCGAAAATCAGACAAAACAGTGAGAAACCCTCACGGAGATGAGCTAGTACATTGCAGAAAATTCTGATAAATATCGGCGCCCTATTTGGAAAATGAGGATTTAGTGAAGGATTTCAAAATTATAATCAAAACATGTTTATATTTTAGTTTTATGTTCAAATGTCGGTTTTTTAGATTTCAATGAAAATATGAATTTTTAAATCAATGAATTTTTCTGATTTTTTTTTCTTTTTCTTTAAATCAATGGTTTTGATGAGAAAACAACACTCTGTAAACATTAGAACAATTGAGCATTATTTGAGCTTGGTACCGTGTAACCAAATTTTATCATATACAGAAAATGCATTGCTTTGCATAGTTTCCTTTGTTGACGAGTATATATTCCTATTACCAAATCTAAATTGAAACATAATTAACCAACAAATGAAAAATTAAAGAAAACGTTCTACAAAATTTGCATGCAGACTTGCACATTTCACTCCATTATTGAAAACCTAAGGTGACTATATTTCTATACCCCAGTCAACCCTTGCGGTTTACTAGTGTGTGAGATGTTGGGCTAAGTAGACTTATTAGACAAATCAAATTAGTCTTACTTTTGAATGGAAGCGGGTCAAACTACTTTTTAAGTCGATGTACTCTAGTTGCATGATATTATATAAAGATTGGTGTATTAATGTAATAAAATATGGTTGTATATATACACACGTATCCGTTATAAAATTGTTAATACGCTTAGCATGTTTTTTTTTTGGAGGATTTTTATTTGCACTGTTTATAAACTGTCAACGACGAACACTGTTCGTTGTTTGTGTGTGAGGTTGTCTTTTGTCTATTTGCAGTCGAAAACTGTTTATACGCAAATATGTACACTGGTAAAAAAAAGCGTGTCTTTTATTGCCTGAATTTTCTTATGACGCGACGAAACATTTTTGAACCAGATCGTGCATGGCGACGGATTTAGAAGTTTCCATGTGATTTTCTTATTTCTGTCCTATTCATAACATCTCAACAAAGATGATATAACAATTTATGATCACACACACACACACACAAACGACAACAACACCAAAAGGAAAAAAAACACACAGCGTTAAATGCAAGACAGCAAACTGAAACATATATTCTCATGTCACGACCTGCCGAAATCAGTGTTTTTATTGTATTTATAATCATTTTTATTGCTATGTCGTTGATGTAGGCTATACATGACTTGGTAATTCGTGGTTATATTGATGTGAAATATTATTAGGTTGAACTTTCATATAATTATAATTCCAAATAGTGTTATGAACCAACCATTCGTCTTTTGTGGGAAAGGGGTATGGACTGATTTCTTTTAAATAAAATGTTTGATTCTAAAATTATTGAAAAAAACTCATTTCATTTTTACTCAGAAGAGATGTGGAAAAATTGTTTGCTTCCACTAAAATTTGGGAGGGAAAAATATAAATTCATCCTTGAGTTTTAAAAAATAGCCTTTTCCTGTTTGTTATTGAAAAATAAGTTAGTTATTTATCAAAGTTGAAAAATATGATAGATTTGACCCCTCTCTAAGACAATATTTTTGTACCTACGTTGGCCATTCATTTTTATGAAAACAAAATTGGAACAATTATTTCAATCTGTCTTTAAGTTTGGAATAGGAAATACTTGTTTAAGGGATAGAAAAAATAAATGTTTTAATTCTATTGCAAGATGAAAGAGACTTAGAGTGTATGCTGATCTTTGGAATTTTTTAATATCCACATCTGATTCACACCACCCTTAGATTAAGTAGTTTCACAATACTAAAACCTTACTTTGATTGCTGTTAAAATTAATGTTCATAGTTTGGAAAGAGGTTTCGTATAGCGCTTGGCAGACCCAGCAATGTATCGTTGTTTGTAAGGACACTTATGTAACTTAGGAACCAAATACAGTGAAAGAAGAGACAGTTCTGCACCTATAATTGAAATTCCAAAGGAACATAGAACACACCTTTGGTTATTTAAGATTTCCTATCGTGGGGTTATACGTGGAGTGTCTTAGTGAATTGTCAAATCTTAATTCCTTTATTAAGCAGTTTATGTAGTGTGATTTACACACCAAAACGCTGTTGTTTGGAACTTTATTTGAGGGAACAACAACAGGGTTCACCACAGAATGATAATTAAGGGTGGGGTCATGAAGATAGGACAGGTGCTTAGCAGCTAAGCAACATTTGGTCTTTGATGGTCGATGTAACAGGAGTGTTCATAGACCCATTCAGTTTTTGATTCAAATTTGTATCAAGACCTGAAAGTCTTAACCAATTCGGAAAGAGTATCAACGTCTTCCTTTTCACGTTTAGTCCATTGCCTAGCATAATCCTCCACAGAAAAGTCCTGAGTTTTACATATTTTCGAACTGATGATTATAGTGTCAAATTATGGATAAAGAATGAATTATTGTTGTTTGGTATCAATTTGGAATATCCGAAATAACGGGAAATATTTGGCAGGTATTACTATAACGTGAAAAGTTCGGTTTGAAACTTTGTCTGAAAGAGAGAGAGAGAGAGAGAGAGAGACGAAAAGATTAATTGTTTTATCACAATCAGCACAATAATGTACCAGAATATTTGAGTAACTTAATTCCACCAACAATCCAAAGTATTCATGTCTTTCGAATTTGAAATTAAACAATAATTGCATTCTGCAGATTCGAATTGACTAATGAGTCATTGGTATGAGCAACTATTCAATGTAATTCCCTTGATACCTCAACCCTTGATGCAGATACAATTGGTAACTAACTGAACAAAGAAACTTATGCCCCAATAGTAAAAGACTTGTACCGAAACAGGAGCAAAACGAAAACGTCTTTTAACATTTCGTTGTGTTTATAAGAGGGTAAGGAAGATTTTTTATTATGTAGATAGTACACAAAATGACCACATATAAACGTTATCTAAGTTAAGTTTTATTTTTTATCATTTTCTTTGGGTTTCTTTTCTCTCTCTCTTTTGGCAAATTGCTTTTCTGTGTAACTTATATAAAAGTATATATGATATTCAATGTATGTTTTATATTATTTACATGATTAAATCTCTTGAACGTTGAAGTCTCAATAAGTCTAGTTGACTTGTGTCTTATTCGATTCATCCTTCAGCAAATAAAATCTATTTAAACTATACCTTGAACTGCATATTTTAAGTTGTAGAAGGAGTTGTGCGAGTTTTTAAATTCTTAAGACTTTTTCAGAGTTTTAATTTAAGCAAAATGTGTGTAAAGTTATCTCAGAGAATATGTTTCTTATAGTTTAAACATTTATATGTAAATGACTGTGTGCAAACATTATAGGTACATGTACCGATAGTTTAAATGATTTAAATCATCTTGATAGGAAGACACTTACCAGTCATGGCTTAATTTCAAAATAAAACAACTGCATGTAAAACAAACAAAAAATAAACTTTGCACAAGTAGGGAATAACCAACACAATAAGACTTGCTTCTGTTTCTTTTAGAAAATTACAGAATTAATTATTTTTCGTTACTGTTGTTCAATTATACAGTAAGTTGCTGTGTGCTTTGCCGGTTGAAATATATGTGCTGTCTGTTAATGAATTGCTAGCAACTCGTTCCCAGTAAATATACGACTGATTACGTTAAAAAGCCTTGTCCTTCATAAACATATAACAGAATTTACGATTCAAATAATACCGTTTGGTGTTATTTTCCAACCTATGACAGAAAGTTTTTGAATTACAGACGAAAACGATTCCGATGGACATATATCCTTCAATAAACAATTTGAACACTGCGTTAACTTCAACTGGCTGGTAAGGAGCAAGCTTGCTTTATGTAATATTCTGGGTTTTATTTGTCATGGAATATCATTTTAATTCAATTTTGCTTTGTTTTCCTTTGGTACAGGTAATCAATACAATTATACAGTAATGAACGGGGAACACAGAAGGTCAAGACTATTGTTAAAGATGATCCTTGGTGGGTCCGGCGGTGGCCTGTTGCAAGTTAAAAGGTATTCGATTCATTGTATATGCAAAATTTGTTGTCGCGAATGCTCCAGCGAGTCATAAAAATGGCCATCAAACGTCAGAACAATTTCGGACTATTGATTGTTGATAATACTGTATTTTCAATGGACAGGGGCAAATAACTTGTCCTACGGCCCCAGCAAGTCTTATAAAAGACCTCATACGTAAGAGCAATCTCGGAATCAATATCATACTATCATACTATCTATGGTTTATGCTACCAAGTTTCGGGTCTTTATGGTATTAATGACTATATTTCGATAATGAAACGAATTACATGAAATATGTAGTATAATGATTCTCAGGGCTTTAATACAATGCAAAATTGGTGATAAGTTGCTAAATTAGTGTAAATATTCAGGTAAGAAATAATGAATTAAAAAAACAAACTGTATAAAAGCTCTTAAAAGTTTCGGGTTTTTTGTGTGTTTTCGTGTGGGTAATGAAAAGGTAATTTAGTGCAAAGTTAGAAAATCACAACGTTAATAAATGTTATAATGATACTAAATATACAAGTTTAGCACTGAATTCTAATTTTGGTAAAGATGGTCATTTTTTAATACTTTGTAAATGAAATGGAGAGGAAAAATGAAAAAACGTTATTCTTTTGAGAACTTTGAAACTCCGTAACTGCTGTTATGACAAACTATCATATTTATGTATTTGTTATGGAGGGACTGTCATTCTTATCATTCAAATACACATGTCAGGAATATCCTCTGTACCTTCGTTGGTAACAATACATTAAACCAAGACTGAAAAGTTCACTAGGATTTTAAGTCGTGGTAAGTATTCTTTAGTGTAAGACTTATATTCCTACCTTTTATATCGGACTCCAGACATCCACGGAAACATATTGAAAGTTAGATTATATCTACTTTGATTCAATCATTACATGTCAGTTTAAACATAAGTGAAAAGTAAACTTGGTTTCTATGTATATATTAAGGCGGTGCTGATGTATCCAAGGGCTAATATTGTGTTTTCACTTTTTAAAATCTATGCTTTATTAAAATCAAATACGGAAAGATTTGTTAACCGTAACAAAGATTCCGTTGTTTTGGTTTATCTTACACTTCATCTGACGTGTTATTAAACGGGAAAAAAGAGAGATTGTTTAAATCGCATATTTTTGTGATTTTTTAAAATTATATAAATGATCCTTTGTTCTACCCAAGTTGTTAGCAACAAAGTTATCATAGATACACGTGAATTTAAGCTATAAAATAGATTTAAAAGTTTTAAGCATTTTTCCAAAATTAAGTGTCATGAAATTTGAGAAAATATAAAATAACTATCATATAGTGTCAAAACGTAAGGTCCAAGTGAACTGAAACATGACTCATAATTTTTGAAACCATAATGAAGTATATCATAGCAATTTGTATGCTTTAAAATCATGCTAACGTAAATTTGTATATTTTTTTTTCATATAATGTCATACAATTTAGAGTCATTTTAAAAATGTGAGCTGCATAAGTTTGTCTCGAAACTTTTAGAAAAGAAGGCTTTCGTACGAAAAATATATTTACAATAAAATATACATGTGGTTATCAAGAAGGTGATTGGAGAGATGTGTAGCAGTTTATAAATTGTACTCCGAGTATAACAAGATAAAGAAATTTAGTTCTGACAATGCTTTTCCGCTTTTTTAAATTTTACTTTTTAGACAGTTTTTTATTCACTACGGCATGATGATTAAAAAAATTCTCCAAAAATAATGAGAAATAATAAATGAAGACCTTAATACATGTTTGTCTTTTGCTTATACCTTAATAATAAATACTAGTTGACACTTGTCTTTTGTTGAAAAATAAATTTTATCCTCTAAATGTCTCTTATTTTTTACGTTGTTAGGTTGCTGTTTTTGCGCGTCCTTAAAATCTACTTTAATGCCACAATGCGTATAATTTAAAAGTTTAAGTCACACAAACTGAACTGATTCGAGTAGATTTATGCTTACCTTCTACACCTGTTTTCACAATATGATGAATTCCACCGAAACATTTTACTTACTCTGTAGTTAATTTAAATTTAAAAAGTGAAAATACCTGTCAATGCATATTTATTTATATATTACTTGTATACGCAACGGATCCTGTTTCTTTGTTTATATAACGACGGAGTGAATTGTTTCCAAGGAGCCTGCTTGTTACTATTTTTAAAAGTAACTTTTCGTTGTAATTATTCATGTAAATCACAATACATTACATTGTATAAAATTCATAATATTTTGAAGGCCTACTGTAGAGATAGTGATAGATTTAATTGACCTGACCGTGAACTTATGTTTTTAGAGGAGGAATTTGTCAACTTATGCACGAAAAGAAATCTGCAGAATTTGATACAGAGAAAGGATAAAAATGTACCATAGAGAATTGGAAAAAATCTAAGAATCAAAATATTTAAACCGATTCGTAATCTCCGATTCGTTGCTGCACACTATTAACGTTTCTATCTGAGAAAGATGACAAAGCAGTATATATAACTTGATCGTTTTTATTCTGTCCTTTCTTAAAGGAATTTTGTGTTGATGTAAGATCTTGGATAGTTTCTGTTATACTATTATAATTCTAACTTTGGGATGATTTGTTGTTTGTCTTATTGCATAGAAAGGTGTATAATTGTCGATGACCAGTACCCCACATCTCCTTATATTCAAGCGAATTGTAATAGTACTTTACTGGACGGTGGTCTATTATAGCCACGATAAAAGCAGCATGATATATAATTATCATAATATATAAAATTTGTCGCCGTCATACAAAAGTTGAAGGATGTCTTCGTTCCAGTATGGTACATATTAGCATCTGTCAATTTTCGCAGTCAGCCTCTCTTCTGCGTTCGTCATATCTATTTTACATGTACATACAGTTAAAGATATTTGAAGTGCGCTGACAAGGTCTAAAAGATTAGTGACGTAAATCAGATCTCGAAATATTTATTTTGTTAAAAAAAAAATTTAATTTAACATTTTCCAATGAATTTTTACAACATATTTACATTCCTCTATATGGATTTAAAATAATCTCAAAATTTCAGTGCATCGTTGCTTTTTTTTTTAATTAATTGCTATGTCAAAGAACAAAAAATGTGTGCCAATTACAAATAAAATTATAATCAAATGAAAACAGACTATGCAAGTAACGTACGATAAAAATAATGTATAAAATTTTGTGTGAAGTGCAAAAAAAGTTTTTAAAGAAAAGGGTAATCTTTTCTTTGCGCGCTTCAGTAATTTTTTTAACACTTAATGCACATTTCATTTCAAAATTTTAAAGTTTAATTGTGTAGCGTTTCATAAATATGAAATGTTAAACATAATAATATAATTGCATGGGACAAAAACATTTAAATGTTATGTAACTATGTAAAACAATTCAATACTATCACAAATATTATGGGCATGTTAATCTTCATATGTAGCACCAACACACTGGCATATCATTATACAATTTTCACTTGAACTATTGCCGGGTCATCTTAAAAATTATTTAAAGTACACACCTAATTCAATTACTAGCATTGTTTATGAATAAAAGAAGACGTGGGGTATACATCAACGAGTTAGCAACCCAAAGATACAAACAAACCAAAAAAGACAACATTCGGCCTTCAACTAAAGATAGGTGTATATTCAGTATGTTTGTATGGCAAACTATAATTCACGTATTCAATGCGTGTTAACGAATTGTTACAATAATTCTCGAATTCAAATGATATTTTTGAAGGTCCTCAATTGGCTTCCGTACAAAACCAGTCAGAATCATGAAATACGAGTTTTGCAATTTTGGAAATCGTGTAGTGAAAAATCCCACCCTCCATATGTTTTCATATCAGTTGATGTTAAGTTACACTGTCTTTCTAAGCATTGACAAAGCTGAGTATCACATTTTCTAAGGGGTCCCCTGACAACCAAATTAACATGTTGTGATTTTTATCCTAACAATGACACTCTTTTCTGTTTACCACTTGTACAAAAAGATTGTCTAAATCATTTTGTCCTCAAGCTTTTGGTTTATATTTTCTTTTTCTATACCCTACAGCGTGAATTCAATGTTCACATAGCATTTGTTAGTTTTTACTGGTTAAAAAATGTATATATACACAGTAAGAATGAAGCAACAGAACATTGCCAACAAGAAATAGGTCACATTACAATGGGAAAGGAAAATTTGTTCAGGAATTATAAATAAACAAAGGTTTCAACTCCCTCAAAGTTGACCTTGCATGATTTGGGCTATTTTGTTTAGATCTTTTTTTGGTCACAAGGCTACTTATTGTGTTTCAGCGTATTTACACAACTTTGGCTTTCAGATGTTTAGGTTTGAGAGCTAATGAAGGAAAATCAAGAAATGCACTTCGGACTATATCGATCTTAATGCATAGTGTGAACACAGATTGAGTTATAAAACGACGATTTGTAGACCGGTATTAAGAATATATATATTACACAATTATAGCCTTTGTATGAGGTCGATACAAGAATATATTGACCTGAAAGAAGTATATTGACTGAGGGAGAAGTCTGAGGTCTATATACTTCTTTCGATCGATATATCCTGTATTAAAAAATCGATCATGAATATAAACTTTTTAAAAAGTTTTAACAATATCATGAAATTCATTTGATGACGTCATAAAGTATATCGATATTTAGATATTCTAAAAATAACCGTGCAATATCACTTTTCTATCCGTCGTTTTCAATCGACCTTCGAAAATATAATTTAACATAAAAAGTTAAATCACAAAAATACTGAACTCCGAGGAAAATCCAAAACGGAAAGTCCCTAGTCAAATGGCAAAATCAAAACCACAAACAACATGTGACTATTCCTGAACGAATCAAATTAGTCAAAATATACAAATTAATAATATTAATATATATAAGTTATTGATTCAGACGGAAAGGCATATTTATGAATACACGTCTATAAATCGTCGTTATTTATCTCAATCTCAACCATATATATAATACCCGGTTTTTATCCAACGCAATCATAGGTTTGGACGTTGTTTTCAATTTATATTTTTTCGTTTGGGCTTGTATTATATTTGCCTTCGGGTTTATATAATCCGTTCATCCTATTTCGACTCTTCAAAATTCAAGAGTCAATCTTAAATTGAGGAAAATTATATGGCCTTCCAAATACCGCTTCGATTCCTAACATCACTGAGGATCCGGATATGGTGTACAAATTTTTGCACCTCATGTTTGCGGTATACCATCTTTTCCGTTTATTATTTTCTGTTTGGTATTAAATTAATAATTAAGATCCATTTTGTTACATCTGGTGATCCATTTATTTGGCAATCGCCATGTCAGTCAGCAGGGTTTAAGAACATCCATTGATCGACCTGCTAATCAAATACGTTTTGTAAAAATATACTTTTCACTTTGTGGGTCTTTTGGAAAATGTTGTTTGTGCTGTATTTAGACCCCTCTACCAAGAAATTTGTTTTGCATGCACACGTATAAAAATTGCGGTTTTTATCCAACGCAATCATAGGTTTAAACGTTGTTTTCAATTTAGACTTGTTTATAATACCCTGTGTACACACATGCTAGATTTAAATCGGATCATAATGAAATTCGATGTATATCTGAATTTTTATTCATCGTATCGAAATTGAACCCCGTTTGCCTTCACACATGCGTCTGTAATGTGTAATTGTTAGTCTAGATTAAATTTCGCGTACGAGTGAAATATATTCATGTCTGCATGCGATTTTCTGGCGCAAAAGTTGCAAGCGCAAGTTGATAAATTCTGTATAGAAAATGCATTTGCCATCACACATATACTCAAATCCGATGTTGAAATCAAGTTTTAAACTAGTTTGACTCTGGATTCACAAATTGTACACGCATTTAATCCGGAACATATGTCAACTTAAACCAATACTGTTGTACATCGGATTTCAAATTAGATTTTGTTGTGTCTTGTGAACAGGGTATACATATTTTAAAAAGA